AGATAGCTTGGTCAAAAATGTGCCCTCAGTGAGGGCCACAGCATGCGAGAAGCAGCTATCACAACCATTTAGTTACAGTAAAACAATTATAAGATTTTGATGGTATGAACTGTGAACGCTGGGCTGTCACATTAAAGTCATGTGACTTGTCCCTCAATTTCTTGCCCAAGACATGCAGACTTTTGTCATTCACAGAGACATTGTCAGCTGTGATGTTCTGTACCTGATATACACCATGACACAGATTAGCAACACACAGCACAGTATAAAAATCAAATCAACCTTATCCGAGATGTCGAACTTATCCAAAACATCATATAATTCCTCACCGAGATTCTCGCCAGTATGACTACCTGAAACCTCTGAAAAAGATAGCAATTCGGAATGCAGCTCCCATTCTCTTGTCATCCAATGCCCTGTTACAGCTAGTGATGTTCTGGCCCGGCTTGGCCTGAAAGCCATGGCTTTGGCCTGGCTTTGCGTGGCTCTGGCCTGCAGGATCTTCAGGCCAGGCCGAAGCCATGAACAACAGCTGGCTTCAGCCTGGCTCAGGCTCAAGCCATGGCCCAAGTACATGAAATGTGAAATATGGGTGCAAGATATACAATGAACATAAGTACTAAGTTTCGATGTCAGTACTATTGGATTCTGAATCTGAGTCACCATCATCATCAAGCAATAGACCATCCCAACCCTCGTCTTCAGCTTTGTCCAAGTCATCAGCCTTCTCACCCTATGTTTTGTCTTGTTGGGGACATGCAAAGTTGATGGTGCAGAAGTCTCAGATGTGATAGATGTTAGTTCTTGAGAAGGGCCTGCCAGGGGTAAGGAGGTTAGCCTTTGAATTAGCTCAGTGCCCTCTGCCTGTTCAGCGCTTTGTGTGGCCTCAGCAATACAAAAGTCATTGACAGCCTTTTTCTGGAAGGAAAGAGTTGCTGGTTCTGCTGAATGAAGAAGTGCGGCAGTAGGCTTGGTTTTGCACACTGGATGCATAGGGATACGAGATTCTCCCTTGCCATCTGAGAGAATAGTGGGTAGCATTTGGATAATGATCAGTTCAACCGCTTACTTCACCCCATATAAATACAAATATTGTTGATCATTATTTAGCTAGATGTTCTGGATTTTCGGATATTCAGATGCCTAATATTGCAGAGAGAGAGTTAACAGACTATGTTGCTGCAATCAGGTACTGATATATTCGAGATGCTGATGAGTTTTTGACACCTGATCAAAGAGCTGCAATAAAAGCAAGACAATGTTAAGTTGATTGCACATGTTGGATGAAGATCGAAGCCAGAGAACACAGTGCCGGGTGTCCATGGAGTGAACCTGCAACTCAGTGAATAGTGAATACATATATTAGACAAACAGTATGGTGACATCGAAGTGGATTCTCAAAGCGACCGTTGTGCTTGAGCATCAGGAACCAATTTCGCTCAAATCAAAACTCATTCTATTTTTAAATGTTTGACCAGAATAATACCCTCAAAGCCGTGGCCTGAGCTGCCAGTTCGCGGCTTTCCAGAATCATGGGCCAGGCCAAAGCCTTGGTCAGGCCATGACTTTGGCCTGGCTTGGCCTGGCCTATATAGGCCCAGCTTGGCCTGGCCCTCGGCTTAAGGCCAGGCCATGCATATCACTAGTTACAGCAAGATATGATGTCATTATCTTTGATGTCCACCCATCAAAAGTAAGTGAAACATGGCCAGGAGATTCCTGCAGTTCCTTAGCAAGATCGTTTCGAATTTCATCGGCACATTCGAGAACACAGTCAGTGATTTTGGTCTGATGTGAAATATCTGTGTCTTTGGTTTTGTTCTGGCTGTTGTAAGCGAGAAGTTCACAAAACGACTTATGGTCAACAATTGATAGTGCCTAGGCAGATATTGTCAATGCTGGTAGGTGAATTATGTATTTATTCACGCACCTGATCAGTCTCTAAAACAAAATGAATAATATGCTCTTGTAGACCATTATTAGTATACTGAGGCCCCGTCATAGGTTTCATAGTCTCCGTGAAGTCCAGAATGCTATGTTGCCTATCAAACAAAGTTACATCAGACCCAACAATTCAAAATGAATTGTGTGTGATTTATGTATCGGGTGCCTTGCCTTCCAAGTGGTCCAATTCTTCCTGTGGAACACATTGTTCATCCATGTCAATGTTTTGCTGCACGCACTTCTCCCGGTATCGACAATAGTGAGACATGCCCATACATTGAATGTGAGAATGCATAGCAGTGTTGTTGCCTTTGAAGATAGTTTGCAGTTTGCTGTACTTTTTCGGATTGGCTTCACGAAGCTCACTAGTCCAAGTCAAGTGAGTTTCCCACAAGTATGAAACATGAGTTCGGTACTCACACACAAGGCTCACAGAGATAACCTTGTGAAGGATCATCATCATTGATGGGCTTGAAGATGGTCAGGATATCAGCAGCACCATCACCTCTTTTGCGTTTTTTCTTGACTGGCTCGGTCCGCTCGGATGCTGTGTCATCAGCAGTCTCATCTTCAACCGATGTAGATGACCCCGTGTGATGAAGCCCATTTTGCTTCACCCGTGCAATCGCTGGTGGCTTTGCGACAGTCGCGGTCTTCTTCGACTTTGTATTGGCGCCAACCTGCCCTTTTGGGCGAGTTGATGCCGTTGGCATTGGATAGGAAGTTACTGTAGGTGTGGAATTGTCAGCTTTTCATTTTCGAGGATTTGTGAAGTCAGCAGGGGTTGAGGATATGATTTTGAATGGGGTTGGCGAGGACGGTCTATTCCTCGCTGGTATTTTGAGAGTCAATGATGCAGGTTCACTAGTAGGAGAGTGAACCCATTCCATCTCTTCGGCATTTTTTAGGGAGCCATCAGGATTGAGTGCTGGAGCATCGAGTTGCAGAGGCATTTTGACGTGTATCACACTGGCTGCATGCAGTTGAATAATACTTTGTAATTTTGTTGAATTTTTGCCGGCTGCACGACCAAAACAGACATCGAGCTTCCTCTTTCTCAAGGTGATTATTTACTAATACATATGGTGCGGTTACGGTTCGAACAGGTTCCCTATGGTTCGCACAAAACGCTCAGCGCCCGAACCGTGAACCTCTCCCAGCGTGCATCAGTCAAACCTAACCGTAACCGCACTGCACCATCGGTGCGGTTCACGGTTTGGAACCGGTTCGGGCGGCTCAGAACCGCACCCCGGCAACTTTACAGTAATCTCTGTATTCAATTTCCTCTATTCCAATATCTCCGATGCTCCACTGCTCAAGCAGCAGTGTAATTTGTTCAGAAGCAGACACATTGATCAACTCAGCAATAAACTACTAGTAACTTACGCGTCATGCCGTTAACCATACTGCACCGAGGTGAAAGCAAAAACACGACTCACTGTAGTTCACTGTCGCGACATGCCACTCACCCAGAACAGATATGTTTGACCTACCACGCCAGTGAGTCATGTAAAATCCAGGACACAAACTACTCATGCTTACGCAATTTTGTAAAACGCGCGGGCAGCCTGCGCAGTCGCTCTTTTTCTTGCAATTGATCGGGCAGTTCTCGTTGACAGCGTCACTGGCAGATATCGATGCTGTCAAAGCAGCGACAATGGCGAAGACAAAGTAGAGACGCATTGTTTGTGACGATGTGATATGGGGTCAAATGAATCTGAAGGGGACAGTAGGAAGACACCTTGCTTTTATGTACTAAATATTGTCCTTCATAGTGATGTAGGAAGAACCTATCCGCCTGATAGTCTCCCCTAAACAGACCAATCGAAGGAAGATAGTCGCTCCTTCGTATTCCCGCCTGAGTAGGTCGCACGGGTCTCAGGCATGTCCCGAGGCAGGAGCATTGTTCTCGAGTTGAATTTAGAAGGGCCTCGTATATTCACATGGCAGTGATATCATGTCCCTAGACAATCGTTGGCGATACGGATGATAAGTTGACGCCTACGCTTCCAAGAGCTCCAATTCTCTGGGCAACATTCCGAACCGTGCTCTGTTCCGCCATCCTGTGATAAAAGAAAGCCCTGAGAGCTTACTTGGATGGAATGTGGTGGCCAGAAGCATGCCAGTTATGGCCCCGAGGCCAGCGTCGGAATGAATGTAGGGGAGAGACTTTAGGTTGTCCATTATGGCGCTAGATCTGTCAAACTATTCAACACACCCGCACACATAAAATACGCACGCACACATACCGACGACATACACACACACTGAGAGACGACACACTCACCCTTCGTATACCCACTGACTAGGTTCTTGGTAAAAACTCAATAAGACAATATCAAAGCTGATTTTCGATTGAACAAAAGCTTCAAAGGAGGATTCAACGACATAAGGAGAATTAAAGCAAGAAGCTAGAGCTAAGGAAGGAGGATTCGACGGATGCCTCGAGAATTAAATCATGAACTTCAACTAGAGGTATCCAAGAAACGTAGGGCATAGTAAGGCATAGCGTCGTAGTTGCGATGTGATTCTGTCAGCCAAATGTTCGAATTCTAAGGGACAAAATCAAAGCCAAAGTTTAATAGAACCAATGAAGTAGCCAGTCGTCCAAAAGTCGTGGAATGGACGCGATAATGGATCATTAACATCCGGGTGACCCCGCAACATATCGTTCATCGTAGGTTCAACTGAAACAAGAGGCCGGAAGAGGGGTCGAGTAGGTATGTGCGTCGCGGACGAAGGATTCTGAAGGTTTACGAAGATTTCTTGTTCTTCGTCTTTGATCGAGGGCATCATGAAACCCTGGCGTGGAGCGCGCCTCTGAGTCTGGGGTGAGATGGACAACCCCTTCAAATTAGCTGGTAGCGTGTCGAGACCGTCATCGTCGGAGTCAGAGCTGGACCAGAAACTACAAAAATTCACATCTAAGCAATAATGAAAATAAATCGGAAACTCAAGCCTTCTAATACGAGAGAGAGAAAGCGTGCTGCGGAGGTAATGTCTTTGCTACTCTGACTGACTCGAAACTGACTCGACAGGTCCCCTGGGACTCACTAATGACGAGCTCATCATTCGGCGGATCACAGGCTGCCACACCCACTAACAAGAGCAACAGATCCTGTTCTGTAGCAGTCGAGAATGGTGATGCTGAGGACGCTCACAGTTTCCAAGTCCCCCTTGGTAACGAAACCAAGCCGCGCAGTATTGAATCCAAGGAAGGGTCTCCCCGAGGTGGCTCATCTCGTTTACACAAAAACTGGGTCAGTGCGACTCACAGACCAGAACCCTGAATTTCGTAAGGTGATCCAACCTGGTATTCTCGAGGTTAAAGTATACGTCACCTTCACGCATGGATATCCCGAAATTGTGGCCGAGAACTCATATGCGAGGGGTCAGTAAACTACTTACCACCAGACTGTCCAGATGGCACCGATCGAGATGCAGATGCGGACAGATGACGACTACTTGTCGGCGCTTGCAAATCTAGTAAGTGTTATGTCGTACTACAAATTAATATCAACACCTGTCATAGATTGATGCTCGTGCTAGCTTCTTTCGCACTGATATCAAGGATGTGGCTTGTAAGAATACTCCAGACTACTTCCGGCTTGGCCGCGACTGTGACACAATCCTTGACCGGCTTCTCGCTAATCATTCATACCATTTTCCTCAATCGTTTGATGTTTGTTATTTTTTTTGCATGAAGTTAATATCGTGCTGATACGTCACATGATTCACCAAGGCGCAGGGTCTTCCTTCACCAAACCGACAGAAGCCATATCAAGGGCAGCCTGTGTTCCACGTTACATATGAGATATTCTTCAAAAATGCGAAGTCAGTTGGTTTGCAGTTTGCTCAGCACTTTCTCGACATCGCGAAGAATAAGGCTGATCGCCTAGAGATCCCCATCCCTATGTTGGCTATTGTCTGCACTGCGATAGGTTTTGCTGTGTTCACGCTCACTTGCTCATTAACGTTCTTCGTTGCTAGATTTACGCCAGTGTCCTGGCAAAGAAAAAGAAGCCGGGCAATGATTTCAAGTTCACTGGTAATCAGTTTTGTGATATCTATTCATACCACGTGTCATTGTTGGAAAAATGGCGCCCGTCAAGTTTCACAGGATGATGACGGATATATACGCGGAAGTCCAGTAAATCTGTGTCCGAGCGGTGTACACGTTGCTGATCTGGCGCTGTTTACAGGCGCTTCGGTTATGACGCCCCTGGAGCCTATGACCAAGATGCTGACCTTGCGTTCTCGGACCTGGAAGGCATGGAGGACGAGCAGATTACATCGCCGGCATGTGTTCCGACCATGACACGGAAACATCGAATTTTCAAGACTATCTTCCAGTAACGCTATTCGCATACATCTAACTACCACTCGCTACCATTTTGTCGTACATTCGCTCATACGTTACTGCACTCGTGCTGATACCCAATTTTAATAATAATCAATTGTTTCCTGTACTCCCCAAGTGTGAAAGTCTATCCAGTATCACCTAGTGCAATCTAAGGGCGTCGCAAGGCTTTGCTAGTTGTGTCTAGGACTCTTCTAATTATTTTAAATGGCAACAGGGTATCGTTGAATAAAAATCAGCAATAAAGTTCCGCTAGCCTTGTTAGCCTTCTAATGTTTCTAATCTGTTCTAACTAACACGGGAGGGTTCTCCTGATGTCTGTGGAGGTCAGGGATCACAGGTAAGTATGCATATCTCGTATTCTACAATCCCTAGCTTTGTATCAATAAAGATGACAGTATGGCCCCATTACAGTAATCTCTGTATTCAATTTCCTCTATTCCAATATCTCCAATGCTCCACTGCTCGAGTGGCAGTATAATTCGTTCAGAAGCAGACACGTTGATCAACTCAGCAATCAACTAACTCACACGTCATGCCATCAACCATACTGCACCGAGGTGAAAGCAAACACACGACTCACTGTAGTTCACTTGTCGCGACAAAGATTTTTGATCTACCACGCCGGTGAGTCATGTAAAATCCAGGACACAAACCACTCATACTTACGCAATGCTGTAAAATGCGCGGGCAGCCTGCGCAGTCGCTCTGTTTCTTGCAAGAGCTGGGGCAGCCCTTACCGGCAGCGTCACTGGCAGATATCGATGCTGTCAAAGCAGCGACAATGGCGAAGACAAAGTAGAAACGCATTGTTTGTGACGATGTGATATGGGGTCAAATGAATCTGAAGGGGACAGTAGGAAGACGCCTTGCTTTTATGTACTGAATCTTGTTCTTCATGGTGATGTAGGAAGAACCTATCCGCCTGAAATCATATCTAGATCAACATTCTCGGCCAAATTGACCTGCCTGATAGTCTCCTCTAGCCAGATAAATCGCAGGAAGATAGTCGTTCCTTCGTATTCCCGCCTGAGTAGGTCGCACGGGTCTCAGGCATGTCCCTAGGCAGGAGCGTTGAATTCGGGAAGGCCTCGTATATCCAGATGACGGTGATATCATGTCCCTAGACGATCGTTGGCGATGCGGATGATAAGTTGACCCCTGCGCATCCAAGAGCCTCAACTCTCTGGGCAATATTTCGGACCGTGCTCTTTTCCGCCATCCTGTGATAAAACAAAGCCCTGAGTGCTTAATTGAATGTGGTGTCCAGAAGCATGCCAATTATGGCCCCGAGGCCAGCGTCGGAATGAATGTAGGGGAGAGACTTTAGGTAGGCCATCTGGCGCTGCTTGTTTTCACATAAATATTACAGCACAAATATAAAGCCCAGAGACAACGTCACCTGCATCCGCCACGTCCATCGAAGTCGAAGGCTATTGATCATATAGCCATTTGATACAGCTCTACCTCCCGAAACCACCTCCGCAGACTTACCATGAGTCAAGAAACCTGCATTCACCACCGAGACACCTCAGCTCAAAACATAATCGACGTTTGCTGAGATCCGAGGCAAATATCCAATCAGTGGACATGGCCCGTGCAGTGAGCGGAGAATCTGAATATCGGAGTTATACGTAGTACACGAAGTACGGGCGGAGCTCACCGACGGACGTGTTCGCCTCCTCGGAGTGAATAAACTCGGCCTGTTCATGAATACGTCCCCCTCAACCAGAGAGTACGAGAACATCAGATTCTCGACAACGTTGACCCAGAATCAAGGTCTTGCTGAAGGAACACAGATCAACGGGACTGCAACAATCATGAGAGTCGAAACATACGCAGACGATACGATAAAACGACTTAAGACGATGGAAAATTTGAACTTCCAAGCCTACGCGCGGGAGTCATGTTATCCGACTCCCAACCTACCCCTTCTAACTTCATACACAGAACTGAATCGTGCAAAGGCTGAAAAACTGGGTGTGAATTCATCTGTAACAGGGATGCCTGCAATCATTGACCATGCCATTAAAGGCAGACAATGTACGTTAGGTCATAATCATAGCAAGGATCTTGCAAGGATCAACAAAAAATCTTCATGACCAAAATCCAAGACGAACCTAAAATTTTGAGTTCTGAAAAGACCCAGAGCTTTCGAACGCAAACACAGTCCTCCGGGAGTCTGGACCGAGTCCCTATACAAATTCCAGACCCAGAGGAAGCTCGGAAAATATATAAGGCTCTGAACTTGACGCTCAGTCGCTCACTTTGGCGCTCCGCCGCCACGGCACCGTGGCAGCGGTGCAAATCGAGATAAGTAAGATCCTAGTAAAAATGATCTGACACGTTGCAATCGTCGTTCGTTCGTCGTGGTTCCCCACGGGGCACGCGGGATGAGAAAAACCTGGAGAACTTGTCACATGAAAAACCGGCTATCTTCATTACATTAGATCAAATACGCTCGTACTTGTGAATGGTACGAGACTCGACTTGGTGTACTTATTAGCGATTCGGACCAAAGGAATTGATGCCTTCCGCTGGGTTGGAGTCAGCGCTCTATCGAGTACATACCAAATTGAGAGACGTTCGAACGTTTCACATCACCCGAAAATTTTGAAATATTGTTTCAGTTTACAGAAAACCCTCAACCGCACCCATCATGACGCGTACGCCCGACACGAACCAATCATCAATGAAATCCAGCTTATCTCTTTTCAAATAACCTGCCGGGCGGCGCCTGGACTCACGATTGAGTCACTTAGCCTTATGACTTGGCGTCTCTTGACAATTTTCGTCCACCAACTCATCCACTACCCTGGTCAGAGCTGAGCTGAGAGCGTAAGTTCCCAATTTTCGCGTATATATCATCATGCAAGGTCGACCCCCAAACAAAACCCGAAAAAAAAACCAGAATGATATTCAATGATTCTTATACACAGTGTCATAAGATGTTATCCATGCGTACAAATGATTGAGAGGGGGTATCATACATATGAAAGAGCTACATCAAAAAAAGGTCAGCAGCACTCTCGCAACACAAAGGTGCGTGCTCACTCCGTATATCTCAAGAAAACTCTTGAGTGCTTGAGCGTAAAAGATCGTTCAGCGTCCTCACTACAGTACCAGCAGCTTCTCGAACGATATCTCTATCGCTCTCCTTGACTTTCGGCAATAGCTGCGTCTCGAACCGATCAGGATGCCATCGTCTGATGTTTTCCTTGATTCGGTCCTTCATAGACCTGTCGACAGGATGCAGAGACGACAACATATAAGCCGTGACGCCAGGAGTCGTAACATCATCGGGGCCGCTAGGCCGTTTGAAAACAGGCCACGGGAAATCGTCCCATATCAACACGCCGTTCATGCCAGGCATCTGCAATTTATCCCATTGACCACGATGGTGCTCGAAAAGCTTGATGGTGTCTTGCTTGTTCCAGGCCTTTCCAGCTTTCAACAGTCTTTCCTGCTCCAACTTGGCTTGCTCTCGGCGGAACTGTTCCTCGCGCTGCTGAGCTTGTTCAGCTTGACGACGGTGGAACTCGGCTTCTGACATGGGGGTGAGAGGGGGACCGGGTGCCGTTTTGGCATTCTGTTGGGCTGACGGCGTCGGTGGTTTAGGCGTACTCGGTGGCTGCGAACTAGCAGTCGAGCTCGGCCGAGTCGAGGACGACCAAGTTGCGCTGCTACGGCTAGTTCCGGTCGATCCTGCGCTGTTCTTATCTGTAGGCGGACTCGGTCCAGGCATGCTACGGTCGTTACGATTAGGAATCGGCCAAGGTCCTGTAGAAGACGAAGAAGATTGAGAAGTAGACATCTGGGGAGGTGGCGTGGGCCGACTTGGCTCCGGTCCATAATAACCCCAGGACTCCCAGTCCCATCTTTCCTGCCTCTTCTTTTCTTCCGCACGTTGACGCCTTATCTCTTCTTCGCGCTTCCGAAATTCTTCCTGTTGGACTTTCTGCTTGTCGTCGGATTTGCGGATCGCCTCCGCCTCTCGACGAAGCAGCTCTTCCTCCCGTCGCGCAAGTTCTTCTTCTTTCCTCCGGATTTCTTCCTCTTTAGCGCGCGCCGCCTCTTCTTTGAGCCTAGCGTCTTCCTCCTTGCGTCGAACTTCGTCTTCCTTGCGTTTCGCCTCCTGCGATTTGCGTAAGATGTCCAGTGAGACGCGTCTTTCTTCCTCGTCTAACCGTCGCGCTACTTCCTCCTCCTGTCTTCTGAGGTCTTCCGCTCTCTTCTTGGCTTGCGCCTCCTTCTTCTTGACTTCTTCCTCTTTCTTCTTGGCTTGTGCCTCCTTGCGTTTGATTTCGTCTTCTTTACGTTTGGTTTCTTCCTCCTTCTTCATCGCTTCCTCCTGTTTTCTCTGGATCTCGGCCTCTTTGCGCTGCGTTTCCTCCTCCTTCCGCTCAGCCTCCTCCTGTCTCCGCCTAGCATCCTCCTCCTTGCGTTTAGCTTCCTCCTCCTTGCGTTTAGCTTCCTCTTCCTTGCGTTTGATCTCATCCTCCTTGCGTTTAGTCTCCTCCTCCTTCCTCCTAAGCTCCTCCTCCTTTAACTTCGCCTCCTCCTCCCTCTTCGCATCATCCTCCCTCCTCCTCAACTCCTGCTCCCGCCTAGCAACATCCTCCACCCTCCTCCTAAAACTGTCTTCTCGCTGCCTCACCCTCCGCTCATCATACTCCCCCTCTCTCCTCCTCATCACCCGCTCATCATACTCTTCCTCCCTCCTCCTCGTCTGGCGCTCATCATAGTCCCTCCACTCAGCATCAGCATCATCATCGAGGTCCTCATCATACTCCCCCTCAGACACTTCATGATGCGTATGAACAGGCCGCGCAGGATAATACCCGTCTGCGCCTGCACCTGCACCCGCACCCGAGATATACCCATAACGCATGTCTTGCGAAGACACTCTCGCGCGGAGGTTGGATGATTGCCAGCTTCGGGGGACTTCTTCTGGGGTTTGGGGGGAACGAGAGCTTTCGTAGCGAGGGTTTTCATAGCGAGTTTCGTAGGGGGAACGGCTGGGACCTGTCCAGCCTTTGGGACTAGGACTGGATTGGAAACCACCGTCATCGTATGTGAAGGATTTCTTGGTGGCAATGGGCCTGCTGGCGCTAGGTGGGGGCGCGTGTGGACGGCTGCTGTCTGTGGAACGTGTATACCCGATGGGGACTGTGCTGCTTGGGCTATCCGAGGGGCGAGAATATCCGACAGAAACTGTGTTGATGGGGCTATCCGAGGAACGAGAATAGACTGCGGCGATTGTAGAGCTTGCACTGGGTATCGGCGGCGGTTGATACCGCTCGTCCATCCGCTGAGACAATATGCCAGTCCTAGCTTCAGCATAAGCATACGACGATGTCCTCTCTCTATCCCTCGCTCTATCAATCCCACTCCACTCCTGATCCACGAGCGAAATGCGATCTCTCTCCCTGTCCAAGGCACTCGTAGGTATATCATGCGGTTCGGCAGAAAACGGGATATTGAGGACAGATGGTGCCCGATACGAAGAAGTATTGCTCGCAATGCTCCCACGACGCGCCATACTGAACGTACGAGACATCTGGGCGTCTTCTTCAGGCGTGATGGACGGCATCCAAAATTCTGGGATTTGTCTGGTTGAAAGGCTGACTTTGCGGCGGAGGCTTCCGCGTCTGATGTCTTGGGCATCGGTAGCTGAACGAGGGGCTCTAGGCATGTCGTCTGATTCGTCGATGATGGGTGAAGGCTTTGGGCGCTCGAAAGCTCTGTCTGTTGTATCCAACGTGGGAGGTGGCTTGTATGATCCTACTACGCTGCTGACGGACCCGGCACGAGCCTTGCCGGTATCGCGAGGTGGTACGTGGTCATCCTCGGTAGGGAAGTAATCTGCCTCGTGCTCAAACTCCGTGTTCTCGTGGGGAGTGCGTATAGCACGTTCGGGTGAACGAGAATCTGAAGCGCCTGGGATAGGATGGAAAGAGGATGAAGATGATGAAGAAGGACGAGGAGCTTTATCTTTATCTTTATCTTTGCGCTCTCTTTCAATCCTTTTGAGAATCATCTTTTGCTCCTCTATGATACTCTCGGACCAACCCTGATCTAAGGTCTGACCGGCAATCCAGCGGCGTTCTTGGCGCTCACGTTCTAGTGCGATGCGAAATTGCTCCTCGGCAAGATTACGTATGTTCTTCATAGTAGCGAGGTGTTCGTCTCCCAATCGCTCACGCTCTGCAGCGGAGACTGGGGCTTTCTTGAGAGTGTCGTGAAGGTTCTGTTTAGCTTCGTCGACCATTGAACGTAAGTTGTTCTCGATGTCGAGTTTGAGACGAGACTTCCATTGTTCGTCAGGTTCGAAATCTGCGGGCGTTGAAGATTCGGTGGGAGTTTGGAATAGTGTTGCCATGAGAGGAGCTATATAATATAAAGATCAGAATTGTATGATGAGATGGAGTCAAAAGAGATGATAAGTACGGGTTATGAATATTGACGGATTGAGTTGATGAAAGGTAGTAAATGAGGTGGGGTATGGAGTTAGGAATACGGGTAAGTTGGATTGCGAGGAAGCCTGTGATGTGATGATTATGCCTCGTGTTAGGACACGAGTTGGGGAAGTCCTTTGAATTATAAAATGATTATAGGCGAGACGGACTTACGCAGCTGGTAAGGGAGGACCAGCATTCAACGATAGAGGGTAAAGATCGCATTCAAGATGAATTGATGATGGGACTATAGATCATCTTTTATTTTGATCACGAGGATAACTAAACGAGGCGAACGTGAACAACCTTGTCAAAGAACGTTGAAGGCGCTTATTCTGCTGAGACGAGTGATGGTTATTCAAAGATGATGGTCGAGTCAACCACTGAGCAATTAACGCCTGGTCTAATAGCAAACTACTTGAATCCATGCTTGCCTCGGACGCGGTTAGCATGAACTCCGTCCGCATGGGAATGAATACCCTCCTTCCGATGTAAAAACACACGTGTTAAACATTCAGAGGAGAGCGATGTAAGCGATACTTACCAGTACTAGTAGTACTCTACTAGTAGCTGCGCTGTTAGCAATTAGCTTGATCATCGCCATGATAGTCTAGCTCGGTCGTCGTGACAAGAGTAGTGATGACGAGAATCTTGTCCTAAATGAGTCCGCCTCGAGGGAAACACGAGGCAGGTCAGAACCGGTATCATCCTTTCACCTTCTTCACTTTCCCTCCTTTATCCTCTTTTTTTTTTTTTCACTAACAAACACAGCACTGAAGTGAGTCGATCCCCAAGTCAATAAATTCCTTATCGCCGCTAACCAGTACATAAACCCCTGCAGGAACATGTCTAACTGAACCCATCTTCCCTGATCTTTTCACTTGCCTATCATGGTCCGATCTTAGAAACTCGATATCGTCTTTTTACGGAAATTAGGGAATCAGCGCTCCATGTTAAACGAGTCACCAATCGAACCATATACTTCTCTCCTCATCTCTATCATCATTTCCTATGCCTCCAAAACGAAAATCAGCAAAGCCAGCTCCGGCTCAACCAAAGCCAGCTCCTCCTCCCCCTCAAGCTGCTAAACCAGCTCCTGTACCGCAAGCTGTTAAACCAGCTCCTGCACCGCAAGCTGCTAAACCAGCCCCTGCACCGCAAGCTGTTAAACCAGCTCCTCCCCCTCCACCACCCCCTCCCGTCGAAACACCTTCTGCAAAAGTACGCAAGGAATGGCAGAACTTCATCTCTTCCTGGTACGAACCAGAGAAGAAGAAACTCATAGACCAACTCACCAAAGAACTCGACCTCAAATACAAGAAATCCACCTCTAGAATTCAACAAACAGCTCGTCTCACTGAGAAAGAAAAGAGACTCTCAGAGATTGCAACTCAACTCGCTGAACCCGCTCATGAAGAGTGGAACAATCGTCTCGCTGCAGCGCAGCTCCAAGTAGACGATTGGACCGATATTACAGACCAGGAACAGCAATCCGTCATCAGCGTATTCGTTGTCTTCTTCCAGGATGATGAAGATAACGAGGAAGACGAGGAGTCTACCACCTTCGACTCTAATGAAACCGAGGAATCAGTGGCGTCGGCCGTCGAAGAACCTCAGTTCCTAGATGCTTCCCCTTTCTTCACAGTCCGTCAATCACCACCCACGCCCGTCACAGCCAATTTCGAACTCGTCAACCCTTCTTCCTTCTTCACAGACACAATCTCCCCCCTTAATCAAGCCAGAAAACTCCCAGAGCTTGCCATGGTACGTCCAAATATCCCTGATCACAGCAACAACATCCCTGACGCACGCCTGCCCAGGATAACTTGGCACTCAATAACCTGAACACAGGTCGTAGCCAACCTGACGCCACTCCAAGCACAAGCGCAGTATTCGGCTTCCAGGCCTGGGCCTCGGAAGCCGGATTAGCAGTGCCCCCAACACCCCGTCACCGCGCAACCGATAACATCTCCCGCCAACCATCCCAAGCCTCCACCTCTGCCTCATCCTCTACCTCTGTATCATCTGCCTCCGCCTCCACCTCCACTTCTACCTCATCTCCCCTATTCGCCTCCCACCACAGCCCCCCTCAACCCACGTCCAAAATAAGCCCCCTAGCAGTCACCCACACCCTCCCCCCGGGTAAACGCTATATCGGACCCGTAATCGCCGAAGAAGAACCCGAGCCCATATCAATAGACTTAGGGGGCCTCGACTCAGACCTCCTAAAAGCAAAAATGGCGGCCGACTTCCTCGAGTTCAAAACAAGCATCCGCATCCAAATGATTCACCAATTCCATGCCAAGGCCTCCGAGATCGAAATCGAGCTGGTGAGGCAGCTCGAGAGCAATAATAGCAACAGCAATAGCTCGCGGGAGAGCAGACTGAGGACGATGCAGGAACATGAGGAGAACATGATGTCGCTTAGGGAATCGAAGGAGATGGAACGGAAGAAGCTGTGTGATGCGGAACGGGATCGGAGACTGCAGGAACATCAGTTTCTTAGGCAGGTTGCTGCGCAGAAGGCCAAGGAGACACGCGTCAATGCGAGCGCTTCGTCTTCTAAGATCCCACAGACAGGCTGGACGACGACTCATTCCGCCCCTAAACTGCCCAGTCAAAAAGAGAACCTCTCTACGGGCAGCATTCCCACTTTGCCAAAACCTGATCCTCCTAGTATTCTCAAGAAGTCTATCAGCGCACGCTCTCACACTCAGACTCAGGATATCTTGCCCGGATTTGACGAAGCTGCGTTCTTCAAGGCTCAGGCAGAAGCTGCGAATTTGGTTAAAGGCAAACAGCCTCTCGCCACTGCGTCTGCTTCTACATCCGCGTCCAACCCCCTGGGCAGACCTAGCGCGCTCAAAAAGACAGAGACCGCAAACTCGCAGGACGAGCCTGTCGAACCCGTCGTTCCACCCCAACCCCAACCTCCTACCGCGCAGGCTCCCACCCCCAGCTCCGCAAAGGGCAAGAAAGGCAAAAAGACGCCAGCTGCCCAACAGCCCAAAACAGTCACCTTCAATGAAGCACCCGATACCGACGCAGAGCCTCCTCCATCATGGGGCGCGAATGCAAATGCCAAGAGTGCAGGAAAGGGCGCAAAGAGCCCGTTGTCATTGTCGTCTAAACCAAGCAAGTCTGTGATGATCGAGGAGGAACCTGATGAAGACGCCGATCCGCCGTTCTCTGCTTGGAACCTGAATGTACGAGGTACCACCCCTGCTTCTTCTGCATCGGCGTCGGCATCTGCATCTGCTAAGAAGGGCAAAGCGGCAGTTATAGCTGAAGACCCAATTCCTGACCCATCCCCTCCTGTTACCTCCGCTTTCGGCTGGGGTTCCGCTTCCAATTCCAATTCCAATACCACTAATACTCCTATTTGGGCCTCGGGGGCAGCGGGCAAGAAAGCCAAAGCCAAAGCCCCAATCGTAATCGCACCACCAGACCCCGCAGATGATCCTTTCCAGACGTGGACTGCACCAAGCGGTGGATGGGACTCGGGATCAGGATCGGCGGCGGGTAAGAAAACAGGGACGAAGACAAAGGTTACCGTTACGGAGGAGCTCGATGAAGCTGCTGTGTCGATGGCTTGGAGTGCTGGAGTCAAGACTACCTCGTCGTCCTCGGCGGCTGCGGGTAAGCAGGCGAAGAAGGTCGTACCACAGCCTCAGCCGCAGCTTCGCCAGTCCTCTCTTTCGAAGTCTGCTTGGGTCGAAGATGCTGAAGAGGAAGATGATGAGGAAGATGATGATGATGAGGAGGAGGAGGAAGAGGAAGAAGAGGAAGTATGGAGCTCGGCCCACCCTACATCATCCATGCCCGGCGCAATCCCCACCACAGCTTCCGACGAAAATGACGCATGGGGATCTTCCTACTGGACTAACCTCTCCAACGGCCAACCCGTCTCCCACGCCCACGCCCAGATCACCGAAGACGCCACAAACCCAAGCGCCACACATATGCGATGGACGCCGTCAATGGAAGCACCCGAGAGCGGCGATGAAGACTCAGACGCAGGAGGAGCGGATGAGAATATGGAAAGCGCGCTCTGGATGCAGTATGCTATCAGCGGAGGCGATGTCAGTATCCCTGGGTTTGAAGTCCAGGCTCCTGCCGTGCAGGAGCATGTGCAGGTTGCTGTGAAGACCGCGGCTGCTAATGGCAACGGCAAAACTACCACCTCCTCCCACGCCAATGCTAATGCTAACGCTAACGTCGGCGCCAACGCGAACATCTGGGATCAAGGCAAAGGAAAGAAAAAATCAACACCTGTACACGAGCCGGCCAAGATAGAACCCCCTCGTAGCCATCAGCCGCAGACCCAGACGTCCACATCCGCCTCATCCAACGCCAACGCCAACGCTCGAACGGCCCAATGGCCCAAAGCCAAAATGGCTTCTCGCCTCGGGCAGAGCTCAGGTTCCGCTAGACACCTCTAAATTCCAATCCAATTCCGATCCTAATTTTTCTTGTGCCGGGATTATCATTTACTTTTCACTGTTAATGCTGTGTGCGGTCATCGTTTCTTGTGTTTTTTTTTTTGCTATATTTGTCATTGTCGATGTTTTCGCGGCCTGCAGGTTAGGGCCCCTTGCAATTGCTTTTATCGTAGTAGTCACTGGTTCTGGTTGAATAATGTTGCGTTTTATGTGTATCGCCTTCGTCAATTGTTAACTCCTACTTACTAGTACTGTTTTTTTCTTTTTGCGCAATGCGAAGTTCACTGGTCTGAGCGATTTAGAACGAGGTTGGGGGAAGGAAGTGCCACGCGTCTATGGTCTTGGACCATTTGCATCAATAAGCACGCAGTTATACATATTCACAGGCGCTCAGAATCACGTAGAGGGGATACTAGTGAAGAGCCTCGCGTTCCGTCACTGAAATTGAAAGTCTATATATCATATCAAAGTTCCCTAAAGACCACGTGTATTTGCCTTTTATTTAAACGTTCAGAACGTTCATGTCTCACGATTTCACGAGTCCCGAGGGGCTATTGCACTAGCCACGGTCCAGAGCTAGTTTCCTCGGCTTTCCCCCCTCTCCAGCTTCCCACCCGACTTCGTAGAGATGTCCCCAGCCAAGTTGTTCAGCGCCTACCAGATTGATTCAGCTATCGTCAACGAAGTGACATCTAGATGGATCTGAAACATTTGTTTGTTTCATGGCCTGCAAAGACTGATTGAGCCCACATTGGCAGATCATATTTGACGACACTCACACTTTGATGATATTTTGCTTCTGGTTTGCAACGATAGTCAGATTGCTGGTAATCACAGTAAACAAGGCCCTCTGATCTGATCTTCTGGATTTAATATCTTGAGCACTCCCAGTGCGTGCTGGAGCGACGTTGCTTGAAATTTCAAGTTTTACGAGTACGCGGATGAGGACTTACATTCTTGAATGCATTCGTCAATGAAAGAGCTGTTGTAGCTTTGGGTGAAATGACTGATCTAGGATCTGTGAGACGCTTCAGAGTGCGATAGAAATGCGGACAGAAATCCCACCTTCAGCTGTAGTCATGACGTGTGAGGGTACGAAGATTATGGTATAAACGTCGTCGAATTGTCATTCTTAAGTGGCACTAAAATCTAGCAGCCGAGACAGCACGCAGTTTCTAGTAAGACTCGTGTAATACTCTGGATTCATAACCAGTCTGGACTGGTACATCTTTGGAAATTTGATACATAGGATTTGCATCTGCCAGTCCAGTTCTTAACGTTATCAACATCCTCTGCTCTGAGCATATCGTCCGAGTCTTCATCGAGTCCATTCTCCTCTTCCGTCTCGATGGCTCTGCGTCCATAACATGCTATACAAAAATAAGCCACGCTAAAGTTGAGGTGGAAAAACACATGATCTGACAGTGGAATAGAAGGGTTAGTGCTCGTTGTTTACGTCGAAAGATGACATACCATGTCAGCGTAGGACACGAGCTGATCAAGGGGACATGGGCACGGCATGGGGAGCGCTACATTGCAAGTCTCCCTGGCGGCCATGTTGAAGCGGCTAAAGAGTTCAACAGATGTCATCAGGGTGGGGTGAGCAGCGCAAAACACGAGATCACGCACTGTCTGAGAGCGGGACATCGCCTTGGCACCATCAGCATCGGGTGAGAAGCTCAAAACACGAGATCACGCACTTTCTGAGAGCGGGACATCGCCGTGGCACCATCAGCGTCGGTTTAGCAGCTCGAAACACGAGATCACGCACATACTGAGAGCGGGACATCGCCGTGGCACCATCAGCGTCGGTTTAGTAGCTCAAACACGAGATCACGCACGAACTGAGAGCGGGACATCGCCGTGGCACCATCAGCATCGGGTAAGAAGCTCAAAACACGAGATCACGCACCAACTGAGAGCGGGACATCGCCGTGGCACCATCAGCGTCGGTTTAGCAGCTCGAAACACGAGATCACGCACATACTGAGAGCGGGACATCGCCGTGGCACCATCAGCGTCGGTTTAGTAGCTCAAAACACGAGATCACGCACATCCTGAGTGCGGGACATTGCCGTGGCACCATCAGCGTCGGGTAAGAAGCTCAAAACACGAGATCACGCACATCCTGAGTGCGGGACATTGCCGTGGCACCATCAGCGTCGGTTTAGTAGCTCGAAACACGAGATCACGCACTTCCTGAGTGCGGGACATTGCCGTGGCACCATCAGCGTTGGTTTAGTAGCTCAAAACACGAGATCACGCACGAACTGAGAGCGGGACATCGCCGTGGCACCATCAGCGTCGGGTAAGAAGCTCAAAACACGAGATCACGCACTTTCTGAGAGCGGGACATCGCCGTGGCACCATCAGCGTCGGTTTAGTAGCTCAAAACACGAGATCACGCACATCCTGAGTGCGGGACATTGCCGTGGCACCATCAGCGTCGGGTAAGAAGCTCAAAACACGAGATCACGCACATCCTGAGTGCGGGACATTGCCGTGGCACCATCAGCGTCGGGTAAGAAGCTCAAAATACGAGATCACGCACGAACTGAGAGCGGGACATCGCCGTGGCACCATCAGCGTCGGTTTAGTAGCTCAAAACACGAGATCACGCACCAACTGAGAGCGGGACATCGCCGTGGCACCATCAGCGTCGGTTTAGTAGCTCGAAACACGAGATCACGCACTCTCTGAGGGCAGGACATCGCCGTGGCACTATCAGCGTCGGTTAGTAGCTCGAAACACGAGATCACGCACCAACTGAGAGCGGGACATCGCCGTGGCACCATCAGCGTCGGTTTAGTAGCTCAAAACACGAGATCACGCACGAACTGAGAGCGGGACATCGCCGTGGCACCATCAGTATCGGGTAAGAAGCTCAAAACACGAGATCACGCACATCCTGAGTGCGGGACATTGCCGTGGCACCATCAGCGTCGGGTAAGAAGCTCAAAACACGAGATCACGCACATACTGAGAGCGGGACATCGCCGTGGCACCATCAGCGTCGGGTAAGAAGCTCAAAACACGAGATCACGCACTTTCTGAGAGCGGGACATCGCCGTGGCACCATCAGCGTCGGTTTAGTAGCTCAAAACACGAGATCACGCACTTTCTGAGAGCGGGACATCGCCGTGGCACCATCAGCGTCGGTTTAGTAGCTCAAAACACGAGATCACGCACCAACTGAGAGCGGGACATCGACGTGGCACCATCAGCATCGGGTAAGAAGCTCAAAACACGAGATCACGCACTTCCTGAGTGCGGGACATTGCCGTGGCACCATCAGCGTCGGGTAAGAAGCTCAAAATACGAGATCACGCACTGCCTGAGAGCGGGACATCGCCGTGGCACCATCAGCGTCGGTTTAGTAGCTCAAAACACGAGATCACGCACGAACTGAGAGCGGGGACATCGCCGTGGCACCATCAGCATCGGGTAAGAAGCTCAAAACACGAGATCACGCACCAACTGAGAGCGGGACATCGCCGTGGCACCATCAGCGTCGGTTTAGCAGCTCGAAACACGAGATCACGCACATACTGAGAGCGGGACATCGCCGTGGCACCATCAGCGTCGGGTAAGAAGCTCAAAACACGAGATCACGCACTTCCTGAGTGCGGGACATTGCCGTGGCACCATCAGCGTCGGGTAAGAAGCTCAAAACACGAGATCACGCACTTCCTGAGTGCGGGACATTGCCGTGGCACCATCAGCGTTGGTTTAGTAGCTCAAAACACGAGATCACGCACGAACTGAGAGCGGGACATCGCCGTGGCACCATCAGCGTCGGGTAAGAAGCTCAAAACACGAGATCACGCACTTTCTGAGAGCGGGACATCGCCGTGGCACCATCAGCGTCGGTTTAGTAGCTCAAAACACGAGATCACGCACATCCTGAGTGCGGGACATCGCCGTGGCACCATCAGCATCGGGTAAGAAGCTCAAAACACGAGATCACGCACATCCTGAGTGCGGGACATTGCCGTGGCACCATCAGCGTCGGGTAAGAAGCTCAAAACACGAGATCACGCACATCCTGAGTGCGGGACATCGCCGTGGCACCATCAGCGTCGGTTTAGTAGCTCGAAACACGAGATCACGCACTTCCTGAGTGCGGGACATTGCCGTGGCACCATCAGCGTTGGTTTAGTAGCTCAAAACACGAGATCACGCACGAACTGAGAGCGGGACATCGCCGTGGCACCATCAGCGTCGGGTAAGAAGCTCAAAATACGAGATCACGCACTTTCTGAGAGCGGGACATCGCCGTGGCACCATCAGCGTCGGTTTAGTAGCTCAAAACACGAGATCACGCACGAACTGAGAGCGGGACATTGCCGTGGCACCATCAGCGTCGGGTAAGAAGCTCAAAACACGAGATCACGCACCGACTGAGAGCGGGACATTGCCGTGGCACCATCAGCGTCGGGTAAGAAGCTCAAAACACGAGATCACGCACTTTCTGAGAGCGGGACATCGCCGTGGCACCATCAGCGTCGGTTTAGTAGCTCAAAACACGAGATCACGCACTGCCTGAGAGCGGGACATCGCCGTGGCACCATCAGCGTCGGTTTAGTAGCTCAAAACACGAGATCACGCACGAACTGAGAGCGGGACATCGCCGTGGCACCATCAGCGTCGGGTAAGAAGCTCAAAACACGAGATCACGCACATCCTGAGTGCGGGACATTGCCGTGGCACCATCAGCGTCGGGTAAGAAGCTCAAAACACGAGATCACGCACATCCTGAGAGCGGGACATCGCCGTGGCACCATCAGCGTCGGTTTAGTAGCTCAAAACACGAGATCACGCACGAACTGAGAGCGGGACATCGCCGTGGCACCATCAGCGTCGGTTTAGTAGCTCGAAACACGAGATCACGCACTCTCTGAGGGCAGGACATCGCCGTGGCACTATCAGCGTCGGTTTAGTAGCTCGAAACACGAGATCACGCACCAACTGAGAGCGGGACATCGCCGTGGCACCATCAACGTCGGTTTAGTAGCTCAAAACACGAGATCACGCACTACCTGAGAGCGGGACATCGCCGTGGCACCATCAGCGTTGAGTAAGAAGCTCGAAACACGAGATCACGCACCGACTGAGAGCGGGACATCATTAAATATTCAGCTGAACATTGCCATCGAAGTTTCAAGATAACATACAGTTTGCTGGACGTGAAAATTGCGAATGAGGCGCATTTCCGTATCAATCGTGTCAATGGAATCAATGTCAGAGGATCGAGTCCTCTGCATCGCACTGCGAGGTACACGGGAGACCTGAAACCGTCGTTTGCATACTCGACTTCCGGTTGTTAGACACCGTCGGGCCCCAGAAGAGAATGTACTCACCAATCAATCGAGCAACCAGCCTGCCGTTCAAACGAACGCTCTATAGGCCCGAGACCAACGTCATTCTCAGCGTGACAGAAATGGCATTTGTAGAGAACTCTAGACTTGGATGATGTCGTCAACTGTTCGATGATAACTCTCATGACAATTTTCGTGCCTGCTTCGATGCTTGACCATCCATGGCTTGTCAGTTGGGTTACTTCAGTGCCCTTGTCGATGCATAAATCATACAATCCTCCTTCCAGGTAACGCTTCTGAATTCGAGCTTCAATCGAATCACGTTGAAACAGAACTTGGAGCATATTGTTCAGTTGCTAAAGAGAATTTGGTGAGTAAGCTTCCCTAAGATGAATTTTACGCTAGCGAGGCGGACCTGAAACGAGGTGCACAAGTTCACCGATATAGAATGTTCGTGGCCTGTTGCGTCTACCAGTGTGACGCAGCCAAGCGCGACAGTTGCAGGTAGTCCCATAGAGGGCTGTTCAGGCCGGATCATCACCATCATCAGCACCTTCTGAATATCTTCCCGCTGCCTCTGTTGACTCGCCAACACTTCGCGCATGTCATGTTGATTTTGCATTTGAGACGAAAACTAACCAAACGAAGCAATGAGCAAATGCAAACAATCTTTAGAGAGAACAACACAACTAAATACTCTGCCAGGTAACGATCGATTCGACTGGAGCATCCGGTGATCGCTCGTGTGGCGGATGTATATGCGAGACCATGTTGGTGCAGCTCTGTCAGTTGGGCTGAGATCCCTTCCAGTATGCTAGATATGGTTCAAAGTCAGATGAATTCAAGCATGCGTCAAAAAGGTTTATACCTAACTAAGGAATTCCTCCGCAATTGTTCACGAGAATCACAGGCAGGTGGTGCGTTCAACAAATGGCAGCTCAGTTGATGCAGTCGTATTTCGAGGTCATCTAGGTCCGCCTTATTCTGACCACGTCTCTGTGATGGCCATTGAAATCAAGAAACGTCTTTATGATCGACTGGGATCTCACATCTATAGCTTGAAGGATTGCCAATAGTCCACTAATAGCAGCTTGCATCGGAGGACCGGCAATTGGAACTGCACCTACAGCAGCTTGTACGAAGGGCGAATATAGCTGAGCCATATTGGAAGCGTTGCGAGTAAGGGATACACCCCGGGAGTCGGTGGCTGTCGAACTGTTTATGCGTCCGTTTTTTGTGAGGCGCTTGAGACGAACTGCAACGACATTGCCAAAAGCCTTGGGCGACGGAAAGGGCATCCTAATGAGATGGGAAGGTTAGAGGGTGGGTTAGAGGAATGCGGCTGAGGTACTTAACAGGTATTACTAGCTGTGGACGACACAGCCTGAGCGTACATGCACTTGCCTCGTGTAATCGAATTCTGGAATGATTGCGATTACGCCCTCTGATATTCACCCGAATTAGGATAGGCTCTGCACATGTTGTTGGATTGATGCTTCAGCTCAACATGATTGCACGCGACATTATGATTGCCAATTGGCCCGGGTAGACTATGAAGCTCAGGGCCAAGGAAAATAATCTTTGGGTTGGCATAACCGGTACCGGAAATCGGGATGGCCCACAAAATCGTAGCGACAGCTGTCATACTTGTGCTCTTGCCCTATTCTGCAGATTTTCGCTAGCACTCTCCACTTCCAACCGAGGGTGCACGTGCACCTCCACACCTGTTGAACTCCCAGAGCTTGCCATGGTACGTCCCGATCTCTTTTATCACAACACATTATCCTCACGCACGGCGCACGCCTGCCCAAGATAATTTGGCAACGCTCAACAACCTCGACACAGGTCGCATCCAACCAGACGCCGGTTCAAGCACAAGCGCAGTATTCGGCTTAGCAGTCCTACCAACCCCCCGTCATCGCGCCACCGATAACATCTCCAGACAAACATTCTTAGCCTCCTCAACGCACATCCAAAATATCTTCCCTAGCTGTCATCCACACCCTCCCTGGGCAAGCACTACATCGGGCCCGTAAGAACAAACCGAACCAATAGTCTTAGACTCCGACTTTCTAAAAGCCAAAATGGCGACCGCCTTCGTAGAGTTCAAATGGACGTCCGCATCCAAATGATCCACCAATTCCACGCCAAAGCCTCTGATATCGAGATCGAGCTGGTTAGAGCAATAATGGCAATAGCTCGCGGGAAAGCAGACTGCAGACGATGCAGGAACTTGAAGAGAACATGAAGTCGCTGAGGGCGTCCAAGGAGATGGAAAGGAAGAGGCTGCGCAATCAGGAACGGGATCTGATGGAACATCAGTTTCTTAGGCAGGTTGCTGCTAAGAAGGCGAAAGAGATGCGCGTCAATGTGAAAGCTAGCGCTGCGTCTTCGTCTTCCAAGATCCCTACCACGTAGACAGGCTGACGACGATTCATTCCGCTCCTATACTCCCCAATCACAAAGAGAACCTCAGCACGGACAGCATCCCCACCGCGCCAAAACCTGATCCTCCTAGTATTCCCGAGAAGTCTACCAGCACACGCTCTCACACTCACTCAGGATATCTTGCCCGGTTTTGACGAAGCTGCGAGATTGGTTGACGGCATATTGCACCCTAACGTTGGTTCAGTGGCGGTCGAAGCTCTAGGTCAGTCGACAGAACGCAATTCAAGACGACCGAATAGAGAATAATAAATATTGGAAATGAACAGTTGGGTCCCAGTCCATCGCTCATACTCACTGGATTCAGCCGAGTGCACGACTACCACGCATTGTCCACTCACGTCACATATGAGCCTTATAGCAAGCAAAGTTCTGTTGCAGCGTTATCCCTTACTTTGCAATTTTTTCCGTAATATTAATGTCCTGTGAAGATTCTTATTAAGAGCAAGGGCGAGCATTAATGATCACTGCACCACAACCACGTTCGATCATTTGCGTGGGGCATCACACACCAAAAGGCCAACTGGTAGCATCTCGATCATAAGATTCGCATGAGATTTGCAGTACAGGACCGTATAAGTTAACCCGTAATGCACACCTCGTAGGAATGCAGACGGCCATTTCATCTGCCGGGTCTTGAACGAAGAGTAAGCTGCCAGCGACGTTTGATCTCAATGATGCTCCAAACAGGTTTGACTCAAAGTCTCGACGCACCTGGTGTTATTTTGTAAAGATAACAGGTCAGATAGTCCTTAAAATTCGACCATCCGTGCTGAGTTAGTGCTTCAGACGCAACGTCATCGAGGAAGTAGGCTGCTCGCTGTTGACCGTTTTGCAAGGAGTTTAAGCACCAACGAACCATGTATACGTTGATCCATGGGTTGGGAAATCTTGGCGCTAGCGGGGGGTATAGTGTATTGTCGATGTCAAGCCCAAGGACTGATCTGTGAGACGCTTCAGAGTGTGCGATATGTACCATGCGGATACAAATCTCACCTTCTTCAGCTGTTGGCATGACGGGTTAGGGTACGCAAATTATAATATGAACGAAATCGGATTATCTCGATTTTTGTGCCCGAAAATTACTAGCGGAAATAGCACGCAGTTGCTAGCGAAAGCGTTCGTGTTCAACGTTCAACTCCTGACTTATATGATACACGTTGCACCATAGGTTTTAGGGCTAAGGGGTTCCAAGTTCTGCCCCTGGCCAGACCAATAGAGTTGGATGGCATAACCGATACATACCGGAAATCGATCAGAATAGAACGCGTCGAAGCAATGACGTACAAAATTGTGTACCATTTGGTAATCTTCCGCACTTGTCGTACGGTTGGGTACGGCAAAGCTATGATAGTATCAGTGCCAGCCATGGTAGCCATCAAGTACAATTAGGGTGATGTGTCTTCATATCTGGGACACACAGTCAATCAAAAAGCAACGATCGAAATCCAAAAAAAAAACTGAACAGAAAGCCAATATCATATACTCAAACCACCTTCTTGCCCTCTTCAGCAGGGTTTCGTCGCTCGAGGACCTCAACCCACTTCTTCGGGAACCACCCTTCGCGGCCCTCGCGTGTCCGACCTTTCCACCACTCACTCTCCACCTCCAGCCGTGGGTCCACCTCCACACCGGTGCTGGGATCCAGCTTGCCCATGATGGCGACAATTTCATTCTCCTTGAGCGCAAGCTCGGATGGAGATGAAGGCGTGAATGGATATAGTGCGCGTGCAAATGTAAGAGTTGATGGGTCAAGGGGGCCCAACGGACCGGGGCCAATCTGGGCCTGCTGCTGTTGCACAGCACGCTCATTGAGAATTTTTATGAGCTTCATCATGGCATATGGAATGCCGAAAATAGCGAGTAAAAATATGATGATGGGTTTTCGGCTGGGCTTGACAGCAGGGGGACCCATCGGACCCTGAACGGGCTTGCCACTGACGAATTCTCTAAATTCGCCCTGTATAGAGCTTGTAGAACTCTGGCGCCCCGTGATGAGCTCCTTCATCCACCGTAAAAGACCGAACAGGCCTAATACACTTCCCAAGGCATTGCGGAGGTGGCTGAACTGCTCGATGACGCCGACCATTGCGAAAAATGAGCTATGCGTCGCCATGAATGTTGATTCGAGCATTTGCGCTACGCCCGAGAAGGTCTGGACGATGGAGTGGAGAAGGGAGAAGGTGTGTTGGGTTGTGGTTTCGAGGGTCTGTGTAAGGGAAGGATTGTTGGGATCCATACCAGGATACATGCCCGTCCCGCCCATTCCGCCCATTCCACCCATGCTGCCCATTCCACCCATGCCGCCATACATGCTATTCATGCCATAACCACCGTACCCACCGTACCCAGTACCGTAGGCGCTGCCCATTCCGCCATAACCACCGTACATACTCGAGCCGTATGGTGAGGTGTACGAGGACCCAAGGCGCGAATATGGCGAATATGGAGTATTGTAGGATGACTGCAAAGAATTATAGGGTGATGCGATAGATGTAGATGGGTTGGAGAACGCTGGGGGACGTGCAGGCACTGAAGGAGGTTCTGGTGAAGAGGAGCTCGTCGTAGCTGAGGGTAGCGTAGTAGGGATAGTTGCTGCTGGGGCTGCTGCTGCTGCGCCCCGCTCCCAAGGTTTAGGTGGTGAGGCCATCGCCGTTCTCACCGTCGATGCTAACGATGACAAGAGACAAGAATGCGTGTGAATCTGCGACACCGGCTAATGCCGGCTAATTAGTAATGACCCAAAATCACATTTTCGTATGAGGTGGTCTCTATAACTGGCCTACTGGCATTCCAAATTGCTGTTCACAATTCACGATTCAAGTAGCCATCATGACGGTGAAATCCACAAAAAGTTTAAACCATTTGGTTCGTGGCCAGCAACATGGATCGCCTGTGTTCACCGAATCAGCATGTCCCACCGCGCCAGCGCAGCGGTTGCCAGTCGGTTGTCTCCCGGTCATGACCTACGCATCCTTTAGGTAGTATGTTGGCTGCTGCGGTACGCGTAAGTAATACAACTATCCACATCTCAAAGTCTGACAGGACCTTTTGTTTCAGGGACTATCCCACAAACCCCACAAGTTCGTGCATCTTCTCCTTTGCGTTGCCTCACCAACATTTTTTTGCGGGAGCGGCTGGGGCAACGTTCTGCACAGAAATCATGGTAGACTAATTTTAGTCATTATGGCACTTGGGACTTGCACACGTTCTTGTAAGCTGCTTCTAATTATCTTCAGCATACCATCGCTGCTCACATGATCACATAGGCCTGGATTTATGCCTGGTTCACTCGTGCAGAGTGAGTAGAGCTTCGACTTGGTCCCTGCTTGAACATGAGACTTGGATCCATCAGCACAGCACTCACTGCTTGTCTCGGCCTCAACCAAGCATGCCGACGTACCGCGGTAGATGCTAATTTGACTACATGGCAGCCGCACGACCTGAGAATGGAATCTGCAATGCCAGTCGTGCCATGAGCTCACCATAATGATATCTGAACGTTGAACACTACATGCATTCGGTGCAAAACTCAATTAAGATTCCAGGATGTAGGTGCATTCTCTGTTTAAGTGTCTCACTTGATATTATTTGATATATGTATGCCTTTCAGAAAGTCAGCAGGACCGGTTGAAGACGATGCAAAAATGCACTGCTCAACTCGAGCACCGTCATCAAAAGTGGAAGCGTATCGAGAATGAAGTGAGCAATCGCTTTACTACTCCTTGTTAGTCAGGTCACAGATTTCTATTAGAACGTTGATTGACGCCAGGGAATATCAGGCCTGGGTTTAGGAACTAGCGCACCCTGTCGGAAAAGCTATCTTTGGCAGCGCTTGCAAGGTGAATGCGACCCTCTTTAGGGACAGATCCCGACAGAAGGTTCGTTTACTGCCGCTTACGAGGTCCTGGTACTTGTCAGGTGTCCGTTTGCGCCCATCTACCACTCGATAACCTTGTTATGACTAGATAATTTTTTGCTCGATGCATGCATGATATGCATCACACTCGACTGCGGGGCCACTTCGAATTGTAATGTTGTTGCGCACATGGTTTTTCGGTCTGAAAACCATATTATTATTATTATTATTATTATTATTATTGTTATTATTATTATTATTACTATTAAGACAACATCGATGACGTTGTATGTTCACGCCAAGTTCATGCAGGTAAGTTACATACCTTTCTGCTTTGAGAGTGTTGTCCATGAAACATTCGTCTTTAATTCAAGCAAATTCCAGGCAGGTCATCGTCCTGCATGTTAATCAATGGCCCTTGCTCGCTATCTGTCATACGCACAGCGTAGAGGTGCGCCTGTATCACTTCTGACGACGAAAGAGGGAATGCGAGTTGTCTGAACTTTGCGGACTTCCGTTGTTCGTACACGAACCTCACTGACAAAATAGGACACGGACAAAAACAAGGAATCTTACTCATTCATCAGTCCACGTCCGAGTCTGACTTACCACTAACGTACAAAACAAGAATGGCTGCGTTATATGGAGCATACTCACTGACCATCGACTAGATCAGCCTTCCACATCATTCGCATCTGCTCTTCCCTAGCTAAAGATATACTCCGTATGGAGCACGGAAAATCTTTAGGGTGGCTGTTGCGCGTCAGATCCTCTGAGATACATATAAGCAAAGAAAGAACCAACATCGCAAGACCACTCGTGAATTCCGGCTTGACGTCAATGTCCTTGCCATCCTCGTCTTTCGCGTTTGCGATCTCGACGGTTGACAAAATTGACACGACAGACGCCCATAAGGCGTTGTCCGCGAAGAAACGACCTGGACAAATTCTCCTGTAGGTGACATCAGCTACATTGTCCCAAATCAAAAAGAGATTATGAACCTTCCAAATCCAAAACTGAAATGACTGTATGTGGGCTCATCTTTCAACTCTCCGTCTGCAGTCAAGTGTCGACCAGGATCAAATGTGATGGGTTGTGATAAATTTCCTCGTCGTGACCCATCGCCCTGCGGGAGGAATTAGCCACTGCAAAGACCATGACGACGACAATGATCGTCTGATGCCTACCATGCATTCAACAATACCACGGTACCTATGAATCCGTTTGAGGAATATGATCAGTAGCAAGCGATGCTGATAGTAGAACACCTTTGGGAATGAAGAAGCCATTATAAAAATCATCGCATGAAGTTGCATGCGGAATGCCTAACGGATACATGTCAGATTGACTTCGCCGCTTTCCTTCCCTAGGGCTTACTGAGGGGTACAACGGGCTCCCATCTGAGGATTTCACGACAGATAGCCTCTATGTACGGGAGTGAATTCCTATCATGGAATGTTGGAATTCTGTCGCTTCCGCATACTGCATCAATTTCCGCTCTCGCGCGAGTCTGAACTTCCGGATAGAGAAGTAACGCCAGTAGCAACATGTTTATAGTTGATGAGGTCTGCAATTCCCAATTATAAGGACTTCTTCACGAGGAAAAGCGATCTATGTTACCGTTTCAGATCCGGCTGAAGAGTAAAGTGTTTACCGCCATGAGAATTTCAAGGATAATAAGATGCCTTACCAATGTATGCAGTTGCAGCAACCTCCTTCATCGACTGTTCATGGGCACGGACATGACTTTCGTCCCCCTGGCTTAGGAAGTCTGATACCATAGATGGACGGGCTACCCCCTCCGCCTGATAGAGAAATTAAACAGTTTTCCTCTCAGAGTTGAACGTACTCACCATTTGTTTTTTGACATATTCAAAGGGCTTTTCCATGACTTCCTTGACCAGTATACGGCACTCTGGGGCTTGCTTCTTGTACTTTCCACCTGGAATAAAGGACGGAAGCCGATTCACTGAAAAGTGTCATATTCAAATCCGATCCCGACACAATGCAACAATAAACTACTCACGAAAAGGGAAAAGCATCATTATGGCTGCTTTTTCAGGTGTTAGGACATGAGTGATTATCCTAATGACCTTCTGAACGGAGGTTACGAAGGGGTCATCTCTTGGCTTGGTCTCGTATCCATACGTGACTGCCATTACGAGGGACGCCGAAAGTCTATGCTCATATCAGAATCACAGCAGACAGTGATAATCGCTAGTCACAGACGTGTTGAGGTGTCCTTGCATATCTTTGGGGGCATCCAAAAGATTAGCAACGAGTTCGTGAGCCTTACGGAGATACAGATCCTGGTATGAATTCGATGCTTCGATACGCAGGACCTGATGGTAAAGTTTGCGGTGCATCCGAAATGTATCACCGTATGGCATGAGGGCAGTGTTGAATGACAATCCAAAACTGTTCTCTGTTGGTCAAATCATGGCACTCATTGATCAATCGACGTAATCCGGACGTACTACTCGTTCGTAGCGATGTGGGGACGGTCAGAATATATCGCCGAGCGTCTGTCCACAACGGTCCGTGCAACATGCTCGGAGTTGATTACGACGAAGTGTTGACCAAGGAAGCGCGTGTATACAATGTCACCTAAAATTCGAGACTGAGTTGCAAAGCATGATGAAGACAGATCAACCGACCATACTGCTTTCCCCACTTAGCGTAAGTTAACCATGGACGAGCTGTATCAATGTCAAGGGCATTTCCTACGAATGGCAGCAGGCGCGGTCCAGGTGGAAGTGGCATACCATTCGCCTTCCTTCGAGTGGTGCGCCATGCTTCTGCGATGGAGATTGCGCAGACGATGGCTAAGAAAACGATGTAGTTCTTGATCATAATGGATGATAAATGCACGTTCCAGAAAGCCCATCTTTATACTTACCTAGTCGTGACTGGTGCGCGCCACTGTGTCAAAGCGATATGCAGGTAAGTTCGATGCTAGTCTTTTTATGCGAGCTCGGGGGAATACTTGCCTAGTCGTGATTCAATTGGTATGCGCTGTTCTGTCAAAGCGATAGTATACAGGTGCGTTCCAAGCTAGTCTATTTGCGCGAGCTCAGCTCAGGGAGGCAGACCACGTCTTGCAAACCAAGTGTTCCGTATGCAGATATCTGCCTAATCTAGTGAGAATAGCCGGTCGTTTACATGAAAGCGTGTAAGTGATTCAGGATGAACGCTGAAATGAAACATTAAAGCACTAGGCCCTGGAGTTGTCCAGACCAGCAGAATCGGCATTTGCCGAAGAACCTATCGGACTATTTATCTTCCTGTAGTGCGTGCTGGACAGTCTACTAAGTGAGTTAGTATGGAACTTCAGACAGTCACTAGTCATTCATTATAATCTGGCCATAACTCATATACTTGTAATCACCTGCATGACCACTCGAGCTCAGCCCTGCACTCTCCTCTGGCCCACCTGTGTCCTCACTGCTCGGCGCCCAGCGGTCAACACCAATCCAACTATCAGTCTAATCTCCCCCAGGCAGACCTTAGACGAATGAAGACAGTCATTCCTTCTCTACTAAGATTCGGTTACCTTTTTGAAGGATTTTATGACTGGAAAAATTCTGCTCAATGCATCGCACTCGGGATAGTACTGGTCAATTGCTAGTTCGACATAGTGGTGTCGAAATATTGCAATGTGAAACGCCCGGTGATTTTTTTCTTCTGAAAACTGCTTATAAGTTGATTTCCATGCATATAGAGGCTGATGTCGATGATGTCGCGGTTTCATTTCACGTCAGTCCAGGGTATAAAATCTCGAAAGATTTCCTTTCGCCATCTAGCATTCTCTCACCACTCCGAGACTTTCCAGGTGATCTAGGCTCTGTTAGGTAAGGGACCTCTAATTCCTCAGCCGTTCCGCGACCCTCTACTGCCTTTCTTCTTCTCAACAAGCATCGCACCTCTCCGCACCTCTATGCCATCCTACTCCGATGGACCAAGACATGCCAAGTTTAATGGCGCCAACCAGTGCGACACCATGATATGTCGTTGGATCGGCCAGCACTGCGCTTCTCGAAGAGGAGGAAGACTGCTTTCTGTTATGCTTGTTCTCTACATTGATACAATGTGTATTATGTATGCGTCTGCTGCTGTGACCCCTGGCACCGCCAGTCTTCTGACACCTCTCGCTCTGCTCCTGACTCCGCTATCTCACTCTTGCTCCTGACCACTCCTATCTGATCTGTCCTGCTGGAATGTCCCGCCGGAACGCCCCGCTACATCGTCAGTTTAGCATTCTTATGTATACCACTCACCCTGTTTGTAGCCTTATTCTTACTGGCCCTTGGGGTTACGCCCGCCCAATTTGAACACGACGTTCTCGCAGATCCCGGCAATGACAAACTTTGGAGAGAAGTGCTCATCTCCCGAAATGCCATCTTGCGCAACGTCTCAGGCTCGCTATGCATCGCAACCTGGTGTTTACTGGAAATGAAACCAGTCTCTTCCATGGCCGATTGGCTGCAGCCAGTACCTTACGGGGCCTTCTTGTACTCTTCCACAACCGCATTCTTTGGTTTTATATCCGCATCATGGTTTGTACTCTGCATCTTGCTGATAGTCACAGCCGCTTCAGTACAGGTAGGTACTGTAGTCGTCCGCGTTTCTCAATCTGACTTCTTTCTTCCAGGAACAATCCCACCATCCACGCAAAATGTTGTGTTTTCTACTCAGCATTGATTACCCGATGTCTGTACGGTAGGGGCTGGACCGATGAGCCTGGTGGAATTGGTCAGTGCGGTCTGGGTGGGTGACAGTGGCATCCCTAAATTCTGCACAACGGTCGTGGTGGGACTAATTTCGCTCATCATGGTACTTAGGATTCGCACACTGTTCTCACGAGTTAATTAAGTATCTTGTCATCTTCAGCATCACGGGATATATAGGGTCAGCCTCATGCCTGTTTCAAACTTTCAGTCATGATACCTGTTCAGCCCCCTGCAGTGCAACAACCACCGGAACAAGCAGCCAGATTATCGTGAATGAACCGAATATCTAACCTCTATCTGGACAGGAGCACTTGTGTGCATGGCGAACTCACTCTCTTCACGTACACGAGCTGCATCGTTCCGAATCTCTACTACCGGACGGTCTGGACCGCACCTTTTTCTTCGTACCAGCTATTGTCTGGAACAATTAGCGATACGTCCGAGTCTGGGTTTTTTTGATCGAACTTCCTGAGGCTCATTGACCGAGCACGCGCTTCCCACTGCTTCTCATCCATTCCGGTCTTGTGCGTGCCGACAAGATTAGAAGCTGGAGCAGTATTTTCTAAGTTCTTCCATTTTATTTCGCGGATGTCGTATCACTGGTGATACTGTGCCGGCATGAAGCATTTCCATTTCTCTAGCAGCAATGAAGCGAGGTCGATCAGCTAGCGAGACGCCCTGCTTCTCCATAATATCACTGCGGTCTGAGCATGGATGTGGCAACTCAGCTCGGAGGGACTGACGTTATGGCGGCCGATAATAACGATTTTCTCAGTTCCTGAGCGAATGGCGACTAAAGGACCGTATTGGTCAATCCATCCTGCTATAGTGAGAAATGGGCTGTTTAGCGATGGAATTAGCATTGAAAGCGACGAGTGCAATGCACAAGTTTACTTGCGAGGGGGGAGGAAATACCCCCGAAGTCTCCAAGTAGGAGAGGAGGGTGGCATCTAAGCTATGAATGGCTCCTTGAGTACCGCCAATCCCACCCACACCTGAAGTCATTGACATTTCACATTTTAGGAGCTGACCGACGAAGAAAATGGGAGCGTGTTTCGGACATCGACAACCAGACCCCATGACACTCAGTCTCCCATAGAAGGAAGACGGTCGTTCCTTCTGATGAAGTACGACGATGTTAATGGGGATCGATAAGACAATTTTGCACCCACGTTGATCACACCGTACTTCAAGGCATGAGAGGGAAGACCTAGACGATGTGTAATGGCGTGTGATTCGACACCAACTTGATGCCATACTTGACCCGCGAGGGTTGGGCTGAGATATTAGGGTGAATCGGACAGTAGCGAGCACATATGGATCGATTATCGATTATCACCAGGACGTAACCCCATAAGATTCAGCAAGAGGAAGTAATAGTTAAACTGGAAGAAGTGGTCGCAGATACCCGCCGAGGAAGTAGCGAAGGGGTACGTGGTATTGCTAGAGGTTTTATGAAGCATGAAGTTCTATTTGTACGAAACGTCCGCTTCCTAGGACATAAATGGCCACAGCGGGAGATACTTACTTAATCTACGGGAATGAGCTGGCATACGTGATCCGAGGCGAGACGAACCTCAAGTGAGAAGGTAAACGGGCAGTCAAAATTATTCCCCCAGTTCACTTATGACTCTGCAGTGCATAATTGAATATAAGTCTTGTTTTTCCACCGTTATTTCACCGTGCTCACTCGGGAAGGGCCGACTGTATCGGCAGAAACCTTGCTTGTCATGCATGCTTGCGTACGGACCTGTGCGTCCCTTTGCATGAGAGACCGTGGCGTCGACGTTCATCTGTCTCATCATTGACGCCCTCCTCAACTGCATCGAATATCCACAGTTGACCATTACAAATGCAATTATTGGCGTACCATACACCAACACACGCCATTAATCCGTTCGCATGTCGCCCGTCGAAAAACCTTGGTGGGTGGAGATGCAGATGTCAGTCGCAGATCGACGGACCGATATCTTTTCAGACAGTAAGCCGATAGCGACCCAAACCTGTGCAAGAGAGAGTCGAGGTAAAAATAAAAGCAGAAGGCAGCCTGCTGAAGTGTGGCGCGAGCACTGCATGGTGCAGAGACAAGAAAGGCCACTGCCGTTGGCACAAAGTCCTGTTTCTAGCCCTGTGTTTGCGCTTCGCTTCGGGATAGAATATTAACGCACAAAATTGTGGACCGTTTGGTAATCTTCCGCGGTTGGGTACGGAAAAGCTATGATAATATCAGCGCCAGCCATGAAAGCCATCTATAGTTTTCAAGTACAATTAGGGTGATGTGTCTTCATATCTGGGACACACAGTCAATCAAAAAGCAACGATCGAAATCCAAAAAAAAAACTGAACAGAAAGCCAATATCATATACTCAAACCACCTTCTTGCCCTCTTCAGCAGGGTTTCGTCGCTCGAGGACCTCAACCCACTTCTTCGGGAACCACCCTTCGCGGCCCTCGCGTGTCCGACCTTTCCACCACTCACTCTCCACCTCCAACCGTGGGTCCACCTCCACACGGTGCTGGGATCCAGCTTGCCCATGATGGCGACGATTTCATTTTCCTTGAGCGCGAGCTCAGATGGAGATGGAAGCGTGAATGGATATAGTGCGCATGCAAACGTGAGGGTTGATGGGTCAAGGGGGCCCAACGGACGAGTACCAATCTGGGCCTGCTGTTGTTGCATAGCGCGCTCATTGAGAATTTTCATGAGCTTCATTCATGGCATATGGAATGCCGAAAATAACGAGTAAAAATATGATGATGGGTTTTCGGCTGGGCTTGACAGCAGGGGGACCCATCGGGCCCTGAACGGGCTTGCCGTTGATGAATTCTCCAAATCCGCCCTGTATAGAGTTCGTAGAACTTGGGCGCCCCGGGATGATTTTCTTCATCCACCGTAAAAGACCGAACAGGCCTAGTGCGCTCCCCGGTGCATTGCGGAGGTGGCTGAACTGCTCGACGACGCCGACCATTGCAAAAAATGAGCTATGCGTCGCCATGAATATCGACTCGAGCATTTGTGTTACGCCGGAGATGGTCTAGACGATGGAGTGGAGAAGGGAGAAGGTGTGTTGGGTTGTGGTTTCGAGGGTCGGTGTAAGGGAAGGATTGTTAGGATCCATACGCCCATTCCGCCCATTCAGGGCTTGCCGCCTTACATGCTAATCATGCCATTTCCACCGTACCCAGTGCCATAAGCGCTGCCCATTCTGCTATAACCACCATACTAGGACCCCCAGCGTGAATAAAACGAATCTGGTGTTTTGTAGGATGACTAAAAAGGGTGGTTGGAGAACGCTGGGGGACGTGCAGGCACTGAAGGAGGTCCTGATGAAGAGGAGCTCGTTGTTGTCGTCGTAGCGCGTGGTAGGGATGGTGGCTGCTGGGGCTGCTACGTACTACTGCGCCTCGCCCTCAAGGTTTAGGTGGTGTCACAGGCGTTCTCACAGTGCACACACAAGAATGCGTGTGAATCTACGGCTAATGCAGTTGATTGAGAACAGTGTAACCCGTTAGTACTCTATGTAAGACAATACAATCTAGTCTAGCAGTGGAGCATGTTGAAACCTGCAAGTACTAATGCTGAACTCATGCTGGCATGATCAGTAACAGAGACAATGTTAAACATACCATGATGAGTTGGTGATAAATTATGAGGGCCCGTATTGTTTGGGGGCCACTACTGGACAAAAATAAATTGAGACCTAATTGTACATAAGATACGACAGCACATGATGAATCACGGTGAATCACGATGTATGATAACCTAGGTGTAGTCAACAACTTACAAAGAAAAACAAATGCAGGAACCTTCACAGCCATGTCCTAGGACAAGTTAAACACATTTTTACGTATCCTGATCTTGATCTTAGTTTTACCTTTGGAAGATACCACTCTGTTTTTGGTTTGATCAGACTTCTTTTACTTTTGTCTTCCGCTTTGATTACGCACTCGACTTTGCACGTTACTGAGTCAATGGACGCTAGCACTAGCACTGATCACTGGCACCCGCCGCAAATACATGCGATACCAATCCAAACTATTCGCGCAGCTTACACCGAAATTGGCCAACGGGTCAATATTGCCCTTCGCACACAAGTCGGGGATGCTGCTCGCCTGGGGGCACAGCGAAATGAGTGTTTGAGATTACTGACACTAGTCAGACAGGCAAGTCATTATATGTCGCACCTTTACATCTTCTGACATATATGTACATATATGTAGCATGCAGATCTCTTCTCTGCTGAGGAGGGTACCACTATCGAGACTAGTGTTCATAGTATGATCAGTCACCTTGACGAGGCTACCCGACACTCATCCGATCCTGCCGAAACACCTCCTTTGACTGTTACTCGCATGGTGCGCACAGGAGGTCAAGGGCGACCAAGATATGAACTCGATCCCGCTGTTTTACAAGCTGCGCTACAACTTCGAGGGCCAACGGGTCTAGCATCTGTATTTGGTGTTGCACCTCGTACCATCCGGCGGCGTGCCCTTGAACATGGGTTGGTTCAGCTGGGGCCACCTGTGTTTGTTGACTATATAGCTGAAGATGGGTCAACTACTCGTATCTATACATCATCCACAGCCCCCACATCTGATCTATCTGATGAAGAATTGGATGAGATCACAGAGCAGGTACTCGAGCTTTTTCCAAATTTTGGGAGACAGATGCTCGATGGACATTTTCGCTTTCTTGGCCATCATGTGCCTCGAAGCCGCATTTTAGAGTCATATGCACGTGTTCACGGGGCACCTACCACAATGTTCGGGGCACGGAGGATCCAAAGGTGAGTCTACTCAGTTCCAGGACCGAACTCACTCTACCATCATGACGGTCAACATGGTTCGTGTATATACTTTCATGTAAAACTGCAGTATATCCTAAAGCATCACATAGCTCTAATTCACTATAGACTTGTAATTCATGCATTCGTAGATGGCTTCTCGCGATTTGTCACGGGCATACGTGTTAGCGACAATAACCGCGCTGACACAGTTCTCGACCTATTTCTGGACATCGTAGATGAACATGGTGTACCCAGCCATGTACGAGGTGACCATGGTACCGAGAATCTGCGTGTCGCGGAGTGGATGGAAAATCGTAGGGGTGTTGAACGAGGTTCATATATATGGGGGCGGTAAGTGTGCATTAAAAATCCACATGAGTATATTGCACTGACATTCAAATCACAGCAGTGTACACAACATTCGCATCGAACGTCTCTGGCGTGACGTGACCCAGGGCTTCGGGAGGAAATGGAAGCAATTCTTCCAGCTCCTGGAGGATCATCATGACCTGAAACCGAACCTGGATGCTCACGTCTGGCTACTGCATCATGTATTTCTTGATGCTGTGAATGATGATGCTTTTCAGTGGGCAGAAGCCTGGAATCATCATCGATTACGCATTCCGGGTGGAGGGCAGCGGAGCCCTTGAGATTTGTTCTTCTTCAGCATGATTCAGAATGGTGCCCGGGGCTATGATCCTACTTTGCTTCCAGGTGACAGTGAGGTTGGCGAGATACAGGAATATGGAATTGATTGGGAGGATTACGATGATGATGGCATTCGGAATCATCATGATGATGCGAACACTACTGATTCAGACGACCAGGCTCAAAACCCTTTCTTCACGCATCGACCTCAGCATCTCTCTGATATTCACGTTCCTGAAACATACAGCCCTTTGAGCTTTCAGCAAGTGGAACATTTGGATGATTACCTTGCAGGTCATCTGGACAATGGATCACAGAGCATGGACAGGCGAAGGTCACTTTGGGTAGATGCACTTAACTTCTGTGTCGATATGTTCAATGTCTCCTTACACTCAGATACAGATTCCACCTAATATTGATGTCGAGCACTGTAGGACACGCGCTAAGCCTTCACTCCCATTGAACTCGCAAGTGCAATCACTTAGTAAAATTAGCACTGTATGTTGTCTCCCTCCTGCTAATTGCGGGACCTGGGACATGTCCTCAATCAAATAGAGAAAGAGCCTTCTATGATAGAAATCACAGAGTCGCAGACGGGGGAGAGCTTCGAGTTGGTGAAGAGCTTAACAACCTCCCTGCCTTACGTCGAGGTTGTGTTGGACCAGGACAGAACATTTGGATATAGTGGGTTTGAAAAGATATGGGATGGATAAGGGTAGCACTTCCCTTTGCCTGCACGAGCGCAAACAAGCTAACTTCAGTTAGTATTACTCACATCGTTGGCACCCTTCGAGTGAGAGCACAGATCAAATTACTTACGTGTTAATAGCGCTCTAGGCTGCGGCTCATGTTAGTTTCGCTTCTATTACTACTCGTCGCACTGGTACCCTAGGTTTGTCATCGAGACTGTAAATCCCTGAGCGCTAATAAGTGTGGTGCTTTGAAACTAGCATGGCCATCATTAAACTAGCCCGGTTCTCCAGATTGTACGCAGGACGCTCTTTGATGAGGAACTCAACATCCAATATACCACGAGTTGGTGGACACACGTCCCAAACAGCCAGTCAAATTACTGGCATCCAGTCTTTATAAACAAAGTTATCGGGCCGTCATGTATCTGGGACAGCAGTTACTTCAACTGTACGGACAACCTGGGTCGACCGTCTTCCACCAAAAATGTGACCTTACCTTTACCTGACAAGAATCGACAAGCCGATTGGGACCCTGTTACTATTTTACCCATGCGGTGCATCCAGCGGCTTTGATGTCGTGCATGCTTCCTGCTCATCTTTGCCCCATCTAGCATGGTCCATAACCATGGCCTCATATGCCTTAGAGGCACCATTGACGACGCCTTTGACATATCTCGGCCTATTTGGCCTTGGAGCAATGGTCATGCATGGTGCAGGTTGCACCATCAATGACATGTGGGATAAAAATTTAGACAAAGCAGTAGGTAAGTAGAACACGCGTCGTCATCGCGTTTTCTTTGCGCCGACGCGTCATCGCAGAGAGAACACGAAGTAGACCACTTGCGAGAGGTGACATCAGCCAAAGACAGGCACTGGTGTTCTTAGCTGGGCAGTTGTCAGTGGGACTGGGAGTTTTGTTACAACTGAATTGGTACAGGTGTGCATCGTGTTTACTCTGGCTTAACGATCGCAGGCATTGACCTTTTCACTCATAAGCATTCTCCTCGGAGCTTCATCTCTGTCTTTGGTGACTGTATACCCGCTCATGAAAAGAATCACCTACTGGCCGCAAGCGGTACTAGGTATGTGGTAGTAGTTTCTATTGTGTCACACGAGTATTTATGTAAGTGATGATGCTACAGGACTCACTTATAATTGGGGAGCTTTGCTTGGCTGGTCTGCCGTAGCCGGAGCAGTCAACTGGAGTGTTTGTCTCCCTCTATACGCAGGTGGAGTCTGCTGGACTCTTGTATACGACAGTATATATGCGCATCAAGTGGGTGTTGCTGCACAATAAGCACTTTATGTTCTGACTCTCGCAGGACAAAGCAGACGACGTAAATGTCGGTATCCATTCAACCGCCCTGCTCTTTGGAGAGCAGACCTGCCCAATTCTTGGCGCGCTCTCGACATCAACCATCTCTCTCATTGGTCTTGCAGGTGTTCTCAACGCTCATGGAGCGCCTTTCTATCTTGGCCTCGGCCTCGGGGCTACCCAGCTCGCACGTGTTCTTTGGAGAACAGACTTTGAGAGTCGCCCGAGTTGCTGGGAAGGGTTCATTGGATGTGGTTGGTCTGGATTCTGGATATGGATGGGAGCTCTGGCAGATTATGCGGTCCTGATTTTGGGTCTTACATGATGGTTGTCATGTATACGTATAAATATGCTGAGTACATGGTATGCTCATCCTAGCCTCGGATCCTCTCCGATTCCTGAAAGAAGCTTTCATTCGGTCCGTCCTCAATGTCAATCCAGGTCCTTGACTTTGTGTTGGCAGGCTGAGCCAATCCAAGTGACAACGCGGCGTGTTACTCGTCAAAGCTGACATGCTTCAACTGCGCTGTCGTGTGACCCGCAACATGGGGTAGACACTGCGTTGCGCCCCCTTGTCTCTAATGGCAGACTTGCTTTTGAAGCAAAGCCACAGGCAATTGCTAGTCATCTATTATTCCTCACTTTCTAGCCCCAGCATTCGATGGCTGCCAGAGGCAAGGACTGATACATACCAGCAGCGCGAGCGACTGTCGATTTTACCAAGTTACTCCCTCCTTTCTACAGCTACATCTACGCCTTATTTTTTTCTCGTCAACTTTGTCCTTTATATACCAATATCTTATTTCATTGTTGAGATAGAAAATATTTGTAGCCGAGTTCAGGGGGTTACACACTTTTCTTTTTGGAAATTATTAAGTGGAGACGCACAACTGTGACTACTCGTCCAGGCTCTTTTCTTCACTACTTATTAGCCATGGCCTCAACCTCATCCAGTATTGTTTTCGACGACATCTTTACGACGGATGCCATCGACGAGGATGGCAAAAAATTCGACCGAGGTCCGGACTTGCCCATGCGCATCATTTTCTACCTGTGATTGACATGCGCTATGTAAAACCAGTGTCTCGGTTATACGCTCGTTCAAAGAACTATGACATGGACTTGACGCTTGACTATAATACCGAGCTCTTCCCTCTAGCCAACGGGGACAGTTTCACAATGGCCCTTGCTTCGTCACTGTCACGGGATGGTGGTGCACCTACTGCAGATGGCGAAGATGGCGAAGACAAAGACAGAGATGTATGGAGACCAGATGGTAAAGGAAGGAGAGGCTTGGAAGAAGATTATGACTATGTAATGTATGGGAAGGTGCGGTTCTGTTTGCCATCATCCAAGGGTTTGGACTTACTCATTCGTTCCACAGGTATATAAGTTTGATACTGGATCATCCGACATTGTGTAAGCTAATCGCATATTTGCTGTCTACCGTCTCACATCATTCTCTAGCACGGCCTACGCGTCATTCGGCGGACTATTGCTGTCAATAACTGGTTCATATCGACACTTAACCAATGTTGTTCTCGGCAACCCCATGTATGTACTACTCAGGAAATGATTGTTGTAGATTTTGTACCGCACAGCACGCATCCATTGTGACGCACGTCATGGGCAACAGTCATGTCCATTCATCGAACTAAATGCGTGACTCTACGTGGTGCACCTGTACGGAGGGGCAAGCGTCCCATCCTAATTGTGAAGTTGGCCACATCAGATTTGAAGGATGTAGTTGTCACTCAGCGAGTAATCAAGACAGACGTTGACATTTCGTCGTACTACAAGAGCGTCATAAGAGGTGTGAAAGCACGTATGGGAATGGAAATAGTGATTATCAATCATGGAGCTGGGAACGGGTAGCGAGAATGACGTGCAACTCTTACTGAGTTTTCACTTGCTGTCGCATATCCGCAAGCGAAAGCAGCACATTTTAGAGCCAGTGAAGGACGTGTACGAGCATTTGCGATAGCAGGAGCAACACGAGAGAAAGCACGGGCTGAACGGGCTGCAGCCATTGAGCAAGCTTAGGGTTAGGGTTAGGAGTTCGCACCTGCAAGGCGCCAACACTCATGAGGGCGCCCAAAGCAAGAACAAGTGTGGGTATTTCGATGGCTCTGGTGCCGTGAACAAGTTGTAAACGACGTCTGCCTGAGAGTGTGTTATTGCGAACTGCTTGCAGGAGTCCAGGAGAGTGTGTGAGGCAAAGCAAATTTGGGGGGGGGGGGCAAGTCGGAGAACTTGTACATCTCATAGTACTAGTACAACTTGCTACTCCTGAACCATTGGCGTCCGTGCCAGCTTCCAAGCCGCACTGTATGTATCGCCTCCAGTTTGGAGCTGAACAAGTTATACATTTATGGTGGATGTTTGGTTCATTTAATGTATATCCCTACCTTGACCAACCGGTAATTTCCAGATGTTCACGTGACCTGTTCCAGAACGGATCTCCTAATATGGGATGATGTCTGACGAGCTTCTCCCCGGAGACCTCCTTTCCATTGGTATTATGTCGTAGTCAATGACGGCAATGTGCATCCTGAGGTGTGTTATTAAATCTGCTCATATCTTAAAGGGATCACACGTCCCATCAGCGCTTGCAAATGAGTATGAGAATGGGACGCTTTACACGATCCATTACTTTGTGCACGAGATGTACCGCGATCACAACGTGAGGGCGATCATAGACGTGTGGTGTGAGGCACCTGTATTGATGACATGGAGGGAGCTTGCGGACTCAGCACTAACTGCAGAGGATCGGGAACAGAAGTGGGGAGGCGTAGATTATTGGTTTGTGATGGGTGAGTTGTCCAATCACAAAGTCCGAGTGATGTCCATGCGGTGGATCCAAATATGGTAGGTGAAACTGACATGGGAGACACTATGGACTTCCCATATCATATATTATCATTATCAGGATGCTGGAGATATTGAACACCCATTTTTTCCCCCTTCATCTTCCCTATCTCTCTATTGCTAATTTTCTCGATATAATGGCTTCTCAGCATCCAGCTCGATTTTCATGTATTTCATGCCCTGACTCTTGCGCCGAGTTCACACCCATGAACGATTCACCCAATTCAACGTGTTTTTGCCTGCACGCATATTCAGATCACCGTGTCACTCAGGCATTACCGACTAATCTTCCGCCGAAAGGTGGCTGTGTCACCTCCAATTGCCTCATGTTTCGGTTACAAGTGAGTTTTTGCGTTCTGCTGAGTTCCACGGCAAATTCCTCACATTTATGCTCAGAATCAAGGACCAATCACTGTGCAGAGCATCTGCATCTGTGGGAAGGGATGGCTGGCTCACGCCAATTTGCGTGTACCGAGTGTCCAGTATGTCTATATCTCCTACGTGCAGTACTCAATCTAATGCAACTCTCGAGAGCACCTGTTCAGGCTGTTGCCAGCTCGGATCAGCCTGCTGATGCATCCCACGAAGCTGCAGTGGATGCTTGGGCTCCACCACAAGATCCTGTAGCGGGGTCAACAAATGACCGACGGGTGGCATCCTACCGTACTCACCCACCCCGGCGCATGGGTGTAACTCCAAATGCCATCCCATTCGGGTTGATACCTGCTGGAGTTAATAATCGACCACCAGCGGCTTCCAACTCCACAACTCGCCGTCAGCAATCAAGGCCATTCCAGCTTGCCAACCAATCAGGCCGGCACAATACATCTTCCGACACTAGCATTGTATTCAAGGCGATTTTTATGCCGTATCCTGTGAGCATCATCTCTTACTTTCACGCTAGATTGAATCTCATTGAGATAATATTAGATTTCCTCTAGAACGCTTATGATAGAGTCTGATGAACCGCTTCCATCTCAGCTTAAACTGAGTCGACAAAAATTACCCGATCTCTATCAATGCCTCAATAGCTATCACCTCATCGTTGAAATGACGCTTACCGATTCTGCAACACTCAAGTATCTTGATGAACGCATTAATTCTCATTTCTCCCTTCATAATATTTCCTTCCCACCTTCACCCTATGTCAACACTCACCCAGGGAATGGCTCTCCCCAATACGAGAAACTCGGATGGAGTATTCTGGAGTTAGGCAAACTCAGCGTGGACCAGAATTCTACCCTTCTCAAGGTCGCAAGGTTAGCTTCTTGGGAGATTACAGCAAACACGCTGTCGTCGTTGATGAAGAAAACTGCCACCACGATGAAGAACCCCGTGGACAACACTCCACTTTTATTCATTGGTAAGAATGATCTCTCTGACCAGCGTTTTTCACACATTGACCTCCTTTAATCTCAGCACCTAGATTTGGGATGCTAAGGGGCCCCATTTCCTGTGAGCCAGCAGACACCCGCACTCACCTCTGCTTTGCTGCTCATGTTATGGATACATTCTTCACTGAGACTGTACCAGAGCCAAGCAGAGATCCGACGTGCTTCCATTCCTGCCCAGGGCAATCAGACGACTCATCTGACAACTCGTTCGATGATGAGGTGTGTCTCATTTCAATTGTCATCATACATCATCCTCATGTCAGTAGCTTCCTCTCTCAGTGTCTGAGCTTGCAGTCCGGCGTCAAGAGCTGCCAGTGCCACACACCATTCGTCCCACCCACTCCGCAACCTGTCTGCAGTCGTCCAATAGCTTAATAGGCACATCTTCATTGCGTTCCAATATCCTTCACACACGTTCACACGCACGGCGCCTTCTAAGCATGAGTGGTGCTCAACCTCGGGCTGCTACTAGCCCACCTCCTCCAGCTATCATCGACCTCACAAGGGACCACCCAGCATTCACTTCAGTTGTGGAGTGGCTTGATTATGCGCACACCCATGCACCAACAGAGTCAGAAACGGTGAATCACTGGAGATTATTCGCACCCAGTGTTAAATCTGCTGCATTGGCTCTGATTGCCTTCGTCGAAGCACAATGCAGCCGGGTGCCTCTCGATCTTTCCGATGCAAAGTTTGAAGGTGCCCAAGTGGGATATGGAGCTGCGAATGATGGTTTGCACATGAACATTTCGAGCTTGTTCATGTCGGACTGTACGTATATAGTGTAAGTCTGGTATTGGTTGAATACATCTTCGCTTGAAGCTTACAAACACTCTTAGCGGGCCTGGGGTTGGGTCAGGCATAGAACGTGCAGTTCTCTCTCAAGCCATTAGTATGGTCTTTGGTGACCTCCGCATGTGGAGTGCAACCAACAATGAAGGGTATAAGTGCCCTTCGATTGTCCCCTTTGCTTCGGATACTAGCCGTCTTCATCGTTTTAAAGCCCACGGAATATTGTGTGCTCTTCACATTTTTCGTCTTGGTCAGCCCCCACTTCCATGCTCGCCATTCTTATTATGTCATGTGATCTGGGGATTTAACGACCTAATCGATCCTGCTTTTGTTGAGCTGTTGGCTCCTGAAACTGCCACGTCACTCGCAGCTCTGCCTCTTGATCCAATGCAGCCGTTAGATTTAGCAGTTGATGGCTCGCTTGCATCTTTGCTTGCCACGTATTCAAATATTCAAGTGCGTTGTGTAATCTTTGCTAACATAGATCAGTTAACTGACAATGATTGCTATAGCCGTCACAGCTCCCATCTGATATTTCGGCAGAGCAGCGTGAGGAGCTGGTTGGAGCAGTATATGCTACTGTACTCCTCGGCTGCCCTCCAGGAGCAGCACTCGACATGGTGAAAGACCTTGTCTATTTCTGCCGTGGATTTGACGTCGCCATCAGTGATGCAATACCTTCCTTTTGTGCTGTGAGTCGCTTGCAGAAAAAATAGACATGACTGATCAGGAGCTGATGTGTTTATTAGCTTATGCGTCCCTCTTCAAAAACCTTTCTCTCTTATCTGTACAACCAGCGCATCACGTCACCTGCTCAAGTGATCGACCGGCTAGCCTTTGAAGTCACCCTGGTTCCTGGACCCAGTGGTGATGATATTGACATTGTAGACATCGACACAGAAAATGCATTCATTCTCAAACTTACTCGTTATCTTCAGGGGAAAGGACACCCCAATCACCCCCTTATTGCTGAATATATCCCCGAGGATGATAGGATGCGCTCTGCAGATAGCGCAATCTTCAGGTGTGAGCAACTCTTGCTCACGGTATGTGGAAACCGCTGTCTTCCCTCTGATGCAGCGGACAAAATCACTGTGCGTTACCTTTAATACGTTCGTCAGTTCATAACTAACTTTGCTACTGCTCCAGTTTTGTTTCATCAAAAGTTTGCCAAAGAAGTATGCGCATACTAGGCCAGTCGGTGCTGACGAAGGCTGGGAGGTCTGTTTTCTAGTTTTTTCATGCACCTCCTGACTAAATGTCGATATGCAGCCTATATCCCCTCTGCAGGTCCAGAGCTGTACCTATCGAATCAACGTGCCAATTTCAGGGAATCTGATAACGGCATTAGCTGCAGAAGTCCCTGAAGATGACAACGTTGTGACACCATTTGATGTGTGGGTACACCTGTCGCTCTTCAGCTTCTCCAGTGATGGTCCCTCGCATTTCAACGCAGCTTGATGTTACTATCATAATGCATGATGTTAACCTGTACCGTCTGCATCATTCACTGACTGCATGATATTTCTATTTCTCTGCATTAATCTTGTTATGCTGACGCCACATGTCGTTACATGTCATCATTGTACTAATTTCATTATATCGCTGCACTGTCTCCTCACTGCACTAATTTCGTTATATCGCTGCACTGTCTCCTCGCTGCATTGTCTCCTCGCTGCACTAATTTCGTTATATCGCTGCACTGTCTCCTCACTGCATTGTCTCCTCGCTGCACTAATTTCGTTATATTGCTGCACTGTCTCAATGATCGCCATCCATTATTCCCTGCACCAATCGCATCGCACTTGCACTATGTTGTTATGTACTTATTTCCACTGCAGTTATCTCATGACGCATGCACCCTGTTCTTGCATGCCTGTACTGTCCAACTCGTTCATACAATAATCAAAAATTGATGCTATTACAGGTTACAAAATTTGTGTCCATTAATTAGCCAAGCTCAATGCGAGGTTTAGCTGTGCATGCGTCCATCGAAGTTCCAGGGCTCTATCACCAATGTACATAGCTGTATGGGTAGATGGAGAAGTGGCAAAGGTATCTAGTGAACGCCTCAGAGCACCCTGCCTGGAAGTAAGGGAAGGCATTCTCACAAGACAGAGGCGCAACTCTTCTGCCATCCTGATAACTTTCCGATGATTCGCAAACGTTCCCTCGACTGCACCTGTCCAAAGGATTACATCTTTTCGTGTGATACCCATAGAGGTAGCCATGGTTGCGCTGTCCATATCGAGGCCTAGTGCATCACAAACCCTCTGTACCATAAGGTAGCGAGCATATGCGGTGTAAGCTGATCCAAACATAGGCTGGGCAAGCAGTTGAGCACTCCGATGTTCGGCTGGGAAGTTTGCACTGAGATAACTAAAAGGATCCTTCAAGTACGATGATCATTTAGTCAGTACTGAACCATCAATAACAAGAGCCTGGGCACGTACTATCAATTCAGACCCATCCGAGACAACAGCTTCATGCCAGTACTCCAATGACGCTCGCAAGGATGCATACCACACCTCCTCTCCGAATTGAATAGAGGTGGAATTCGAGGCTGTCTTCACAGAAAACATGGATTCTGCCGAACGGTCAACATTGCTCCGGTTCATCTCAGAGTATACTAGCCTGAATGTCAGCAGTATAGATAAAAACACATAAGAGAACTCACTCACGTTGATCAACGGCGTAATGTCAGTCGCTGCCAAGCAACGTCAAGAAGAAAATCAAGGTAAGCCTGTGAATGAGCTAAAACGGGATTTCGTAGTCAAAACGGGATTTCGTAGGACTTCGTAGTCAAAAGTGAGGATGAAACCATTTGTTTGTTACGCTTTGGTCTTGACTTAGTCTACCAAATTGCCACTTCAGGATAAGACCTCGCTCACGGGGATTCACGGTGATTGATGTAAAGTTGAATTCTTAGCCAAAACCGTAATACATTTTCAAAGTCGTATGTTTTTGTCCAATACGGTCCCCCATAGTATTGGACAAAATTCCAGAGTTTTGCTTTGAGCTTGTCAAACTTGATTTCGACTTTGCTCTTACCGAATAAGGAAGGTGTGTCCTTCGACAGCGACATCGACCTTGACTTTGACTTTGACTTCTGCTTCCATAACTCTACTCTATGTGATTAATACAGCTTATGTTGAATTACAGCCAATTCCCCTCGAGAACGTGACTGTTAAGCCCAAGGATGTCGGCGTTATCGGTAATATCGCGTTTCGTCGCTGTTTCCCACGCTTGCTCGCTGTGTGCCACTAGTGGCACACGACGACGACGACCACACCAAGCACACTACGAAGCACAACGCAAGACAACTTCAACAGTTGCACAGCTTATTCGTATTGATTACAGCCATGGGTATCAATAAATTCCCCTTGAGACTATCGAGCTGCTCATGAAATACTTAATTAGGCTGATTTGCCTTGACTGCTGACGGTGACTTTGTGGAATTACATGGGCTATCAACAGCAGAAGCAGAAACAATGGGCATCGAGGACGGCAGTCCGACGTGTTGCCCGCCGTAAATGGAGGTGAAGAAAGGGAGGGTGATACTCCACCACTAAGCTTCGGAGCAGGATGGCCAAACCGAGCGTCGTAGGGGAAGAACTCGGTTTAAGAACAAGCAGACGTGAAAAATTGTCAGTAGCATATACATAAAATAAAATGAACAAAACCATCAGGCTTGTCGCCTCCAAGAGGCGTGTTGGACCAGGGATGTAATGGTTCGCTGCGGCGCCGAGGGACAACAAAACGAGAAAAAAAACTCACCAACCATCGTGCCGGCAGTTGTCCGTGGGTTCTGGGGGTGAGCGCACAGTGTCGTTGGGGCTTGGCATTGAGTGGATGCGGGGAACATGCGTGGTGACATAGTTATTGATTGTGCCGGCGATGTGGACGCTGGACTTTCTGCCGGCACTTGCCGAGGGTCAAGCTCAACACATCAAAATCAAAATCAAAACGTCATAGTAACGCGGAAGACACTCCAACACTAAGCTCAAGTCAAGTTTCGCAAAGCCAAAGCGAAAAAACAATTTGTCCAGTACGGTCCCTTATAATAAACAGTCATACCAGCAGTGAGCTCAGAAGGGAGTCAGATTCAGTTTCAAACGAGCAGTATACTGTATCATAGAAATTGCGCAGTCCAGCACCATTTGGGGGTACCAAGCATCGTAATAGGCGGGACCCTTTTGTTTGTCCAGCTCCACAAGTAAACAAAAGCGGTGAATGAACAAAAATGTATTCTGATATGAAAGTAACTGTAACCCCACTAACCCCAGTTATTTCGCGGTTAATTCCATGCAGGATGCACTAGTTATAACCTATTTGGTTATAATCCGGGTTAATAACAACACTGATTGAGAGTACATATCGTCAAGCCATCGTGGATATCATGATCAAGGTGCTTCTAAATCTATACTATGCATTTCAAATTGCTGACGAGAATTCACAATTCGGGGTTTCAGTATCCAAGGCTGATTCAAGACTCGCCATCATGACGGTGAAAACGTTAACCGTGACTTTGGTTCTTATCAGCATGTCTCAACGCACCAGCACAGCAGTCAGTGCTGCTCGGTCATGACATACACACCCTTAGGATCTTTAGTACATCTAAGTGTTTACTGAAGCCTAAATGTTGTTCTTCCGCCGCCTACCGGGTGTCCAGGCTGCGTCGGTACGAGTAAGTACTACTTATATCGTAGCGGCGCGAGCGCCAATCCCCGACTCGGCCGACACTGAATTGTAATTATGAAGGGCGCCGGTTTTCGATTCTCCCTTTGCCATATTCCTTCATCCTTGCACACTATGGTCTCCTTGCTATCATGTCTCAGATTCCTTGTCCTGGGTGAGCGAATCTAGGCTTCTGGCCCATTTTCAGAAAAAGTTTCACTTTTCACGCGCACATGAAAATAGTCGTCCGTTGTGAGGTCGTGAATTAGGAAATAAGTTCACGCGCACATTTGCATACAGGTGCCTGGCCGTTTGGAGCTGACAGAACCCTCCCTACTTCGTAGAGTCGGGGATATAGTAGCCATCCACCGGTCTACGTTTCAAAGCCTGATAGCACCCTTTTTTTCAGGAATCATCCCACAACTTCGGGCCTCTTCTCCTTCGCATTGCCTCACCAACTTTGCGGGAGCAGTTGGGGTGTTCTTGCGAGCTGCCTTAAATTATCGTGATTCGTTAGCAAACCATCACTGCCCACACGATAACATGAGCTTAGATTCATGCCTGGTTCGATCGTGCAGACTGGGTAGAGCTTCAGCCTGGTCTTTGCTTGAACTTGATACTCGAACCAATTGGCGCCGGTAAATTATTGCTTGCGAGATTTGTCTCGGCCACTAAGCGTGCGCCTTGAGAGTCATAGCGTACTATAGGAGATGTCGATTTGACTACATGACGGCTAATAACCGCCAAGAAGGGGATTAAGATGCGGGTGCATTCTCTGTTCAAGCATCTGATATAGAACACTTGTTGGAGCCAAGGAATGCCAGCGGAAGTTGTCTGGGTGCAGAAACTAACAAATATTATGCTAGAGTATCCTCATTCTCTCATGTCTTATTTATTAATTACTCATATCTTTCAAGGAGGCTCTCGAGCGAGGTGGTTAAGTTTATCACACACCTCGCACAGCTAGGTTATGCTCTGCCAGTGCCGAGGCACGATAATGTCCTTACTAATAGAACATAGTCCGTTGCACTACATCTGCGTAAACTGTACAACGAGTAAGCACTCGTCAGGTTCGTTCGCCCGAGACGGTCCGCCACTTTCAGTTGCCCGCTTCATCACACGCGGTGACCTTGTTATGACTAGGTAAAAATTTTGCTCGATGCATCATATGCGTCACATATACCCGACTACGGGTCAAGATCGAATCGCAATGTTGACTGTTTTGTAGTCTGAAAACAACAATAGGATGTCATCAACGTCGTATGGCAACGACACAGGGTATGTCGGAAATCTGGAAAGATTTCCCTTCTCCTATCTCATTCATCTACCGCTCCCGGTCTTGGCATGCGATCCGTCGTGTCAACAGCCTCGTCTTCCTTGGCATTACCTTCTCTCAACACTGCATATCTTGTCCATCCTATACCAATGGACCGGTGAGCTTCGATGGCGCTGGTGCGATATCGTGGCGTATTGTCAATTTAGATATATACTGACCCTCCTATTTGCAGCCTTATTCGGAGTTACGCCTGCTCAATTTGAACGTGAATTCTCGCAGATCCCGAAAATGAAGCACTGTGGACGAAAGAACTCATGACCCGAAGCCTCGTCTTCCGGTAACACCTCACTCGTGCTACACGTAGCAGCCTCCTTTCTAATGAGAAGTCAACCCTCTCCCATGGCCGATTGGCTGCATCCAGTACCTTACAACGCCTTCGCGGTCTCCACCCGTGGGCCATAGTAGCAAGACAAATACGTCGTTCATTATTGGCATTCAGGATGTTCGAGAGCTCGTCGTAACCGACGGGGATAGCGACGGACCTCGACCATCTTCATAATGTGTTTTGCACGTCAATCAATGTTGCTCGCTATCTGTCACGCGCACAGCATACTACGTAGAGATGTGCTTGAATCACTTCTGGTAAACCGCGTTGTAGTGTAACAACCATGTGTCAAATAAAACGAACTTGAACACTGTAACGAAAGATGCCAACATAGGGTCTATGACCCCAACAGACTAAATCCGATGTAAAAAAGATGAGTTGGGATGGAGGCTTTGTCTGCTTTCGTAGTTCGTTAATACATTATTTTCCACAAGATTGTACAGACATACCTGATGTCTGCCAGAGCCATGATGGCCATGACACAGCAAGGTCCTACTAGACTACCATGCCAATGCGCGAAAACGCTCATTGACTGGTAAAACATTAATGCCCGCAAGCCATATCTACAGAGGGAACGATAAGAATTAGGTCATAGAAAAGGTAATATGAATAGAGGATACGAACGTTATACAGGCGGTAGGTTGCCTCGTCACTAATTTTGTCGCGGAAGAGAAAGTAGCGAAGTGCAACCCAAGAACCCGTACACATAAATAAAATGCTGCAGAGAGGCCCCACGCTCCAAAATGAGGCAAGTGCAAAAGAGAGTAGCGGAAGTACACAAAGCATATAGATGCGAGATCCTTCGGGCGCCACGATAGGCAGTGTTCGTCGTCCTGACTTACGGTCACCCTCGATGTCCGCGAAATCCTGCGCATGAATTGTCAGAACTATGACAATCGCGCAGCAGTAAAGTGCTTGTATGGTCGTGCCGTCAGGCGATGATTTCCCCGCTAAAATATTAATCTGGTCAGTGGAATATCACCCGCAGAGGCAGAATTACCTACACATCACCAACGAAGAACCGAGTCCAAGTGTCACATAAAATCCCATGTTGCATAGATTTTTGAAAGTGGGATGGTGGCTGAGATTAAAATCGTCGTGCGCCACCATCATCACAGAGAATACGACACTGGTTATCAACACGTTTAAGCCAAAAATCGACGAAAGCCCGAAGCAAAAAACCAAGAGTCCGTAGAGCAAAGTACGAGAGTCCTCAACGCTGATGCGCCCAGACGGCATAGGACGCCATGGTTTATTAACGGCATCCTCAAGCGCAGAGTAGGATTGATTAGAGACGTTGATTTGGAAGAGATGAAACCAGAGCCAGAACAGAGAGCGAGACAGGGCTAGAGGGTCGTGACGAGGGGACACGGCATTTGCAAATATCATCTACCACATGGGACTCAGCGCCGCACACTAAAACAGTAATCGCGAGAATGAATACCACTGGGAAGATTACTGTCTTGAAGTCAGATCTTGTGAAAAGCCAAGCAGTTTCGAAGTAGTGCAACGCATTGCGCAGGGTGGTCCCTGAGAAGTTCGACATGGGTATTTCGAATCTGTTTCACCACTCAGCATTATATAGCCATGAAAGGACGAATTCTACACCGGAATGATGTTTTAAATAAGTACCTGTTACTAGATCACTGAAAACCTGAAGGTTGGGTCTCTCCAAGATCTCTCTTCTTCCCAAGGATCCATGTCATTCTCACCGGGCTTGGTAGCGTTCAGCTAGTCAGGGATCTAATGTGCTCCCTGTGGTTCTAGTAGTTCCGAAAATATGATAGTATCCCAGACGACATTGCCAAACCTCTGGGCTAAAGAGGCCCGATAAGTAGCGTGATATGTCAGTACTTACCTTACAGTTGTGGTCAATGCTGTTTTCTCGTGACATGCAGCATATTACTCTTCCCTCTCATCCCCTCTTCTGTCTCTTTTGATAAACCCAGTTGGGCTCTTTCGTACTTACTTACCGCATATAGTATTCCGGATACTTCCGTAGTCTTCTGCTAATCCGAAACTGACCTGGCTAGAGCATTCCAGACCTAGCCTAGAGCGTTCCAGAGCACTCTAGATTATCTTTCGAATGTAATTTCACTGGCGGCAAAAGGTGGTAAAATGTCAGTGTCCCCGCTGTGTGATTCACCGTAGCATTCCTCACACGTGTATCTAAGTATTTACGTTTACTTTACAGCAGTTTGCGAAAGTAATGGCACTGGCCAAATTTTTCACGTGGGTCTGACCAAAAAGGAAATCGTACCCTTCCACGCCAACAGAGCTAGAAATCTCATTAGTATTGTCAGTTTCGCAACCATGGTCAACCGGCGAATCAGCAAAAGACCTGAAAGAATGTGCACTTCGTCTGTGGGATCACGGATGGGAGTTGGAAGATATTCGTAAAGCTCGGTGTCTCGCGGAGAAGCTGTTTTCGCTGGCAACGGATATTCGAAGAACATGGCGCTGTTGAGAAGCCTCCTTCATCACTCATTGGACGCACTCGTACCATTACACGGGCACTCTTGACAGCTATTCAAGACCTTTTTGCAGAGGAGTCAGACTTGTACCTCGATGAAGTATGCACATGGCTTGCATTCGAGCACGATATCATTATCAGTCCTTCTGCGCTCTCTCACAATCTCAAACAAGCTAGTCTGACGCGAAAAGTTCTACAATAGCTTGCTATCGAACATGACGAAGCTCGTCAACAGGAATTCAAGGACAGCCCTCAAAATCACTTCGGTTGGATTCAATGTCAACCTCTTGTTCATCTATCTCGATTTCCTCGTCATCTATGAGCTGATCCTCTTCATCGTTGACTGACCAGACAGCCTTGGAAAGGTGTCCCATCTTCTCGTTATTGTCGACAGCAGGTACAGGTGAATCTGGGAACTCGAGAGGCTTGTTGAGCTCGTCCAATTCATTTACTGCAGCATTGTTCTGATTCCGAGGGATTTTGATTGTAAGTTTCTTGGACTTGTTTTGTTTCTTTTTTGCCATAGATATATTCAGTGCAAAGACACGAAACAAATACTGTTGTATGGCTGAAAAGTGTAGGGCATGCTCTAGGAATTGTAGGGAATTGCATCTGCTAAAAGACGCGACGCGACTTTCATTGATTTCCTTTTTGGTCAGACCCAGGTGAAAATTTTGGGCAGTAGTAAGTACCATTACTTTCGCAAACTGCTGTAATGGTAAAACATCAAACCATTAGGCGTCAATTATCGTATCCCGGGGCTCCGACTCGTGCTCAAGTAAAACTCGGAGATCTAAGGCTGATGCTGAGATAGAGTCCGATAGATGCCACTCAACAAATCACCTCCATAGATCTCCTAATGGTCGCGGACACTACTCACCTTAAGGTTTACCTCTTCAATTTCTTGACAAACTTGAAACTTTCAACAGAATATGATCCACGTTTGTCAAGGCAATCGAGGCTCAAGTCGATGGACGTCCCACGAACCTACTCCCTACTGTACCGTGTTCGTACTATTTTGTGACCGCCGCACAGCGACGCCTACCATGCGCTGTGCTTAATACAAGGACTATATAGAGGAAGCTTCAAAAGGAGGACTCGACGAAGATGTCAAACACTTTGTGTTACTTCCAATGGAGGAGAACGATCTTTACTGCGACGCCGATGGGTGTATGGCGCTCTATCCAGCTATACGGTGATATTCCGTCTCAGATCTTGGTATGAACGCTGTGGTGAGTCGACCAAGATTCGAATCTGATGACGTGGTCTAGTGTTCGTTTTCAAGTTGTTACTGTGGTATGATCGGTGATTTCTCTCGGCCTTTTATTTCAATTCTTACACGCAACGGTCCTCCGGGCATCCCTGGATTCTCATGCCCATACATGATTGAGCATTTAAGGGCCTAGCACCTCTTTTCACTCCATTCACAAACATTTGCAGACCTTTGCTAGTATTTCCCTTCGGGTATTGCTGGCCCCTCCATGAAGGCTGGTGGTGCCACGTTGCTTTCTGCTGCGTGTATTCCAGCAAGTCAAATCCAAGCTATCTGACGATGGTCATCTGATGCCTTTCGGGCTTATGTTCGGAACAATCCCACTTTACCTCATGGTCTCATTTTCAACGGGCGGTCTGCACACGATGGATGCGATCCATTCGCAACCATCTATCGCTAGGTTTCTATGTACGTATTCTCCTGTCGTATTCGTTCAATGGCCTGCGCCTCCGCGAGGCCTAGTAAAGAAGATAATCAGTCCTGTAACGCTATTATCAGACACGCCGCACTGGAGCCTAATCTAAAGAACCGAAAACGTGATGTTGGCAATTTGCGAAGTGAATTAACTATCGGCATCTGGATTCGCGAATATATCCCTAATAAGCCACTTGGGCCATTGGTAGTATCTTTGTTACTCTCTGCCACATATATGATACCACTAGTCAACAGTGCGAGCCCATCAAACTAGTACGCATTCACAGCTTCCAATTACTGACAACAACACAGCAATGCAGACTCGCGATGGCAAGATCTATGTCCCCATTTTTTGTGCGAGCGCGAGCTGCATTTCTCTATCTCCTTCCTCGCCATTCTCCGTGCCTCGTTGGTCATAGCAGCTGGCAACTGGTCATTCCGATTTTAGAGTTCTACATACGAGATGTTCTAGCCATAATGGACGAAATTGATATTATCGAGAGACAAGTCATGTATGTGTAGATAGATAACGGCCCGTTCTTCCAGGCGCTATAGTGATATAGATTGCGTTTATCGAGGGACCATATGTTGGGACCAGGGGTGGGCCCGTAGGGCTATTGATCGTATGGGTGTACCGAAGTATCCGGAATAAGTGCTTTACTGTATACGGTAAGTGAGAATGGTGTCTTCCCCGAGCTTCCACATGAAAATCTGTATGAAATTCCGATCATCGGTGACGTTCACAGCGAATCATTCAGCCACGATTCACCTTGTTACCTCTGAATCTACCTCGAATCGTTGACTTTAATGTTGCTAATTATGGGACATATGACAGTGACCTCGTACAAGGTTGGAAGGTGATAAAATGTGGACCTGCTGGGACCTGCATTTATCATCTATCATGATCGAGAGCTACATCATCCTCTTAGCTATCGTCTGCGCAGTCCCCATTGCAGAAGCATGGCGCACCACTCGAAAGAAGGTGAATGGTATGCCACTCCCACCTGGACCGCGCCTGCTGCCATTCGTAGGAAATGCCCTTGACATCGATATCGCTCGTCCATGGTTAACGTATGCTAAGTGGGCAAAGCAGTATGGTTGGTTGACCCGCGTTCATCATGCTTTGAAGCTCAGCCTCGAATCTTAGGTGACATTGTATACACGCGCTTCCTTGGTTTGCACTTCGTCGTCATCAACTCCGAGAAAGTCGCCAGAGCCATTGTGGACAAACGCTCAGCAATATATTCTGACCGTCCCCACAACGCTACGAACGAGTAGTACGTCCAGTTTACGTCGATTAATTAATGAGCGCTATGAGTTGACCAACAGAGAACAGTTTTGGCATGTCGTTTAACACTGCCCTCTTGCCATACGGTGATACATTCCGGACGCATCGCAAAATTTTTCACCAGACCCTGCGTGCTGAAGCATCAAATTCGTACCAGGATCTGTATCTCCGTAAGGCTCATGAACTCGTCGTTAATCTCTTGGATGCCCCCGAGGATATAGAAAGACACTTCAACACGTCGGTGACTAGTGATTTTCCCTGTCTACCATAATTCTGATACGGAAACAGACTTTCGGCATCTCTCATAATGGCGGTCACGTATGGATACGAGACCAAGCCAAGAGATGATCCCTTCGTGAACTCCGTTCAGAAGGTCATTCGGATAGCTACACATGCCTTGTCTCCGGAAACATCAGCCTGGATGATGCTTTTTGCTTCTCGTGAGTGCTGTTTTATTGTGTTCTATCGGAATCGGGTTTGGAGATGACGGTTTTCCAGCGGATCGGCTGCCGTCCTTTTTTCCTGGTGGAAAGTACATGAAGCAAGCCCCAGAGTGCCGGAGACTGGTCAAGGAAGTCATGGAAAAGCCCTTTGAATATGTCAAAAAACAAATGGTGAGCACGTTCAAGACCTTTGACTCTCAGACAAAATTGTTTTATGATTTCTCTGTCAGGCAAAAGGTGTAGCCCATCCATCTATGGTATCAGACTTCCTGAACCAAGGGGACAAAAGTCAAGTTCACGCTCATGAACAGATGATGAAGGAGGTTGCTGCAGCTGGATACATTGGTAAGGAAATTGGCCTTGAAATTATCATAGCGGTAAACACATTACTCTTCAGCCGGGTCTGAAACGGTAACATAAATCACTTTTCCTCGTGCAAAAATCCTTATGGCTGGAAATTGCAGACCTCGTCAACTATGCACATGTTGATACTGGCGTTACTTCTTTACCCTGAAGTCCAGGCTCGCGCCAGAGCGGAGATTGATGCAGTGTGCGGAAGTGACAGAATTCCAACACTCCACGATAGGAATTCACTCCCGTACATTGAGGCTACCTGTCGTGAAATTCTCAGATGGAAGCCTGTTGTACCTCTCGGTGAGCCTTGGGAAGGAAAGCGAGTGAAGTTAATCTGACACGTTCCTTTTAGGCATTCCGCACGCCACCTCAAGTGATGATGTTTATGATGGTTTCTTCATTCCCAAAGGTGTTCTAATATCAGCATCGCGTGTTACTGATCGTGTTTCTCAAAGGGATGGATTCATAGGTACCACGGTGCTATTGAATGCATGGTAGGTATCGGACGATTGTCGTCGTCATCATGGCCTTTACAGTAGCTAATTCTTCCCACAGGGTGATGGCCCACGATGAGGAGATTTATCCCAATCCATCACGCTTCGATCCCAGTCGACACTTGACTGCAGACGGAAAGTTGAAAGGTGAACCGACATCCAGTCATTTCGTTTTTGGATATGGAAGGTTCGCAAGGTCTTTTTGATTTGGGAACATTTGACTGATGTCACCTGCAGGAGAATTTGTCCAGGTCGTTTCTTCTCGGACAACGCCATATGGGCGTCCGTCGTGTCAATCCTATCGACCGTCGAGATCACAAACGCGAAAGACGAGGACGGCAAGGACATTGACGTCAAGCCGGAATTCACGAGTGGTCTTTCGATGTTGGTTCTTTCTTTGCTTATATGTATCTCAGAGGATCTGACGCGCAACAGCCACCCCACGCCGTTTCCGTGCTCCATACGGAGCGTTTCTTCAGCTAGGGAAGCACAGATGCGAATGATGTGGAAGGCAGATCCAGTAACTGGAAAGCCAGTGTAGCCATTCTTGTCTGGTGCGTTATTGGTAAGTTAAATAGAGTTGACAAATAAGTAACGTCTTCACTGCGTCGATGTGATCGCAAATAGCGGAAAACCGCTCATTCAACATCAGTCCAGTATCTGCTAAATGTTATTTTGCGCCCCACCGTTGTGCAATAAGGTAAGTGGATTTGGTGGACATGTGCGATTTGTTGCCGGTAATTTGTTTGTGGCCACGCGCATATTCCTTCAACAGTCCAACTAGTAGCCGCAGTGTCACAGGACCCTAGTCCTGCGTAGCTCCCACCTGCTCATCACTCTACATGACCCTCAGGTACCACTACCCACCGCCCACGATATTGAACAGAAGGCTGATTTCGGGCTCCGTCCTAACCGGGCGATGTCAACCTCCGCTGCCTCTTTCTTCATCCCTTTCACGCGTTATTATCCCGCCCGTGCGCTCGCCCATCTTTCTCCATCGACGACACACGAAGCTGTCGGACTTCTAAATACCTCAACACCGGCATCGTCACCCGCAACGACGAATGACATGCATTCATCGTTCTCATAAACAACCACCTCTGTTACCTGGTAGATGTCCCCGACGGAAAGCGCCATTGTGTTACACCAAGTTGCATTAACTGCCGTACCATAGCCCCACAAGCTAATAATACAGCAGCAATATCACTTTCTCAGGAGAAGAAGGAAGAGTTTCAGGCTGTTGCCGCGCTTAAACATGCTAGCACTCCCTGAAAGGTATCGAAAGGTCTTGTAGACAATTGTAAAGTTATGCCAATTGATACTGGCCAAATTTTCGTATTTCTTCGCTGATGGTAAGTCTATCATTCATCTGCTCGAACAGTGCATGATCGGGTGTCTCACCAGTGGCCTCTCACGTTCCAAACTTTGAGCCTGTTCTCGTACATATACTTGACGCCCGGTTATACCCGGTTTCGCGCATCTCTGTCCCCACCTGCCTCTGCTATACCTGCATTTTTTCCAGAAGCATCGAAACTCAGCCGAGATGGCCTCAATATAGTTGATACGGACCGCTCCATGCCAGGAGCCATGCTCCTTACTTGCAACGCAGTTGTAAGTTAGATACGACGTGCGTAGCTAGAGGCGATGCGAGTGCGAAGGGGGTAGATAGACCGCTGAAGGAATGATAATGATTAGTGTTAGCTTCAAATGACGGATGACGGATGCGAGAGATATCGTGAATCGGTAAACGAGAGTGACCGCGTTATAGCGATGATAAGAGAAGGTAATGAGACGGGTTCTTCGGGGCGTTCTTCTGGGGGATCTACTGTTCTATTCTGCTGCTTATTAGGAATGTACATGGGCTACTTATACTGTAGGATGAGGAAGGGTCGTCCTAGAATAGTTAAAGGCAAGGGCTCGGTGTACGGTCGGTGAAAGCGGTAGCTGAAGGGAGTGGCGTTTGTATTTGATAGTGTAGCGAGAGAATGATATAAGAGTTGTTGACAAGGTGAAGACGGCGGTATTACGAATGGAGGAACAGTAACGACAGGAAGGGTTTAGCGAGCGATAGGAATTGAAAGGATAGGTACTAATAAAAGGGGTCGGGTATCGTGCTTGACAAACGGTCCAGGCGTTGACGTGGTGGTTGCGGTGAGAGGAGTATCGGCATGTTCCGGCGATAAACGTTTGGTAATTCTTACACAGTGCAGCATATTTATTGCTTGTACTGGTGAAAATATCGTTTCTGAAGTATGTCCGTCAGTGACTGATCATGGGTAGCCAACATAGCGAATTTCGCGGTATGTCAACATAAGTCTGAAAATGTAGCTCGCGAAATATTAGGGTAGTGGTAAGTCTGTAGCGGATAAGGGACGCGGTTGTTGATATCGAAGCCTGGGTGTCACATTGTACAACAAAAATCTTGGAGCTTGGAGGTGGATTTGCATCACATTCAAAAAATACATCCAATTCCGAGGGATGATCATATGTAAAGGTATCAATGCTGTACAGTCCATAGGAAATGAGTGCGTAAGTAGTACATGTACTTATTACATTGAGCATAACGTCCATATTACTGAGGCTAATTCGTGCCCTGCTAGAGCCGGTTTCGTTCTGTCAAAGCAGATGTCACTGCGGTTACATGACATCGATTAAAATGGTAGGCTGCCTCGTCAGGGGCGACGTGATGCTCTTCCGAGCCTTACGAGTCCTGGGTTGCACAGGAGACGATCTGATAATGCGGGGTTGGCCATCCTTCCTTGGTCTCAAGGTTTTGTAGACCTGCCATTCCTTCCCATCGATCGTGATGCTGCCGAGATGCTTGGCATTGTCCGCGGCTTCAGGTAGCATCTGCGGGGCCTTGGGGGTAGGAAGCGTCGGTCGAACTTGAGGCTTGAAGGTGGGGTCGATCATGATAGTCCCATGTTCTGCGAGCACGGGGAGACCTTGCAAATCCAACCTCTCTCCCGTCGGCCCGACTCCAAACTCTGACACATCTTCCTCCTCTTCGATAAAGATAGTCGGCTCGGGCGAGGCAAAGTGAACATGTCTTGAGGTGCCTGCACCCACAAGAATAGACCCATCCGCTGCCGGTAAAGTCGAGTTCATCTCTCTCGCCACCCGTTCTCTCTCGTCGCTCCCAAGCAATCTTTCCACCTGGGTCAGAAATGTCTCGTGGTTCCTCTGGAACTCGCCCTCGAGAATTTGTTCTTTCGTCAAATTCGTGACGGAGCCGACGGGCCTCTGCAAGACATATCTCATGCAAATACCAGAGCCAGTCGGCTCGACTATGCGAGTGCCCAAAGAATTGCCGCGCCAGAAGTCGATGCCCCTGAAGCCGATACGCTCAGGGGAGCGCTGAAGTGGCTGTGGCCGCTTTACGGGTGTGCGAAGGACAGAACCCGCATCGAACGTATGCTGGGCCATAGGCGTCTGAGGTAAGCGCGTTACGGTGCTCGACGGTGGCGTGACGTCTCCCTCCTCATCTACATCCATGGCACTTTCTCCTTCGTCTTGGTTTTCCTCGTGTTCAGGATAGATCCAACGCGTGTGAGCGCCGAGACCATTAGCAGTTGGAGTGATAATGACAGACGTGCCATCTACATCGCGACATCTGAGGTAGTAGCCACTGGCTTTGCTGACTTCGCTCTGGGCTGCGGTGTTGGGGATACGGGATGGCATTGTGGAGTACTGTGAACAGCGTGTTATAGGGGTAATAATGAAAGCGATTTTTACGAAAGGCTGTTGTCGATGTAGAGTTGCTAGGGTGTTGGTGCACCTGGGAACACTTGTTCGCCCACTCAAATACGTTTCCTTGCAGGTGCTTTGGCGAAAGTGTGGATGAAAGAGTACTTTTGTGCTTTGTCCACGGCTTCCTGCTTTGTCCTGCCTTTTTATCTTTGCTGCGCCTGTGCTGCCATTTCAGGATAGGTGTCCGGGCTAGAGGCGGCCACATCACTGATGGGCGCGTTGACTCAGTTGTCTGGGCGCAATATCGTGGCGGACCATGCGTGTTCCACAGCGTTGATGCCCTGAAGGGGGGCGTTTGACTCGGTGGTCGTGGCAGGCTGCCGTGGGAACAATACGAATGGGTGGCAAAATTCCCAGGGCGTTTGTGGACAAATCTCCTTCAGCCCACTGTGCATGCGACTAAGTACTAATGAGCAGGAAACACTTGGAAATTTCTTAGTATTATGAGTTTGTGGATGTCTCAAATAATAATCAACCGACATCCACAAGGAGATTCTGCACTGCTCGCTTCAACTAGTAAGCGCCTTTGAACCATTGACACATTGTGCCATTGGCTGCGCCGCCCCACATTCAATGATGGGTTGGCAAGTTGCAACTTGGTACGTTACTCCCCGAAAGTTCGGTCGCTGGCCAGTTGTGTGGCGTACCCGCTCTCACCAACTGAAAAATGACAATGTGCTCCAAGGAAGGCAACGGTAAGTGGCCACTGCTCTTTGAAGGAATTTGATTTTCTTTTCCACTGGACACCGAGGATTAATTCATCTGTGACTCTCTGCATATCATTTTACTGGACCGGAAAATTGCCGGAGAGGGACAATAGCAAGTACTCCTCGTCTCCACAGCCTGGCGGAGTCCGAAACACCTCAGAACATCGCATTGAAGAACATAAGCAGCACGAGATGTGGACACTGCCACTTTCAGAACGTCCACAGTTGAATCTGTTAAATGTCACGCCTGCATAGGCCTGCGATGTTTCAACACCCAAACCCAGCGGATCAAGACACTAAGTCCACGTCCAACGACCTTCCTCAAGTTCAACATGTTCTCAAGGTCACCATACCACCATGTCCCCCTCTTCCCGAAAACACCTGCTGGATTCAGGATGTTCAACCGCCCGAAGCCTTGCTTTCGTCCGTTCATTTCTTCGCGCGATCATTCTCCACGTGTCGACTCGCCTTTGAGTAGTCCCGCTCGGGAGCCCAAGGTACCTACATTCTTTGACCACAATGCACCTCCTACACAGGCCCTTCCGCACACCTTCGAGTCCGCCCCAGCCACCGCCGGGCGTGTCGGCCGTGCGCCCAAGAATGCTCCTGCTCCAAAGGTCTTCAAGAAAAGTGCTCCTACCAAGCTTTCCCCCAGTCATATCAGCCATCCGCGTCGCAAGCTTGGGCACAAGTGCTTCACTTACCACCTCACCGTCACTCGTCCTGGCCTCCGGCGCAAAGGCCCCCGTTTCCACAGCCCAGCGAAAATCAAGCGCGAAAAAGCAGCCGTGGCTCTCCACAGACTTGAAGACGTTGCCTTCGAAACCATGCAAAACGGATGCATGACTGCTGAAGACCGTATCTTCCTCAAGCAGCTCGAGGAACTCCGCCTCGACCAGCATCGCAGACATACGCTGGGGGATGCTAGGGAGACCGTCGCACGCGCTGAAGATTTGGGTCCGCAACGTGAGTTGGAGCATGCGGAGCGCGACCGCCAAGCAGCTTTGCGAGTGGAGGAGAATGCGCGTAGGCAGAAGGAAGAGGAGGAATTGCGCCGTTTGGAAGAACTGCGTCGTAAAGAGGAGGCACGTCGTCGGCAGGAGGAGGAGAAGCGCAGGGAAGAAGAGTCCAGGCGTCGCGCCGAGGAACGCGCGCGCCTTCGTGAGGAGCGCGAGCGCGAGCTTCAGGCTAAACGTGAGGCTTTCCGTAAGGCCCAGGAGGAAGCAGAGCGCCGGGCCCGCGAGCAAGCAGCACAGCGCCTTCGTGAAGAGGCAGAACGTCAAACGAGGTTGCGCCAGGAAGAGCTTCGCCGGAACGCAGCTCAAGCAGATCTCGTGGCGTTCTTCGAACTGCATGACGCTAAATGGGAGGAGCTCAGAAAGAGCAAGACTTTGACTTCGGTCATGCTCTGCGAGATGCCGTGGCCCATCTTTGAGCAAGGCTGCACCTCCGCCGATGATATCACCCGCCGCGGCATGGATGAATTCATCTTCCACCCCCTCCGCCCGGGGATGGAGATCAAGTCGCGCAAGGACCGATTGAAGGTAGAGATGCTTAGATTCCACCCTGACAAGTTTAACTCGCACATCGTGTGCAAGTTACGGGAGTGCGATAGGGAGAAGGCGATCGAGATCGCAGGTGCAGTGGCTAGAATACTGACTGACATGATGACTGAGGAGATTAGGAGGGAGTAGGGTGAATAGATTGGTATGCTGTATTCGTTAGCAATTGTTTGTATGGCATGTCCGTATGCAATCGTATGCCACTGTCAAAATGTGACAGTTCAACTTCACAAACAAGTCCATTTTCAAGATTTCATAGCTCAGCAAGAGCAGCTCTTTGTGCTTTCCACTACTTTACACATACACGTAACAAATCTTCGAGCCTTAAATATCGAATAAAACATACCCTTTCTTTCATGAGATAGATTCTAGAATCACTTTTCTGCATCCTTCTTGGCAACGTATTCAAGGAGATACATAAGCGCTTCGAGGATCCCCACTCATTGTCATAGAACGGGATCAACTTCACGAACTTATTATGCCACTTCCAGCATCGAAAATGGCCGACGCAGGATGGCCAAGGAAGTCCGTAGACACCACAGCGTCGTCAGTATAAGCCGCGATGCCCTTGAGTGGACCAATGTGCGCGGCGGCTTTCAATGTCATCGTATGACGCGCTCTTTGTGGGACGCACGACAAGGTCGACGACGGAAACATTCAGAACCGGAACGCGGAATGAGAGACCACTACGAAAAACACTTACCTATAACTACGTACTTAGATCGAAAGGAAATGATGACGTACGTGATCTTGCGGTTCAAAGAGGGGACGACTTTTGCGACGGTGCATCGCCGCATGAATGGTGGACTGAGAGCTTCCTCGATGCCAAAATTGTCGTGAATGACCTTGACGATGGGGGCAAGGCAGTTGACTTTGACCTGCAGTTGCAAGCAACGTGATCAACTTGTCGTTCGACCTGGACGAGAGAAGGATTCGACTCACCATTTTTCGGTAGTAGATGGTGGTACTGGCAGAACGAGGACCACAGTGCCGAGAGGGGACAGACAACACGACTTTATCTAATTACCCATGTCATATTTTCCGGGTTTAGACCATCAACGTCACCGTCTTCGGTCACCTCCATCATACTGCGCATATGAAGACAAATGCGTGCACAGTGCAGAACATCTACGTGTGCTCATGGCCGTTTACCTTAGATGAAGACCACCCCTGTTCCCCGAGCTAGCAGCGTCAGTCACGTTACTTACACATCCCCCTCTCTGCGTATCGACCAAGAGGATATTTAGCCATGCTAAATTACTAGCGCTACGATTCCACCGAAATACGATAAACAAAGCAATCGTGTCAAAAGTAATCTCAACGCAGAGCAAAAGACACTTAAACATGATGACGCTGGGACCTGTCGGGACGCAGTGCAATGGAATAGCATCAGAAATGGAATCAAGTACCTCCTTCCTGGCCTTGGATACTGGCCTAGATGACGGCAGTGACACTGGGGGGCTCGATCCGGGCCTCGAGGATGAGTGACGACGCTGTTCACGACAAATATGTTTTACGCAAGCAAGAATTTATCACATTGACCGTTGTGCCAGGCAATGAGGTTCCTTCCGATGGCTGGCTAGCCTCGGCCGTCGATGACGAGGTGAATTGAGGACCGATGTGCAGCACTGCTTCGTACATCAGCAAGCTATATTTTACGTCGGGGAAGCATTCGAACTTCGAACAGCCAGTGACTTCTAAGCCCAATGTTAGCGCTCAACTGCCAATCGTGTAGATAATCAAGAAGGGACTTCCTTTTACCTAGGGGAGACTATAACGCAACCCACTCATCGAGACCTCCATACGCTAGTGGGTGCATGTGCAGAAAGAAGCATATGATCATCCCCTACATAGACAAGGCGTTTTTCCCCAAAAAGGCTAAAGATCCAAATCTTCTGGTCTGTTTAGTAGTCTGCCCTCCATTCCGCCCTCAACCATCACTACTTGACCAGTGACATGACCAGACAAAGTAGACGATGCAAGGACCGCAATCTGTGTTGCAACATCCAGAGGCGTGGCCACCTTCTTGAGTGGACTCCTGCGGTGGCACGAAATTCAGCACAAATGATTCATGGATTATGGTGGTATCACTGACGTGGCCAATGCGCGATACACTGTTTGGGGATCCTTCAAGGCTTCTTCAGCCATGGGTGTCTTGACCCACCCAGGAGCAATGGAGTTGACTCTGCCCTTTGGAGCTATCTTCACGATTTCGTTCTTCAGTGTAAGGTTCAGACCGTACATCATTGCTTGAATATGATGAGTTTATGTCAAATTACAGACAGAAACATTACTGACCACTCTTTGTCGCAGCGTAGTCAGCATGGTTGGCTTCACCATACTTCCCAGCAGTACTTCCGATAAGTACAATCGCTGCCTTGTCCTTGATACCCGAGGACGCATTTTCAAGATGCTTCAAATACTCTCTGCACACCAAGAATGATGACGTCAAGTTCGTGGTTATGGTGGTGTTCCACTGATCCAGTGTCATCCTTGCAATGGGGACATCTGAAGTGAGATATATAGCATGGTTGACGACGGCTACTTGAACGGGGCCGTGAGGCATAGTAGACAGCGACTCGAACATAGCCACTACGGCCTTCTCTTGAGACAGATTCGCCTGGACGTGTTGAAGATTGGCATTGGAAGCCAGAAGCTCCTGGATCGGACCAAATTGCGAGTTATAATGTGCAGTCACATTGGCACCCAGTGCTGGACGTCTTCAAGCTCGACATTCATCATTCGAGAACAAACTTGAATGACTCACCACAAAACAATTTCACAGTCTCCAGCCCGATGCCGCCGCTTGCCCCTGCTCGGGTACTGTTAGGTTAGTAGTGTCATAGGATACGGTATAGTACAACCTGTAACAAGGACATGCACTCCTTTCAATCCAAAATCCATGAGGCACGATAGTAATGTGTGTGAGCGCTGAACGATTACCAAGTGAGACAACGGTTAATCAGTGATCAAGTGTGTCTAAGTGTGAGAGTGTCGGGTGACTCGAGTCGCAACGCCATATGCATAAGCCTGGTCACCTGTTCATTGTCCAACTAGCGCCTAGTTATCAAGTGGTAAAGATTGCAATTATGAATAGCTTTTGCAGGCACCTGACATGTGTAGCACAGCCTGGGCCGCCTTTGACACGCTTTCCTGACCGTGGGAATTTGAAGTTACGTCTCTAATCATGTAAATGTCTTCTCCGAGCTCGTCCCCATCGACATCGATCGCAGATATTCAAACCCGCAGTTTGGAATATTGCAGAAAATGATGACTTTTCCTAAACTTGTTTTTGTGTCGCAGACTACAGAAACAAGACAATCACTCGCATCATGCTTGGTTGGTAATGCTTATTGACACGGGGTTCATGGGTGTTGCCTCCTGGTCGTCAGGATTAAAATTTGATTGGAATCGTGCGTTTGCTGCGTTGTAACTCATGTATCTCGACATTCACAGGCTTCCAAGCGCTCTCACAAGATTTTTTTTTGCTTCCTGCAGGACATAAATTACTATTCGCTCTGAAACCTTGCCCTCGATGTTGCCGACCGTCAGTAGGCATCTGGTGTCAATTCAAAGGACATATATGACACGTCGTAATTTTCCCGGTGTTGTGACTTTTGATGGCGTACCAAGTTTTGAGTACCAAACGCCAACCCATTGTACCGAGCCAAATTGCAGAACTCACCACGCCGGAACCCTTCACACCAACGATTTATCCAACAATCCCGGAGACTTGTGAAGTTGTCCCGTCTATAAGCTTATACTGGACTTTTCTCCCGGCTATGAAAAGAGTCTATGGGGGGCGCACAGCATCCGCGTTTACTGTACCTCTGGCGCCCCGAAATTCACGCTCGTTCGATATGACAGAACGTTGTGGACAGTTACACTACCGACAACGAGGGCACTGGTTAGTGGCGAAAAAATGTGTTTGACTGGTGTGCTGAGCCACGGTCAGCCGGTCGTATGTTCTAGTGACCATACCTTCCTTTCGTTGGATCGGTGACTGGTCGTGCCGCGTCAGCAAGGAACTGGCTCCGTCTAACTGCAACTCTGGAACGTTTTGAATCGAAAAGCAGTCGTTGATACCCAAGACGATCCATGTTGTGGCTAAGTAGTAATGTAGAACGATTCGCCCTTGTCGGTGACGGCTACTCCGTTCGTTCTGTCGCCTGCACGGACTCGGAGCGTGGCAAGCCCTTAGCCATTCAAAATGTCTGGCATCCTCGTGACGTGTCCCCGAGCCCGCGACGAGCATAACCTCGTATCACACACCGAAGACGTCCCGACGGTCCCGCTACTATACGATCCATGCTGCACGTCCTCGAACTGGAGACCTAAAGCCACATACCCACATATCCTGGTATCCCTTGTAGTGAAGACGTCCCACAACCGATGGGATATTCGACCAATGCTGCGCATTCCTAGCGCCATGCCAATCACCACCAATACGATGGAAATCTAGCTAGTAAGTAATGAGCGAGCACACAAAATCAAGCAGGGATTTCTCCTGATGTGATGGCAACGACTTCGATATTCTAGTACTGGATCGCATTGCGCATGACGATATTATACGACCTACAAACGCGATTGTTCGTCAGAAACGAGCTATCCAAGACGAATCAAAACGCAGGTGACTGAGCGAACCTGAAACAGACCGGGGCACGTCCATTAATTGTTGCTCGCCCAGACGACGGCAGTGACGCTAGGGTGCTCGTCCGAGGTTCGAGTGAGACGACGCGATTCACGACGAATATGGTATCGTGTTCTGCACGGCGACAGCAAGCACGAATTTCACCGTTGTGTCATTCGGTTCCTACCGGTCGCCGTCCATCGACGGCCGGCTAGCACTACTAGCCCGGTCGATGACGAGGTGGATCGAGGATCGAGTTAGCGCTCAAATAATAAAGAAGGAACGTTTTCGAGGGACACTACAAGGCAATACTGTTATGGAGAGTTCCACAAGCTAGTAGGTGGATGCGCAGAAAGAGGCACATAATCATCCCCTAAATATACAAGGCATTTATCCTCCCAAAAAAAGGCTTAACATCCCTGCAAATCTTCTGGGGTATTTAGCAGGCAGCCCTCCATTCCACCATCCACCATCACTACTTGACCAGAGACGTGACCAGAGAGAGTAGACGATGCAAGGACCGCAATCTGTGTTGCGACGTCCATCGGCATGGCTACCCTCTTGAGCGGAGTCCTACGATGACACGAAAGTCAGCATCAATTGTAAATGATTCATGAATGATAATTGTATCACTGACGTAGCCAACGCGCAATACACTATGTGAGGATCCTTCAAGGCTTCTTCAGCCATGGGTGTCTTGACCCAGCCAGGCGCAATACAGTTGACTCTCCCCTTGGGAGCTATCTTCACGATTTCGTTCTTCAGTGTAAGGTTCAAACCGTACATCATTGCTAGAATATGATGAGTCTATGCCAAATTAGGCTGCGGACAGACTGACCGCTCTTCGTCGCAGCGTAGTCCGCGTGGTTGGCTTCACCGTACTTCCCAGAAATACTTCCGATAAGCACAATCGCTGCCTTGTCCTTGATAACCGGGGATGCATTTTCAAGATGCTTCAAATACTCTCTACACACCAGGAATGATGATGTCAAGTTCGTGGTTATGGTGGTGTTCCACTGATCCAATGTCATCCTTGCAATGGGGACATCTAAAGTGAGATATATAGCATGGTTGACGACGGCTACTTGAACGGGGCCGTGAGGCATAGTAGACAGCGACTCGAACATAGCCACTACGGCCTCCTCTTGAGACAGATTCGCCTGGACGTGTTGAAGATTGGCATTGGAAGCCAGAAGCTCCTGGATCGGACCAAATTGCGAGTTATAATGTGCGGTCACATTGGCACCCAGTGCTGGACGTCTTCAAACTCAAGACTCGTCATTCAAGAACAAAGGACTTACCACAAAACAATTTCACAGTCTCTAGCCCGATGCCACCGCTCGCCCCTGCTCGAGTACTGTCAGGTCAGTAATGTCATAGGATATGGTAGAGTACGACCTGTAACGAGGACATGCACTCCTTTCAATCCAAGATCCATGAGAGCCTGAAACTGTAGCGGTGTGTGCTGAACGATAACAAAGCGGGACGACGATTAATCAGTGATCAAGCGTGTCTAGTAGGTGTGAAAATGTCGGGTGACTCGAGTCGCAACGCCATATGCAAAAGGGTCACCTGTCCAACTGAGTCGTTGTAAGTAGAAAAGACTGCATTTATGAATAGCTTTGCAGCTGGCATGTGTACACTGCAGTCGTTCAGGGCCTGGGCCTTTGACAGACTTTGTTGACTGTGGGAAATTACGGTTCGCCCCTGAGATGCGAAGATGATCGACTTCAATGGAAAGTAGTGTATTCCGACACAGTAATTCACATTTCCACGCACGCGCCCCGATATAACCACAACCAGTACTCGACAGTCGTTTCGCGCACCTTCAATTCAAGTGCGTGTTGGAGCATCATAGACCAATGCTTCATTACTAGCGCTACGCTAATCACCCCCAAAATATGAGAGTAAGTACTAATCAACAAACACACAGCACAAAATCAAGCAGGGATGACGCCCTGCAGCCTAAAGTCCCTACTGCTCGCACCGACAGAAAACGTGATCTGGCCGTCTGGTTTGCGCCACCCCTGAGCAACGACGTCCCAGATAGACAAGTCGTAGCGCGAGAGCGTGATCGAGGCGAGCTCTGTTTCATACGGGTCTATTTCAACATTTGTGAAGCCCTTAAGGACTGAAGGAGGTTCGCTGGCGGAAGACGGGTAGTGGATGTAGAGCTGAGGAATCTGTTCCAGGGGCTTGGGCGTAAGGATACGATCGATGAAATTCGGATTTCACAGACCTCAGTTCCAGACACGAATCCAGTGTTCGTGACCTTGAAAGTCACCCGGAATGCTGGCTCATGGAGCCTGGTGCATAGCTATATCAGCTTGCAATTCCGTCACTAGTCCTGGAAATCTCACCAAAGCGCAGCAGAAGACCCTTCAGCAATGGGCGAAGCTCCCCCGTCCTCCCAAGCAGCGATCAAACCCGCCTGACCAACGTCCAATGATTGAATAGCATCCACGCAAAGGTCGGAATACGAGAACGTGGTGTAGCTCAAGCCGAAGCCAAACTCAAAGCGCGGCGTGATATTCGCCTCGTTTTCCTTATTCAACACATGAAAACGCAAAGCAGATTCGGGGAACTCACTTGATCAAAGTGACGATAATCGACGAACAACCTACGAATATCGTGTGATCAAATATCTAAATCGGCCTTGATCGGATTTACATACCCCTCGGTATAATTAATAGTCAATATCTCGCTCCTAGAACCACCAGTGACGAGTTGTGCGGGATAATCGGCGGGATCCTTGGCGATGGTATACGGCAGTTTTCCGGACGGGTTGTATGCGCCGTAGAGCACATCAGCAATAGCATTCCCGGCCTCCTGTCCTTGAATGCCAGCCCAGACAACGGCGGTGACGTTAGGGTGCTCGATCCAGGGCTCAACAATGAGCGGGCCGACGCTGTTCACGACGACTATGGTATTGTTGTTCTGCGCAGCGACAGCAAGTATGAGGTGATCACCGTTGTTCCAGGCAGTGAGGTTCTTTCTGGCAGGGAATGAACCACCGTCGCTTAAAGATGGGTGAAGAACATACCGGTCACCCTCATTGCCATCAACAGTAATATAACCCTCGCCAGAGTCGGAGTTGATGAAAACTAGAGCGACGGCCTGACCAAACGCCATAATACTAACAAGAGGAGTGTTCCAGTCGTCGAAGGCCCAGAACACGCTGCTGCCGTCTTGGCGAGCACGGTGCTGGATGCCCTCGAGAGGCGAAATAAGGTAGGGAAAGTTGCCAGCCCTATTCGGCGCCAATGAGTGTTCAGGAAGAATATCATGCATTTTTGAGAGCGAACATACCCAGATCCCCAGCCCATCGCCAGAATGCCGCTGGTACTCGCAGGGGATAACTCGCCAGGGATATAGTTTCCAGGACCCGCGTCACTTCCAACTAATAACATGTTCCTCGGCTTGTTCAATGGCAGCGTCCCGTTTGTATTCTTCAACAGAACTGTCCCAGCCGCGCCAATCTCTCTTACAAGCTTGTAATGGTCCGCTTGTACATTCACATGCTTGTTGGTCGCTTCGTCAGTCGGATTGAACGTGTTGAAGTTCGTGGCAGGGTAGTCCTCGTCCTGGTGAAGGAAGTACCAACCAGCGATGATACGCGTCGCCATGTCGTCCAGCCGAGCCATGCTAATGTACCCATCGTTCACATATTTCGTGAGATTGCCTCCAAAGTAGGAGTCGTTAGAGTAAAACGTGATGTCGCCGGGCATGGTCATATCAAGCCCTGCGACAGCGGAAAGGGTCGACATGGTCGCCGACCAGTCAGATTGAACGAAGCCTCGGAAACCGTACTCCCGCTTCAAGATGTCGTTGAAGCATCTTGTCGTTGTTGCATGCATAAGTATCGTTGACGAGGTCTGCGATTCACATCTCAATTGATGTGAATGGTATAAACCGTGATGGAGGCGTACTGTAACTGCACATGATGGACGAAACGCCAGCCATGACGCTGCGCAAGAACGGGTGCGCGTAAATCTCATGCTGAGTCCGGTCATCGACGTTTGAGGATGCTTGATTACGGAAGTGCTCCTGCTCGCTAGCAGGACAGATAAGTATAAACGGAAACGGGTGCATCAGGAGACGAACTTATTTATGAAATGCTTGGCGGTTGCTTGTACTCCGCCTTGTTGCATGCCTAGAATCGTCTCATACGCAGATTCGCCAGTCAGGAAAGGGTCGGCACCGAAACCCTCCCAATTGCGGCCGCCTTGAGGGATGCGGCCCACATTCATCATGGGGCCAAGAGCAATGTTGATGCCTTTGCCCTTGAACTCCTGACCTAAAGCCAGGCCACGAGCACGCATCAGAGCGCGATTCCAGCTGACATAGATATTAGACAATTATGTCGGCGAACTTGAAGAGGACTTACGTGGACGCTACATGAATCCCAGCTGGGAATAAAGTCGTGAAGTCGGTTACAGAGACAGCGAGGGGGCCATTCTAGCGAATCATGAGACAAATACCTCATAAATTTGAGCCACACACATTAGAACACAAACCGGGGAAATTCTTATTGGGTGGGATGTTACCGACACATAACTGATTTACAACCGCACCAGTGGTGATGTTGACTTTTTCCTCGATGGTATAATCCGATATCTGGGTACCAAGCACGTTCAGCACGGACACGATTGATAGAGGGAAGTGTGTGAAGATTCAATACAATAGTTTCGTTAGAAGGGATGCACTCACGAGCTTTTTGGCCTTTTTGTAGGCAATAGCCCATGCATGCGTGAAATCGGGCACAATTTGCGGATCACTGCTGACATCGGGAGGGGTCAAGGGATCAGTTGCAAGGAAAACCGGGGGGTAAGGTTTAAGAGTAGGTGCAGGGTACGGAATGAATGAATAGCTAGAGATCGGAACGGTGATGACACTAGCAGTTGTGGCGGACGCGCCTAAGGTGGCGGAAACAAAGCTTGATGAAGAGTTGGATGAGGCCGTCACTGGTGAAAATAAGCCAGTTACAATTACCACTTGAAGCAGGGGTGTTCCAGCAGGACTAGAGGACGCACCCAAGGCCAGTTCACCTAGAGCAAATATATATATACACGACAGCGACAGCACCCTGCCACACAGCATGGTGGCTGCACGCTGATGACAATAAACCAAGAGTTGGAAGAACAACCAGAGTTCATTGGGAGGAATCGGCACTTTGTAGTTCGCCCGGGCTCGGGGTGAACTCGGACACGGCAAAGTTCGCTAAAGCGGTCCGCAGCTGCCAGCTGGCCATGGAGCGCTCGCTCCAGTTTTGGTCGACAATAAAAGAAGCAGGCGATCCCAGAACCTTTGGTATTTACATTTAACGCATCCGTTCTAACCGACGTAGTCTGTCTTTACGAACGAAGTGAAAGGAAACGGAAACCCGCGCACGTGAAGTCACCTGTCTCAAATGAAATTGCACCAAGTCACGGCGATATGCGCTAGCTGTCGTTGAGTAACAGACAAGATGAGAAGATAAGTGAGATCGATGGATCAGTTGTCCCATACATGGAGGAAAATTACTCTGTGATTCGGATGGAGCTCGGTGAGACCGTTGGATGTGCAAAGTTGATGTTAGATATTCAAATTCGCGGTACGCAAACAGGACGGCATACCATAGGATGTTCATTTTATCACGACTTTTTCCACTGACGATGCCTATGAAACCCATGCTGGCACTCGGACAAAATTTTGCCTAAAATTTTGCCGTTATGGTCCGGACATCTAGCATTGGTGTCGGTGTTAACCTAGGAGAGCATCTGCGGATGGGGTGGGGGTATGCTAGATTGAAGTCGGACTCGGTATGTCCAGACTCGATGACGGGAAGAAGTAGTCTCCCCTAGCCAGACCATAATTTGAAGTAGAAGGAACTTGCACAGTGACTCCCTAACGTACTCGATCGCACAATACTTACCCGGAGCAGACCAATGCTTCATTACTAGCGCTACGCCAAAATACGATAAAAACCTAACAAGAGCAAGCAACGCACGAACACAAAACACAAAGCACAAAATCAAATAGAGATATTGCCTTGCAGTCTAAAGTCTCTACTACTCGCCCCAATAGAGAACGTGATCTGACCGTCTGGTTTGCGCCACCCCTGAGCCACGACATCCCAGATAGATAGATCATAGCGCGAGAGCGTGATCGAGACGAGCTCTGTGGCGTACGGGTCGATTTCAACATTTGTGAAACCCTTCAGGACTGAAGGAGGTTCGTTAGCTGAAGACGGGTGGTGGATGTAGAGCTGAGGAATCTGTTCGAGGGGCTTGAGCGTGAGGATACGAACGATAAGATCGACAGGTTTCACAAACCTCAGTCCCGGACACGAATCCAGTGTTCGTGACCTTGAAAGTCACCCGGAATGCTGGCTCGTGGAGCCTGGTGCATAGCTATATCAGCCTGCAGATCCGTCACTAGTCCTGAAAATCTCACCAAAGCGCAGCAGAAGACCCTTCAGCGATGGGCGAAGCTCCCCCGTTCTCCCAAGCAGCCACCAAATCCGCCTGATCAACGTCACATGATTGAATAGGATCCACGCAAAGATCAGAATACGAGAACGTGGTGTAGCTCAAGCCGAAGCCAAACTCGAAGCGAGGTGTGATATTTGCCTATTTGTTGTTTAGGACCTGAAAGCGTAAAGATTCGGGAAACTCACTTGATCAAAGTGGCGGTAATCGATGAAAAGCCTGCAATTATCGTGTTATCAATCATTCAAAGCAGACTCGGTCAAAAGTACATACCCCTCGGTGTAATCAATGGTCAAAATCTCGCTTCCCGAACCACCAGTGACGAGTTGAGCGGAATAGTCAGCGGGATCCTTGGCAATGGTGTACGGAAGTCTTCCAGATGGGTTGTATGCGCCGTAGAGCACATCAGCAATAGAATTACCGGCCTCCTGGCCTTGAATGCCGGCCCAAACGACGGCGGTGATGTTAGGGTGCTCAATCCAGGGCTCGATAATGAGCGGGCCGACGCTGTTCACGACGACTATGGTATTGTTGTTCTGCGCAGCGACAGCAAGAATGAGGTCATCACCGTTATGCCATGCAGTGAGGTTCTTGCTGCATAGGAAATGAACATCACCATCACTAATAGAAGTGTAAGAAACGTACCGATCACCCTCGTTGCCATCAACAGTGATATAACCCTCGCCAGAGTCAGAGTCGACGAAAACCAGAGCGACGGCCTGGCCATATGCCATATTACTAGCAAGAGCAGTGTTCCAGTCGTCAAAGTCCCAGAATACGCTGCTGCCGTCCTGGCGAGCACGTTCCTGGATGCCCTCGAGAGGCGAAATAAGGTAAGGGAAGTAGCCAGTCCTGCGGCACTCGATCAGCACACAGGGATCATAGCAGGTATTTTCGAGGGTGAACATACCCAGATCCCCAGCCCATGGCCAGGATGCCATCACTGCCACCCTGATCCGAGAATTCGTTGGGGCCGGATTTGCCTGGACCCGCGTCACTTCCAATCAATACCAAGTTCCTCGGCTTGTTCAATGGCAGCGCGCCGTTTGTATTCTTCAACAGAACCGTCCCAGCTGCGCCGATCTCCCTTACAAGCTTATAATGGTCCTCCTGCACATTCACATGCTTGTTGGTGGCTTCATCATTCGGATTGAACGCGTTGAAGTTCGTAGCAGGGTAGTCCTCGTCCTGGTGAAGGAAGTACCAACCAGCGATGATACGCGTCGCCATGTCATCCAAGCGAGCCATGCTGATGTAGCCATCGTTTACATAGTCCGTGAGATTGCCCCCAAAGTAGGAGTCGCCAGAGTCAAAGGTGACATCGCCGGGCATGGTCATGTCAAGCCCTGTGACAGCAGAAAGAGTCGACATGGTCGCCGACCAGTCAGATTGAACGAACCCTTGGAAACCGTACTCCCGCTTCAAGATGTCGTTGAGCATCTTGTCATTGTTGCATGCGTAAGTTTCGTTGATGAGGTCTGCGTTTGAAGCCTCAGGTGATGTGAATGGTATAGAACGTGATTGAGACTTACTGTAACTGCACATGACGGACGAAACGCCAGCCATGACGCTGCGCAAGAACGGGTGCGCGTAAATTTCATGTTGAGTCCGGTCATCAACATTTGACGTTTCTTGGGTACGGAAGTGCTCCTGCTCACTAGGGGGACATATAAGTACAAGTGCAGACGGGTGTCAAATAAGACGAACTTGTTTATGAAATGTTTGGCGGTGGCTTGTACTCCGCCTTGTTGCAGGCCTAGAATTGTCTCGTACGCAGATTCGCCAGTCAGGAAAGGGTCAGCACCGAAACCCTCCCAATTGCGTCCACCCTGGGCGATGCGACCCATATTCATCATGGGGCCAAGAGCAATGTTGACGCCTTTGCCCTTGAACTCCTGACCTAAAGCCAGGGCACGAGAACGCATCAAAGCGCGATTCCAGCTGTCACAGATATTAGACGATTATGTCGGCGAACTTGAAGATAACTCACGTGGACGCCACCTGAATGCCAGCTGGGAATGCAGTTGCGAAGTCTGCAAAACGGACGGCGAGAGGGGAGTCCTAGCGAAACTATGAGACAAACACGTCATAAATTGAAGCTACGTACCTCAAGACACAATCCGGGGAAGTTTTTATTGGGTGGGATGTTGCCGACGCATAAACCATTCGCCCAACCGACACCAGTGGTGATGTTTACTTTTTCCTCAATGGTATAATCTGATATCTAGGAACCAAGTATATTCAGCACGTGCCGCTATGATTGATTGCGGAAATTGATTCAAGATTGAAGATGAATCTGGCAAGACGATCATATCATTAGAAGGGATGCACTGACGAGGTTTTTGGCTTTTTGGTAGGCAGAGGCCCATGCAGGTGCAAAATCGGGTACAACCTGTGGATCACTGCTAATATCGGGAGGGTTCAAAGGATCAGTTGCGGGGAAAACCGGGGGACGAGGGTTGAGAGTAGGTGTAGGGTAGGGAGTGAATGCATAACTAGAGAGTGGAACGGTGATGACACCAGTTGTGGTGGACGCGCCTGAGGTGCTGGCGGAAGCAGAAAATGTTATGGAAGTTGATGAAGAATTGGATGAGGTTGTCAACGGTGAATAGGAACCAGTGCTAGTGCCAGTAGCGCTGAAATTACCACCTACAGTAGATGATATTCCAGCAGAGGGACCCAAGGCCGGTGCACCTAAAACCAAGGGAATTATACACAACAACGACAGCAGCTTGGATAGCATAGCGGCTGCACGCGATGACAGTAAAATAAAAAGTTAGAGAACCACCACCTTTAAAGAATACTACTAGGGCGTTTTATGAGCGAACCGGCACTTTTGTATTTCAGTTGGAAGCGAACACGAACCCCCGTGACGATATGGATGCGTGTCATAACGGCTGCCAGCTGGCCATACAGAGTGTTTGCTCCGCCAGTTCGGGTCAATCACGAGAAAAAGAAGCAAGCCCTTCAAATATTAATTAACGCGTCCATTCTGACGGAAAATGGGTTTACGGATCGCGTGAAGAAGGAAAACCCGCATGAAGCCTAACGTGTTCGAGATATGAGAGATTTCAAGATGATCCTAAGGCTTCAGTGAATTCGATGAGGAATGGTCATGTCGTGACTTTCGGGGTCCTGGATCAGTTACTTTGGTGACCAAGAGTAGGTTCGATTCTCTGGTACTCAAGTACTCACCGGCACCGCCGATCTCTACCCCACATCGCCCAACGGGTTCGTATACTCTAACTCCAGACTTCTCCAGTTTATACTCCGCGGATCTCAACTACTTTCCCTACCTTCCCTATAGAAGGAACGACTGTCTTCCTTCTATTATGGTTTGACTACGGTAGACCACACTGATTCCTCGACCATCCCATCCGTGAGTTGCGAGGATGTAGGCTTTCTGAGGGCGCAAAGGCCGAGTCTCGACAGACACAGCATATCCTGAATCTGACGTGGAATCTGGAATTGCTTATTTAACACCCTGAGTGACTGCAGCCTAATCTACACTGTAGCCCCCACCCCAAAATCACTACAGCAAGAACGACTGCCTTTTTCATTGGCCTATCTAGGAGACTAGCCCCTCTGGAGCAAATTTAGACCTTCCAGAACCTCCTGCTAGTTTAGCTCGTGCCTTGCGGTAGAATGGGGATAAAAATCACCATGTGCGTCTAATACCTATGCCGTAGACTCGCTGACCAGTTGGATTCATCCATACAGGATTCAAAATATAGAGACCAAAGCCTGTTTGGTAAGAGACTAATCAGAGTCCCTACGCTTATATATCACCACCAGTTTCAGTTCAATATCTCATTCTCTTCTGATCAGCTCGGGTATACCACCCCATTAATATCGATATCAGATATATACTGGTCTTCTACCAGCTGCGCAACTATTTATACCCAGGCCCCTAACTGGCACGAGGCATAACCACATCACAGGCATATCGCAACACCGCCCATACACCACCCATCCATCTTGATCGATTGATCGTCTTCTGATGTTCGAGGTCATCTCTACCTAACATCATCGCCTCGTCGCAATCATTGTCAAACAGCCAAACTTGGCTTTGTCTTCGTGTAATCACTCCTTTCATCCAGCGCATTCTAAAACGCTGATCGTACAATACCTCCTCTCACGGTGACACTCTTCCGAACAGAGCCCCACGAGAAAGCCCCAGTCAGCGCACTCGAACGCGAGTGATTGGTCCATGGACACCTCGCTGCCATGAAGAGCATCCGTAATCTTGCCGAGGAGCAGTTCCGTATTGCACTAGAACGTGAGCGCCAGGAACGCCGTTGGGTTGCCGGTCAAACGTTGGATCGGGAATGGTCGGACGAAATGATAAAGGAGCGATAGGCCATTCTCAACAGGATTGAAAGAGAACGCAAAGATAAAGATAAAGATGCTCATTCTTCATCTTCATCGTCCTTGCAGCCTATCGTAGATGCTTCAGAATTTCCTTCTGGTGGCTCACCCGAACGTACTTCCTGGACTCCGCAGGAGAACACGGAGTTTTGAGCACGAGGCCGATTACTTCTCTCGTTTAGCCACCCGAGAGCTTGAGGGTACCCACATGTCACCTCGCGATACTGGCAAGGCTCGTGCCGAATTAACGTGTCCATTCTGATATGTTGTGTGGGATGACCTGTGCCAGATCAAATCTCGAGACGATGATCCTCTGGCTGCGAGAATGAACTGTCGCAAACATTAGAGCTTGAATTGAAACAGGACGATATCATCAAAACATTACAATTATACTTACTTTCAGTTTACTTACACTGGCTCACCGTAAACCATACACAAATTCTTTAGTGACCAGTCGTGCCTACGCAACGCACGGGTTCATGTAATCATACTTTGACTCCAGACTTCTCCAATACATACCCCGCGAATCTCTGCTTGACGTGGATGCCGACCTTCTCCAATCCTCGTCCCTCCCATCCACTGCCGAATTCAAGCCTGACAAACAATGGAAGAGCCGCCTCAAAACCCACATCGAGAACAACAGTATGCGCTCCATGGTCGATGATGCCAAGTAGAATCTCGACGGTACCTTGAAAAGAGCCCTGCTCAGCGCTATCGAGCGCGAGCGGGTTGGATGAGGAATACTCTGCTACCATGAAGAGCATCGGTAATCTTGTCGAGGAGCAGTTCGGTATTGCACTAGAACGTGAGCGACGTCGCCGTTGGGTTGCCGGCCAGATATTAAATTGGGGGTGGCCGGAAAGTATGGTCAATAAGCAACATGCGATTCTGGACAGGATTGAATGGAACCGCAACGACAAAGCTGCTCAGTTTCCTTCGTCCCCTCGCAACCAATTGCAGAGGCATCAGAATTGCCCAGTAATCGCCCCGTACCTCACGGTATCGGCAAGGGATCTGTCAGTAGCGGAGTGGGATCATACAAGCATCTCTTCTCGTTGCATACAGATATCGAGCACACAAAGCCTTCACCCACCATCGATAACGTGTCTAGATCTGCGATTTTAGCCAGGGATGCTCAGCACAGAATCAGGCGGGAAAGCCTAGACACATCAGGCCTTTTCACTAGGCCCGTCGTCCCAGAGATCTAGCTCCCATCTATCACACCTGAATGTCTCGTCCTTTTAGCATTAGCTCACGCCCACACGTAAACCCATCTTCGACCAGTGAACCTATCACCGTCAAGAAATCCGAGTCGGCGAACCTCAGTAGTACTCAGATCTTCTCTCGAGACATGCACTACGGGAACACTGCGGGCAAAAGGTTGCCCAGCATAAGCAACAACTCAGAGAGAGGAGGCCATACGGGAGTTGGAGGCCAAGCAAAATTAGGTCGGACAAGAAAAGGTCGAGCGACAGGAGGAAGACGCGCAGCACAAAGAGCTCCAGATCAGAAGAAAGGAGGATGAAGAAACCAGAAGCAAGGAAGACATCATCCGGAAGGAGATGATTGCGAGGAAGAAAGAGGAAGGCAACAGACAACAGGAGGAAGAAAGACGTTGGAGTAGGGGCCAGCGGCCTAAGCCAAGAGCAAGGCAAGCAGCTACGATGATGATGAAGCTAAGCTACGAACATGCTGGAAACCTAGTCTACATGCTGACTAAGCCATATGAAAGGGCAATAGAGACCCCGAATGCGTAGTCCCTGCCTTGGAACCCCTAGTACAGCGTACCGCGCTAGACCTTTCGCGGCGACACGAGGAGGCGAGACGCACGCCCGCGTACTGCAATTATAGGGTAAATACAAAACATCGACTTATACCAGCAAGAGATAACCACGTGCGCTCGTCCTTCTCCTACCGCACATATAGCCCTAACTGAGGTTAACAAGCCCTCGAATGCACACAAACATGCCTCTAACTTGTTGGCACCCTGTGAGCTGCCCGAGAGAATGTGAGGTTAGTTCAACAGAGAATCGGAGTCATTCAAGGAAGAAGGCCCCTCATCGTCATCGCTGTGATCAACCATAACGGCACCAAAGTACAGAAGAAAAGCAAGTGTTGACCATAGCAAAGTGTCGCATAATGGGTAGTGTTCTGGCCATATCATCGAGACCGTCAGATTCGGCATCTGGTGCTTGATTGCGAGCCGAACATCCAACGGCGGGTACGTGTTGCAGATTGTCCGCCTACGAGAATTACTGTCGTGCTGGAGCTTGAATTGAGACCTGTCATGACGAAATCATCCAAGACATTGATCTCATCCCCGTGAGTTTCGGGTCCTGGATCAGTGTAGAGTCTACAGCATGTGCCCGTCCCTGATGTGTCAACAGCACCCGAGTAGAATTCAAGTAACTCACAAGACCGGGGTTTGAGCGCCCAAAGCCTTCCCCCCCATCGACGAACTAGACGACATGTCCAGATCTGCTCGAGGCAGCATCAAACGCGGAAGAATTCCGCGCAAAGCGAGCCTTTCAACCAGACAACACCCCGAGGTCTGGCTCCCGTCTATCACGCCTGAAGAAGATGCCCAGATGTCTCGTCCAGTCAGTATAGCACACCAAGGGAACACAGCGAGCAGCGAAGAAGAGATAACGCGCCGACGTGCGGAAGAAAAGCAGAAGCAAGACTGGGAGCGCTGGGGTCATTCTGGACCGCAGCCTAGTCGACTTACACCATCTCCCCATATGCGGAACAGCAAAGTGGCACCGGACGCTCCGTCTACAGAAGAGGGGAAAAGGAAAGAGAAGGAGGAGGAAATTAAACGCAAAGAAGATGAAATCAAACGAAAGGAGACGCTTGTGAAAAAGAAAGAGGAGGATGTCAGAAGGATGGAGGTGCAGGCGGACAAAAGGGCGGAAGACCTCGGAAAACGGGAGGAGGAAGTAGGAAGACGGTTAGCTGAGGAAGAAAGTCGTGTCGCACAACTCGCCCAAGACATTTTGCGAAAGTCTGAGGAGGCGAAAAGGAAAGAAGACGAAGTTCAACACAAGGAGAAGGAGGTCAAACGCAAGGAGAAGGAAGTTAGACGCAAGGAGGAGGAAGTTAGGCTCAAAGAGGAGGCAGCGCACGCCAAAGAGAAGGAGATCCGGAGGAAAGAGGAAAAACTGGCGCGACGGGAAAAAGAATTGGCGCGACGGGAAGAAGAGCTTGATTCGCCGGAAGACCTTACTAATGAAATCCAGGGAAGACCACAGTATCCGACCAATTGTGGAGGCTTTGGGGATATCTGGAAGTGTGATTTAGCGAAGCCCAGTGGAACCGTTGCGGTAGGCTCCGCTTTTAGCGCTTCCTCTATGGTACCAATCTTGAACATGACCCAGGTAGCAGTGAAGACTATCCGTGCATTCCAGTCGGATGATGAGGAATTGGTGAAGAAGAAGGCAAAGGTAATTTCAATGCCCTCTTCCATGTGTGTCAAATGATGATGACTCGGATTATAGAGAGTGCGTCGTGAGCTGAAAATTTGGGGCCGTCTTAGACATCATAGCATTCTTCCACTCTGGGGAGTGGCAAACGACTTCGGGCCCTACCTCGCAATGATTTGCCCATGGACCAACAACGGAACTCTCACAGGCTTTCTCGAGCGACAAGAAGGCACATTGTCGTCTCAAGACAAGTTCTCTCTTGTAAGCCCTTTTTTGCGAATACTTACTTCCAGAGACTTGTTGACCTGTCAACCGCCAGCTGAATGATGTTGCTCTTGGGTTGCAATACCGTGAGCCGTCTTTCCCTGCGCCCGGGTTTTTGAATGCTCATGATGGTTCAGTCCACAGAAAATCAGTTGTCCATGGTGACCTTACAGGGGTGTGTACGGCTGCACACAGAGGGTTTAATTCCCATCACTCACGTCCCAACTCTCCAGTCAAATGTCTTGATTTATAGCACCGGTCGGGCATGCCTTGCTGATTTCGGTCTATCCACTATCATGGTTGAGTTCATTGGTACCTCCTATTTCACAAGCAGCAACCGAGGGAATGTCCGATGGGTGGCTGCAGAGTTATGCGAAGAGGATGATAAAATCTCGCTCAGCACCGAATGCGACATATACTCATTTGGCAGTATCGCTTTGCAGGTTAGTAACTTGGATTGTCCACCGAAAGTTTTTGTTCACTTTGTGCATCCTCTAGGTATTGACGCGCAAGGTACCCTACTACAATTTGAAGACGGATATTGCAGTGTTGGGACAAGTCATGAAAGGTGTGAAACCAGAACCTCCGAAGGAGTCGCGAATAGCGCCTGGGCACTGGAAGTTCATACAACGATGTTGGTTGCCTCGTGCGAGTCGCCCATCAGCTGGAGAAATTGTAGAGTTTGTGGGACATGAACGAAAAGCTCTGTCCCCTTGAACAGATTAACAGACATTTATGCAATCAGAATGTAACACTTCTCTTCGATCGCTCCCCTGGGAAGTTCCACAGTGGATGACGTTGAACGCATATATATATCCGCTCCGTCTCCAGCTGTAAGTAGTCAAGACTGTCGTCCCTTATAAAACCGTTACGCCAAAAGGCAGTGATAATGAAAGCTCACGCTTCATTATCGCAGACAGTATTTATGCTGATTATGGGAACTCAGGTAAGCCAACGGGCGTACACCGGCGTGCACATTCCCAAAGCCAAAAATGTCTGTGACTGTGCCGAGAACCTACCGAGAACACATGTACAACTCAAACTTGAACAATCCTAGCCCTTGGTCTCACCCGTAGCCATGCCATAGCCCGAAATTGATCTTTCCTACGAATGCACCACTGGAGTCGATCTAATGACATATGCCACTCCAACAGAAATGACGTATGTCAGGGTCCCAAGTCAGTATAAGTAACAGTTGACACAACGTCCAAATCCATTTAACATCCTCAAGCTACTCAAGGCCTCCTCTACTTGCCCGTAATTCAAAGAATATCCTTCAAATGGCCACCACTGTTTCACCCACCTCGGATGTCATCTTGTATTTTGTTGCGCTGTGAGTCCGCTATTCTCGGCGTTCCAAGTAGCTGTTTTAATGAGTTATGATTTTGAAATCACTCCTAGGGTCCTCCCACCAGTAGCCGTATTTTTCAGTAAGTATACACACGACCTTTTCATGCATCCTACCTAATAACATTGTTTTGTGGTGCGACGATAGAACGTGGATGTACTGCAGGTAAGTAAATCCTCGCCCAGCCCCGTTTCAATCCAGTGAAGGGTGTCATTTCGCCAGACTTTTGGATTAATATCTGTCTTACGATCTTGGGTTGGATACCTGGAGTTTTGCATGCATGGTGTGTTTACTCTCGTTCGTGCAGTCAGTTTCTTTACTCAGACTTGTTCAGGTGGATCATTTCTCGGAGCGAGAGAGTGATGTAATAACGTCTTGAAGTCATCTAACATATGTAAGTACGAAACGTTTGATCCCGCGGAACCAATTCGCGTGACTCTCCTGTCTGTGCTCCACCTGAGCTCCACATGTTGTCCGTTTTGCTTGAGCGCTCGCTATCGCTGTGCGCTCGGCAGTCTCCTATTTGCGTGGGCGGTTCACTTATCTCCATGTCTCTACTCCTCCTTTTACAATTGCACACCACCGAGCTCCACATGCGATCGCACGTTTATATCCTAACTGTATTCCTCTGCTTTTATCACCATGGCCTCTGCATTCTCATTTCACTGGCGTCGTCGGTATTCAAAATGCTACTCGTTATGCTTTGGAGCCGAAAAAAAAACGTTTTGGAAGATGGATGGCTTTGTACCTGTGTCTTATGATTCAGAAGATGGCGATCTTCCCGAGACATTCGATCGCTATTCGGAAGAGAGAAAGAGGAAAAGACAATGGCAAACGTAGTGTACAGACATCTCTTATTGTGATTGACGGTGGAAAACGTCCGAAGGTGTAAGGAGCACTTGTTGAAATTATGCTACATATGCTACAATATTGCAGAATGTTGGACTCGAGAGAACAATTTTCACCTCGACGTTCAACTCTCAAACCAACGGAGTACGATGTAGAGACTTGCAAAGCTTTCGTGACAAAATACTCTGCAACACCTACAATATCAATTCTTACACATCATCAAAGGAATGGGCTCAGGGATTAGCAGGCTTATTACTAGGGTCATTCAGAGTAGGATTTAAAACATATCCTGAAGAGTCAGGATGCACCATGACAGTTCAAAAGTTCGCTTGAAATTTGTGAACTTTAAGCTCCGTTCAAACAAGACGCTCAGAGAAAATGTCTTAAGTCTTATGGTAGGGTTAGGGTTAGCTGCCCTGGTCAAAATTTCATGAAGCACCAGTGTAGACATTTTCGTAGTCTACATATACAAAAGAACCACTAATTAGTCTCACTAGCCTCGCGAGAGCACAGATCGTAAGGATTAGCCAGTAAAAGGATTCTCCGGACACGCACCCGGAGAAATCTGATGAATACTGCATGAACACTAGATGCTGGATCGCAGATGGACAAACGTGTGCAAACGAGTCAGGGAGAATGCATGTGGTAGAAGCTGTAACAGATTGATGCGCAAGGTGCATCTACGAGCAGGAAGACTGAGGGGATGGAGTACCGGTGTGTGAGCAACTTGAAATGCGAGGAGACAGAGTACTGGCATGCCAGTGGCTTAAATTTCGGGGAGATGGAGTACTGGTGTGAGAGCAACTCGCAACGTGAAGGGATGGAGTCCTGGTGCACGAGGAACATGCCTAAGTGAACAAATGTGTCAGCATCATCATTTGCAAGAGGAGTGACTTGCGTACCACGGGAGCACCATTTTTTATGATTGACAGAAGGCGGAGTGTGTGATCAACATTGGGATCAGATGACAGAAGGTTCACATAGGGCTTGTTATCGTCGGCTTCGGGATTAGATGAGAGCAGATGCAGATAAGGTGCTTCGTCATGAATATATTTGAGCTCTGCGGCAGCTGGTGGAGTCTTCGTACTCTGTGGGCGTCGAGGGTACTTGAACACACCAGAAAGTGACGGCAATTTGAGTACTTGCCAGTGGCACATTTGCTACCTGTGTGTTGGTACGTGCTGTGCGAGGATCTACATCTGTTGCGTCTTCTTCAAATTCAGTGTGAGAGGAGGAATCATAGGTGCGTTTTTGAAGCTTTGCAAGCATCACAGTGTGTGTTTGCTAGTAGTGTGGAGCTCGACATTGCGCTCAACAGGCAAGAGATGAATTCAAACTCCGCTCCGCTGCAATGACTCATACCATGCCCCCTCATTGGTCCATTCACAATCAACTCCTCAAGGAGATTGATACTGCTACTCTGGAGGTAGCAACGGCTCTTTATGATCATGTTATGAAAGATGATTCTGACTCGGACTCCGATTCTAATTCTATCATGAGTCTCTCCCCACCCTCCCCAATATCCCCCTATTTCTCTGACTTTAGCGGCAACTCTAGTAACTCTAGTAACTCTGGTGATATGATCACACACTACAGTTGCCTCCTTGGTGCAATCTCTGCTCTTCGCGACGAGGTTGAAGCTTCGGATGTTTTCAATCAACCAAATCACCCTATTCCACGAGCTCCACAGATCCAGCTCTTAACTCACTTTGCCGAGGATCACCCCGATTTGTTTCGCCAGAAATTGCGTGTAAACCCTGATATTTTTGATGCCATCTTAGATCAGATCAGCAGTCACTTGATTTTTCAAAATAATTCAAATAACTGTCAGCTCCTCATTGCCCTACAGCTTGCTGTCTTCCTGAATCGTGCCGGGCACTATGGAAATGCAGCTTCAAATCAGGATATCGCCCAATGGGCGGGGATTGGTGTTGGGTCTGTCACCAATTGTACAAACCGAGTAATGGTAGCACTGCTACATCAGCATGACAAGTTTATATCCTTCCCGATGGCCAATTCTGATGATGCGGAGAAGGCCCGTGAGTGGGTAGAGGACAAGACCTGCCCAGAGTGGCGAAATGGCATATTTGCCATCAACGGATCTGCAGCTAACCTGATGAATAAGCCTGGGCTTCACGGTGAGGTATTTTTCAACAGGAAAAGTACCTACTCTCTTAACTGCCAGGTTTTTTTTTCCCCACGATTTCGTATGTTTGATTTAATTTTTGTCACAGTTGGTCATCATGCCGCATAACCTCCTTATAGCTGACTATTCTGTCGGCCATGCGGGAAGCACGCACGATGCATACGCATTTCAATCAACTCGGCTTTATCGGGAGCATGCAGACCTACTTGATGACAACCATTGGGTATGGGCAGATAGCGCATATCCAGTAGAGATGTGGTGCATTCTACCATTCAAGAAACCACAGAATGGAGCCTTGACACGCAATCAACGAACATTTAATTATCACCTTTCGTGTGTATGTACTCTGAATGTCCTGAGAATTCTGTTAATTTAACGTGGTTCAGGTTCGGGTTCGGGTTGAACATGCCTTCGCAGCTCTTAAAGGATGTTTCCAGTCTCTTCGGGAGCCTCGCCACCCTATCACTGCAGAAAAAGACCTTCACTATTCAAGTTATTGGATTTTATGTTGCTTCATTCTCCACAACATGATTGTTCGGTTTGAGGAACAGCACAAGAGTGAAGACACGGTCGAGTGGGCTCGTTGAGAAGGGGCACAGTTTGTGGCTGCAGTGGAGGATGGTATAGGTGATAACCCTGTTGATGGTACTCCAGGTCAACAGCATCGGATAGAGCTCATGAATCTCTTACTCGACAGTCCTTACAGCGCTGATGCAGAGCGTAGAGACTAGTAGGTATCCCATTGAAATTTGTATTAGTACGCGAACAACAAAGGACATAGGCCTATTACGAGCATGCTAAACGAAACGAAGCGAAAATGAAAACAGCAGCAACAGTACCTGATGATGACGGCTAACAAAACATATGTTCGATGTACAAACAAGCGCGGGCATGCAGCGGTCAACGATGGTGGCCAATGATGAAACAAGTACAATCAGGATGCGTGCGATGAAGATTCGGCGACGGCTACTTTGTGCTGGAGTTGGAGCTGCTGCTGCTGGAGCTGGAGCTGCTGCTCTCCTAGCTGCAGCTTGAGGCGGAGAAGTTCCATCTCAGATGCATGTGTTTGAGCTTTGGCTTGCTCGAGACGAATGTTGGCATTCTTTGATTCTAGCGTGCGCTGATGATCAAGTGAAGAGCTCGACTGCTGAATCAACTGTTTGCTGAGAGAAAACATCTGGTCCCGTTCCTTTTCATGGATCTGCAACTTGAGCATCTTCTGGTCTGCTTTCGCAGCGTAGTGCTCGGATACTACCCCCTGCGCAAGCAACTGTGCCTTGTCACGAACATTGGCGATATCAGACCGCACGTGTTTGACACTCTTAGCCTTGGTGGAGGATGATGTGTTTGTTGTCGGCGAAGGTGTGGGAACAGATCCAGATGAAGAGCGTGATTGTACTGATGAGCTTCTGATAGAGGATGCAATAGAAGGAGGGGGCCGGCGAGGCTTGGAAAGAGATGTGCAGCTGAAGGCACAGTTTGCATGAGGTGTAAATGATGCGCGCAAGTCGGACACTGGGGTGTGGGGTGACATTGTAGGTGGAATAATAGTATCCGGAGGTGGCAAAGGGGAGAATGGGCGCGGACGCTTGTCAACACGATTCTCATAGGGAACTGCAGTCTCATATCCCGCTGTCTCATAATCTTCGTCGGCATCAGCATTCATCTCACTGTCACCGCCATTCACCTCGGTGATCATTGCGCTATTGTCCAGGGTGTCATATTCGTCATTGTCATCCGCAGATGACACAGTTTGAGGGAGCTGCTGGGTATGATCGATACTGGTTGGAGGGAGGTCCTGAGAGGGGTCTGGGCCACCCAGTTCATCGGCATTGGCATTGGCATCATAAGGATCTTCATCGTCATCCGGAGCTGGGCAGCTACCAGCAGTGGATGTAGAAGCAGGAGCACTTTTCATGTGCATGATAGACAGAAGAAGGCTAGAGTGATCAACTTTCGGATCAGATGAGAATGCCTGGGGGGCATATGATGGGATGCTGCACCACAACTCATCAAGGTCATCATAGGTCGGAAGCTGTCTTAGTACATCCTCTACAAGCTAATCAGCATCAGTCGTGTTTTATCAAATAAAAAACTTACCACGTAGATTGGCCGCTGCATTTGGATCAGTGGGATCAACTCCACCGCCGGTCTGGGTAAACCTTGTTCATTGTGTTCGATATTTTTTTTTAAGACTAGGTAGATTAGCATATAAAAGTGAAAGAAATAAAAAACACTCACAATGCAAGATGGTTCGCAACTGCTACTGCAAACTTGTTTGGATATGCAGCATATTGGCTGCTATAGTGGGCATCATTGGCAAAGACCTCCCGTGTGATGATGGCATGGATGCGACCCTTTTCTTTGCCGGAAGGCTGCATGCTGCTGTTGTCGTCCTGCATGGTTTGGATCTTCTTCTTTTTGTCCTCGCTGAAAAGTATGCGACAGTCCCCACAATGCGCCATAAGGTAGGCAACAAGGGGGAAGGTGCGATCTATGCACCCACTTTCCCATTTGATGCTGAATCTTGGGGGGCGGACGGGGACAGTAGTAGTGCTGGCAGCAGCCGTAGTAGTAGTGCTGGTGGCAGTCGTGGTAGTGCTGGTGGCGGCCGTGGTAGTGCTGGTGTTATGACCAACGTCCCTTAACCTAACTAGTAGGTGTCTGGAGATTGAATCACACCACAGGACTCGTCTGAGAAGGATAAAACAGGGATAGTATTGAGAGGGAACGTCTAGGTCTACGATGACGTAAGAACAAAGAGGTTAAGTCTAAGGAGTACTACTGACTACTACCTAGACTTTATACTATACTTGGGTCGGAGATATCTGAGTATGAAAGGTTGTGATATATCTATATACGGTCATAACATTGCACCTAGGGTATAGGGCGTCTTATCAACCAATCAACTACAAGAAAGGGTCCATAGGGGTTTAGGGGTATCGGGAATTAAGCAGGGTCTCAGGGTACTGCTTCTATTCAGGGTAAGCGGATATGAAGAAGGGTGTGAGAGAGTTCTCTCGAGCGGTAATTAAGGATCTCGATAGGAGATGGGATCTGGAGATGTATCGGGTTCAATCATATCTAGGGTTTCTCCAGGGTCTTCGGTAATGAGCATGCTTCTCTGTGAGTGGTGCTTCTGTGATAGGGATTCAGGGAAATAGCTGTGACTGTGCAACAGGTTCTAATGTAAGGGGTTCGGTGAATGACTGTCATGAATGTTACCAACTGCATCTAAATTTCGATTATCGAACCCTAAGTCACCTTATCCGATAAGATTAGATTAGATAGATCCCTGATAAGATAAGATGGATAACCGATTAACGATCACTATCTTCACTTCACATCTATACTACATCGACGTCATCCATCTACATCTGTAACCCTAGACATCCGACACTCATCACATCCTTAGAAGTCCTACGATTAGGCAACAGGTTACATCATAAGCATCTACACGCCTCTATGATCGAACCATAACCGAGAGTCCTTTACAAGTCATCTCTCGAAGAGTCATCATCCCTTCACATCGCACACCTTCACTTCTCATGACATGTTAAGAGTTACCTCTGTCATTCACCGAATCCCTTACATAAGAACCTGTTGCACAGTCACAGCTAAAACCCTGAACCTCTATCACAGAAGCGTCGCTCATAGAGAAGCATGCTCATTACCGAAGACCCTGGAGAATTCCCTAGATCCGATCGTACCCGATACATCTCCAGATTCCATCTCTTATCGAGATCCTTAATCACCGCTCGAGACTTCTTGTCACAGAACTCTCTCACACCCTTCTTAATCTCCGTTCACCCTGAATAGAAGCAGTACCCTGAGAACCCTGCTTAATTACCGATACCCTTAACCCTATGAACCCTTTTCTCCTTGTAGTTGATTGGTTGATAAGACGCCCTATACCCTAGGCGCAATGTTATGATCTTATATAGATATATCACTACCTTTCATACTCAGATATCTCCGCTTAGAGAGTAGTATATAGTTTAGGTCGTAGTCAGTAGTACTCCTTAGACTTAACCTCTTCGTTCTTACGTTATCGTAGGCCTAGACGTTCCCTCTCAAATCTATCCTTGCTTTATCCCTCTTCAGACGAGTCCTGTGGTGTGATCCAAACTCCAGACACCTACTAGTTAGGTTAAGGGACGTTGGTCATAACAATGACAGAGGTAACTCTTAACATGTCATGTGTGGGAAGTGAAGGTCTGCGATGTGAAGGGATGATGACTCTTCGAGAGATAGCTCGTAAAGGACTCTCGGTTATGGTTCGATCATAGAGGTGTGTAGATGCTTATGATGTAACCCGTTGCCTAATTGTAGGACTTCTAAGGATGTGATGACTTCGTATGTCTATGGTTACGGATATAGATGGATGATGTCGACTTAGTATAGATGTGATGTAAAGATAGTGATCGTTAATCGGTTATCCATCTTATCTTATCAGGAATCTTATCTAATCTAATCTTATCGGATAGGGTCTCTTAGGCTTGATAATCGAAATTTAGATGCAGTTGGTAACATTCATGACAGCTGGTGGCAGCAGGAGGAATGTTGACAGGGGCAGGAGCACTCGCATCCGTGGCATTAGCTGAATCAGCGCATCTTCCTCTTGTCCCTCCCCTAGTCCCTCTTGTCCCTCTCATTTGGCCTCTCACCCTACCTCAGGTGATCCTCTGTGGGTCGCTCATGGATGATATGGGGACAGTCGCAAGTCTTCGCAGTCATTCAGATCGCTGTACACGAGGGCGAAGGGCAGGCATTGCACTTAAAACTCCGCATCAAAATTGCCACATGGATGCCGTGCATTGGACTGTGTTAGAGCGCTTACTGAAATTTCAGGAAGCGACTCTGAATATCACTACTATGTAGTAACCGTGAGCAAAAGAGCTCTTGTGATAAGTTTCCAAGAACTTTAAAGCTATTCGCGTGAACTTATTTCCTAATTCACGACCTCACAACGGACGATTATTTTCATGTGCGCGTGAAAAGTTTCCCTTTTTCTGAAAATGGGCCAGAAGCCTAGACTCGTAACCATTCTGCCTACGTGCGTTTTTGAGATGTGTGTGAATTTTGCCGTAGGCCGAGCATCCGTGGTCTGAGTATACGCCAGGCTGGTCACGAGCCTACCAGAAGCCTAGATTCGCTCACTCAGGACAAGGAATCTGAGACATGATAGCAAGGAGACCATAGTGTGCAAGGCGGAAGATGAAGGAAGATGGCAAAGGGAGAATCGAAAACGTAACTGCATTATTGAATAAAATCTAAGAGATCAGAGACTGCACAGATGGAGTAACTGTTGTCCGCCTTGTATATCATGGTCTATTATGGCCCCCCTTTTCATCATGTATATGCAAGTGACAGAGTACTGATCTTGTTGGGAGCGAAAATTGATGGGGTTGGCCCGCTGGAAAGAAAAGTTTACTATTTTCGTTGGTAATTTGGGTTTGAGTCGAATGTACATTACGCAGTGATTGTAAGAAGCGAAACGAAACTTCGAAATCCTTGATTGAAATCGCTGAGAATTTTGTCCGCTGGCGCCCTTCATAATTACAATTCAGTGTCGGCCGAGTCGGGGATTGGCGCTCGCGCCGCTACGATGTAAGTAGTCAAGACTGTCATCCCTTAACCGTTACGCCAAAAGGCAGTGATAATGAAAGCTCACGCTTCATTATCTCGGACAGTATTTATGCTGATTATGGGAACTCAGGTAAGCCAACGGGCTTACACTACGCAGTTCATGACCTGGCAGAATGTGGCCAATTGCAATTCACATCGACAGGCATCCACTGCGGGGGGAGGGCCGAGGCGGTGATGGATAAATCGATGATGCGTAGAATTTCAACTCCGAGCGCTCGGGTCCATTGAATTTACCGCAAGCGACTTCAGCAGTGGTATTTTCCTGCTAGTTTGACCTGCGGACCTGCTGGCAATGGGTGCGGTAAAGTCGGGCGCATATGAGGCAATGTACGCCTGTGCCCTCTTCTGGGCAGCCAGCGGCTGGATTCGTTCATACCTACCATGACACGATTCAAATATGATATAGACCAAAAGGTGGGTAAGAGTCAACGTCACTAGTCACGCTTATTCTTTAGGCTAAACTTCATGTTAGGATCCATATTTTTATCAGTTCAGTTCATGTCTTCCTCGGCATTAATAATGTAATCAATGATCGTTGTTCTCGTACATCGTCTTCAGCGGTCACCTTCTCTTCACCAGCTCATCGTGAATCCTGATCCGCTACCGGCTGTGTAAGTGCTGTATATCTATATGCAGACCCCCAACGCGACAATATTACAGGCTTGTTGTAACACCGCCATACACCGCCCACCCGACTTATATCTTTTGACAGTGTTTCACGTCATCTCCACCCAACCTCATTTCATCTTCCATTGCACAATCGTTCTCAACAGCCCCAGTCGACTGCCTTCGTGTGGTCATACCTCTATTCCAGCTCGTTCTACCTCGCTGATCTGTGTATAGCACACACCTACCTTGCGTGGCCACCCATGCGTGATGGCGACCTTGGTTCTAAATCCCACTGACCCTTCTACCATCCCGTCCGCCACTGATCTCGAGCCTGACGAACGATGGAAGAGTCGCCTCAAAGTCGACATCGAGAATAACTTGCGCTCCATGGTCGACGAAGCCACGCAGAATCTCAATAATACCCTGACGAAAGCCGCAGTCAGTGCCGTCGAGCGCGAGCGGTTGACCGAGGAACACCTTGTTACCATGAAGAGTATCCGTAACATTGCTCAGGAACAATTCCGTATTGCATTAGAACATGGGCGGCAAGAGCGCCGTTATGCTGCCAGTCAAACATTAGATCTTGATTGGTCAGAAGGTATGATAAAGGAGCAACATGCGATTTTGAACAGGATTGAACAAGGGTACAGCTGCTCTGTCTTCCTCCTTGCAGCCTACTGTAGGTGCTTCAGAGTCGCATACTTTTGGAAACACACCCGAATATGCTACCTGGATTCCGCGGGAGCCCATGGAGATTGAGCACGAGAGAGGTTACTTGCCTCGTTTGGAGCCTGAGGATGACCATGTATTACCTCGCGATATCGGTAAGGGTCGTGCTGGGTCTGTCCGTAACAGAGTGCACTCGTACAAGCTTCCCTCCATGTTGGATATGACAGACAGAGGGCTTGAGTGTTCAAAGCCTTCAATCACCATCGACGAACCAGAGGACATGCACGAATCTACGCGTTCAGGTACGGATGCTCAAGACTGGGAAAGTCTTCGGCACAGAGCGAGCCTTTCTAGCAGATCTATCCCCCCAGAGTTCCGGCTCCCGTCAACGCCTGACGAAGGCGCCCAGATATCTCGTGCCTTCACTATTATGCGGCGGGGGAGCGCAGCGAGCACTACCTCCTCGTATTGGGCACCATCAGTGCTCAACATCCTGTCTTCCACCGAGCCGCGCGAATCTCCCTTCCCATCGCACTGGTCGTCACGGGATCGCATTTCGACTCTAGAACAGGAGTGGAGTGCAATATATAGAGCTCGGGATAGCAGGCGAACCACGTCGTACACCTATACTGAAGCCAGTACCAGTGCCTCTACCTTTCAGCGGCTGGACGAGCGCTATTCACCACCGCCCTTATCCTATTCAGTGGCACACAGCCCGCGCTCCACAGTCCCCGCCGTTGGGTACTTTCACTCCTCAGACAGCCTAAGCTCTACTGTCCCCATAGGGTACTCTCGCTCCTCAGACAGCTCGTACCCGCAGATACCCCCACGGTCTGCCAGCAGACTAATCCCCGCCAAGAAATTCTTCTTGGGTGGCGACAGCTTTCAGTCTAGCCCAAGTCCCAAAGACTGGGATGGTCTATTGTGCTCGCCGTGCGAAATACACTATGAGCTCTCCCATTCCCCACAGACACCGGATGAGGTCCTGTCGACCTCGCAGTCGTCTAATCTCCGTGCTCGACCCTCCTCGCAAGACTTGCGCTACGGGTACTATCACGCTCAACCTGTTCACACGTATGCTGAAGACCTCAGCGATTCTGATTGGTGGGAGTATGATGAGCGCAAGATTCGCCAGAGAGGAGAGAGCTTCCGAAGGAGAGAGGAAGAGGTTTCTCGGCGCGAGCAAGAACTAAAAAGGAGAGAAGGTGTTCAACGGGATGAGGAGGCCAAGCAAAAGGAGGACGAGCTCAGGCGCGAGGAGCAAACAGCGGAACGCGTGGATGATGACATCATGTGCGAAGAGCTCGAGATCAGAAGAAGGGAGGATGAGACGAAAACGAAGGAGGGGGAAGTAGAAGGCGAAGTCATGTGGAAGGAGATACTTGTGAGGGAAAAGGAGGAAATCAGGAGAAAGGAGGCGCATGACGAGAAAAAGGCGGAAGACTACATACGACAGGAAGACCTAGCAGTGGTGCGATTAGAGGAGGAACAAAGACGTGTAACACAAGACATTCTGCGTAAATCAGAAGAGGCGAAACGCAAGGAAGATGAAGTTAGACTCAAAGAAGAGGCATCGCGCGCCAAAGAGGAAGAACTCGATCGACGAGAGGAAGAACTCCTTCGCAGGGAGGCAGAGGTGATCCGCATATATGATGTCCAAGAGGAAGAATTTCGGAATCGCGAAGATGCGACAGAGCCTAGTCGTGCGACACTACCTCGGCTAATATCCCACCGCACTAGCGAGCGTAACATGTTAGCAGCAAATCCGCCTACAAACAGGGGTCGCTCCAAATCGATCAGCACTAGTCGTAGCAATTCAACCTGGATATTCTCGACCCGGCTGAGCTCAAGTTCGCTGCGATCGAGCACGCAGAGGCCATCAGCCCAGAAGGACCCACCTCGTCAGATGTCTATTTCGTCTTCCGTAGGACCTTGGCTAGTCCCCGACCGCAACGAGCCTCACATTCCGCCTATGGATAGGGGTCGCACCAGCACCAGTCATAATAACACAAACTGGAATTCCTCGAGTCGGTTGAGCTCGGCCGCGAGTTCACGGCCGTCGAGTACATCTAAGCCGCAAACACCATCAGCCCAGAAGAACCCACCACGTCTGATGTCTACTTCGCGATCCTCTTCGTCTTCTAGAGGACTTTGGCCCAGCCCCAGCCGTAGTGAGCTTCACTTCCCAGCAGCAAATCCGCCTACAAATAGGGGCCGCTCCGAATCAACCAGCACTAGTCGTAGCAGCACAACCTGGACGTCTTCGACTCGACTGACCTCGACTGCAAGCTCACTTAAGATCCAAACGATATCAGCTTCTCGGCCGATCCTGAACCTTCACACGTCTGCAAGTCCGCCTACGCATAAGAGCCGCTCCAAATCGATCAGCGCCAATTGTAGAAACACAACCCGGACGTCCTCGACTCGACCGAGTTCGAGCTCACAGCCACACAGTACACATAAGCCACAAACGCCATCACCCCGGCATGACGACAAAGTAGCACCGGGCCCCCTGTCTTCCCCCATTTTGGAATTGGAATGGAAGGAGGAGGAAGACGCCAGGAAGGATGCGCAGGCCATTGAGGCTAGGGAGAGAGCGGAAGATCTTGAACGGGAGGAGGAAGAAAAACGCATTGCACGTGACCTTTTTCCAAGATTACCGGAGGCGGGACGCATGGAAGATAAAGTTAGGTGCAATGAGGAAGAAATCAGACTCAAAGGATTCAAGGCAATGTACGTCAAAGAGGAAGAAATCCAGCTCGCACGGGGGAAAGAGTGCAATAGCGTAACATTCTATGTGCGCAGTCTCTCCTTTTATCTCTCGTCCCTCTCACATTCTTTCAGCACGGTGACACTACGCAACATCATGCGCAGTCGCTCCTGAATGTATGGACGTGCACTTTGTTGACATAGACGCCTGATTCACGCAGCCACCTAGACTTCCACTTCACTTTCAGAAACAACAGCGACAGAGGAAGAGGCCAGCCAAGAGATACCAGATTCGGCGTTAGATTCTCTGGAAGATCTCACCAATGAACTCCAGGGAAGGTCACAATATCCGACCAAATGTGGAGGCTTTGGGGACATCTGGAAGTGTGAATTAGTGACGTCCAGTGGGTCCGTTCCGGTAGGCTCGGCTTGTAACACTTCCTATGGTATTATCTTGAACATGACACAGGTAGCAGCGAAGACTATCCGTGCGTTCGAGTCGGATAACGAGGAATTGACGCGGAAGAATGGCAAGGTAACGTCCTCTTCCATGGGTGTCATTTTTCCAACGATGACTCGGCTTAGAGAGTGCGTCGTGAGCTGAAAGTTTGGGGCCGTCTCAAACATGATAGTATTCTTCCGCTATGGGGAGTAGCAAACGACTTCGGTCCCCACCCTGCAATGATTTGCCCGTGGGCTGATAATGGAGCTCTCACGAGCTTTCTTGAGCGCCAGCAAGACGTGTTGTCAGCTCAAGATAAGTTCTCGCTTGTAAGCCCTTTTCGCGACCACGCCCAGACGCTTGCTGACCTGTTGCCACGCACCAGCTGAGTGACATCGCTCTTGGGTTACAATACCTCCACAGCGAATCAGTTGTCCATGGTGATCTGACGGGGGTGTGTATAGCCACTCATAGAAGTTGTATTTCTCAATACTCACCTCCTGACTATCCAGTCAAATGTCTTGATTTATCGCAACGGCCGGGCGTGTCTTGCTGATTTTGGTCTCTCCACTATCATCCGGGAGTTCATCGGTACCTCCTATTTTACGAGCACCATACGAGGGAATATCCGATGGGCAGCTGCAGAGTTATTTGTTGAAGACGATGGAGTCACGCTCACCACCGAGTGCGACATATACTCATTTGGCAGTATCACCTTGCAGGTTAGTAATGTAACATTTTGACCGAAGGACCTTGTTCATGTCGCGTATGCTCTAGATACTGACTTGCATGGTACCCTACTACAACGTGAAGAAGGATGTTGCAGTATTGAGACAAGTCATTGAGGGTAAGAAACCGGAGCCTCCCAAGGACTCCCAGATAGCGCCAGGGCACTGGGAGTTCATACAACGTTGTTGGTTGCCTCGTGCGAGTCGTCCGTCGGTTGGAGAAATTGTGACATTTGTTGGATGTGAACGACAAGCTCTGGCATCATAGTGTCCTGAACCAACCGACAGAGACAGCATGATAGGATCCGAAGGCCCTACGATCACTACGCCTCCTGGGGGATGATGCACACCAAGGCAAATAGAGGTGCTGGAGTGGAAATCTGTCTCAAGTACATGACTTTGTCCGCGCACCACAGATGCGTCGCAATCGCACAGTAGTTCTCGAAACCGGCTGCCCCGTACAAACCAAAACGATATATCTCTCACCCCGCAATGAACTGTCAAACCAAACGGAGCAAACACACTGCATCGAATGCAAAACCTTCGTAACAATATACTCGGCAACACAACAGCAGCACCTACAATATACATCAAAGGAGTGGAGGGATAGTGGGGCTTGAAGCAAGTAGCAATGCGAGCAAAAATATATGGGCTCTTGTGATGAACATCCATCCTCAGGACATCATCTCGCACTCGAGGTGTACTCCTGCCAAAGAGTATCCACGAATTCTTTGTCTGTCTGAAAACACAAAAGTCAGAGATGCTGCTCCAGACTAGATACAAGATTATACAACTCACGTGTATGAGAGTCAGGACTTCCCGGACGAAGTCGTTCCTCGATAGATTATTCGGACTTGCATTCTTCTTCTGAGCGAGAGCAGACAAGAGAGAAGCGTGCACAGCAGGGGCGTCAATGGCGTTTGGCCCATCACCGGAGCTCTGGCTGGCTACAGAACCAGCGCGCTCCTTGCGCACATTCTTGGCCTTGCCATTGACAGCGACCGCAGGTGCCGAAACGACACCCTGGAACTGTGGAAGTGGCACAGCCTTGACAGGCGGCGGCACATCCCAGCTCTTCTCTATCTCCTCTCTCTCCCGCTCACGATCCTTTTCGCGCTCCTTACGACCTTTCTTCTGGCTCCTCCTATTCTTCGAGCGCTGCTCTTTCGCAAACGCATCAGGATCGCTCAGCGCACTCGTATCAGCGAAGTCGAGTTCAATCATGTCGGAGTCTGCCTCGATAAACGGAGCACGAGGGTATGGCCACAGGTCAGAATCCGCCTCGAACGGAATAAGCGGACGTGGTTTGGGTGCGTCATTGATGCTGGTCAACGTTGGGGTAGTGTTTGGGTCCCCCGGCGGAGGGGGTAAGGTAGTGGGAATATGAAGGTGTGGGGAGGCACGCGAGTTCTTCTGTGTCTGAGCGGCAGCGAGGAGGTCCCCGACTACCGTGAAATCCGAGTTGAAGCCTCGGAGCGGGGGGCGAGGAGTGACATCGCCCAGAGTTTTGCCGCTCCCATTTCTTGTACCGTTGTAATGAGCTTCACCCATAGGTACAGCCAGGAGTGGCAACCCAGACGATGAGCCTGCAGCTTGCAGCTCCACGTTGTTTTCTGCATCAGCATCAAGCACAGTGCTCGAAACAGAATATCCTCCTTCTGAGATAGACCCGTCATCACTTGCCTCGTTATCACCTTCATAGGCACGCGAAGCGGGGAGCCCAAGGAGCGTGGAGATAACATCTTGGTTGAGCACCTGAGGGAGAGCAGTCGACGTTGGTTTGGGAGAAAGGATGAGGGGATTTTGTGAGTTAACAGTATGTCCGTACAGTGTAGATTGAGCTTGTTGATTATATGCGAATTGTGAGTGCGTAGAGATACGTGAAGGGATGGAGGCTGATGCTGCTCCAGTGCGGGATGGCCCGCGATTGGATTGACTTGGTTGTGGGGGTGGGGGTGGTGCGGAGGCGAAGATGGTGTCCAGTAAAGTTAATCCGCGAGTCGGTGGAACGGAAGTAGTGGTCAGTGGGGGAACGGACGCCGTTCTATAAGGATTGCCGCCGCCGGATAAACTGGCCAGTAAATTCGCAGCAGTGGTCTCAGATGTCTGCGATTGTGGGGGCGTCTGCTGTGGAGTAGAACTCGTACCTCCTAGCTTGGCAAAGAGTTTGTCGAGCTCAGATACATTGCCATTTGAACGACTACTATCTGAAGGGGCGGGTTTACTTCCTAGGTGGTCTTCTTCTGACTCCGAAATGCTATGTATACTGCCGATGTTGGATGCGCTCGATGCTGAGCGCACATGTGATCGTTCTACAGGATGTTGAGAGCATTTTTGGAAAGAGAGTACAGTACACCTACCACTAGCCCTCGATGACGACCGGAAGTTCGGGGGAGGAGGACGATCCGGGCCATATCTATACTCATCTGGATACGGAATGTTCTTCTTGATATAGCTATGCAATCTGCATGCAGGTCAGGACATGTGCAAAAATTACGAGAGGTCTGGCAGTCACCTCAATACGACGTCTTGCATGCTCTCTCTTGCATCGGTTGCAAAGCACCACAGCCCAACCGTTTGCGATCGGCCTTTCTCAGGATCTTGTAGTTGTTCATCTGGCACTACAAACTCGGGAGCAAATTTAGAGGCAGGACCTTCCTGCCTCGAGAGGGGCAGTTTGTCTCGTGCCTCTGCGAGCCTGCGTGCGGTAAAGTCGGGATAATGACGCATCATGAGGTAGGAACCATGTGCGCCTATACCGTCTTCTGGATAAAGTCGTTGAATGTAGTCATCCATGCCAACACGGTTCAGAATATATAGACCATAAGGTGGGTAAGAGTCCCTGCAGAATATGAACATGCAAACATGTCACACAAATGTGTTGAACGCACCGTTCGTACAAAAACATGCTCCCCTCATAACCCTGCTTCTCCCATTTGTCGCCGTTATGGTGGTACACGCAGACGTGGCTGAACTGATCGAATATGGATACAATAGAGGGGTCTCTACGACGTACAACCTTCATGTTCGAGAGATAGCGTGACTGAGGGGACATTCCTAGATGGGATTGAGCAGACGGTATTGTTTCGGGGGGAGTTGGTTCTAGTGGTTGCGGCTGTCGGTGACGATGTTGTTGAGAGTGAGTTGACACAGAAGAATTAGAACGAGCTCGACGAGGAGGACCCATGGCAGATTTGTTGAAGGCAGTTACAGCAGATAGTATAGTGGAAGTTATGAGGCAAGAATACTTTGCCACTTCACCTGTGTGATCTAATATCACCCCCATTTGGGGAGGTCGAATTGAACTAGTGCGATGATAGTAGGTACAGGTGAATTTAAGTTTGACTCAGTAGACTATGAAGCTGCAACATGAACTTGGTTTGCCCAGACCTAATTCTGTCCTCTAAATCACCCCGGAACACCGAATCAATACCAAGATGGAGCTCCAAAAAATGCTACGACAAAACTCCGATGAGATTTACATGCTCCTCAAGATGCACAGTACGATCGTCACTTGGATCGTTTCCCATATTACACACCACCGCCGGTTGACACGTGTCCACGCGCCTCGAAAGCGATTGCAGTCACGGCAGTTCCTTCGTCGGCAACGATCTTGATATGAGATTCTCGAACGCTAAGGATGAGACATGGTCCCAGCACAAACATCTGTATGAACAGTGGGAAATTTGGATCATGCCGTAATATACACCAGATTCCACGGAAGCTAACTCCTGTAGAAATGATGAGGTGTGGTCAGATGCACTGGCAGATGAGTCAGTCGCAGATCGGCGCACCGTCATCTTTCGAGACAGTAAGCCGAGGTCGATGCAGGACATGACAACAAAGGTAGCACATGCGAAACTTCAGTGGTACAAGATAATAACATCCGAGCAAGTACAGCACGTGACTTTTTATCAACACCGCGAAAGAATCTTCGATGGGTCGATCCTGTTGGTGATTGTTGCAATTCACGGAAGCGTTTTAGAACAATCCAGGAAGCAAGACAGAAGGCGAGGATCTCCAATGCGAGGGTGGGTATGAAAATCTCGTCATTCAGATGTTGGAAGCCGAGCGTCCGAACCGTCCGAGTCTCAGCGACGAGACCAGCTGGATATAGGCGAGCGCAACCCGAAAGAGCTGGAGCGAGCGACGCGTTTGACGTCAGCCGAGAACTGTCGATAAGTGTACTATCTGTGAATGTTCCGTATCACCCCGCTTTGCCTTGTTTATCTCAGACTCGGGTGTCTCTTACATACCACCACAATATTGCTCCTTTGTATCACGCCTAGAAATCCACGGTTTTGTCCTGCTAACTCTCGCCTGATTCGTTTAGTGTTTCCCGCTGTCATCCCGGCTGGTTTCCATATTGCTGGCAATGACATCTCCACTGGCAGTTACATAGGTTACGAGCATGTCGATTCTCATGTCTTGTACCAGCATCCAGACCAAAGTATCAGACCATATCAATTCACTGGTTCTTTAGACTCGAACCTCATCTTTATCACCTCCACGAGGCTCCGCCAAACCATTAATTATTATTCCTAACCAACAGAGCAGCCTTTGGAACCCACAGGCGCTCAGCCGTCTCTTTCTGACATAGAAATGCTTCGTGTTCATGGCACTTCAAATGCCATGTCGTTTTTTGTTACTCTCCTCTGTACTTCTCAAGTGTATGCATCTTGCAACTCGTGAGTCAATCTCCCAACAATTTGCTTCATTTCTTATCTCAGATAATGTCAGGACGGGTTCCTGCGGCACTCCATCCTTCTTTCTGTTAACTATCATTGGTCTTATAATTATTATTGGTGGGAGTATATCTCATTTTCCAAAGTATTCGGTATTGGCTCATACTACACCAGCCATTCTCGCGGCTATTTGGGGCATTATCCGTCGTCGCCGCAGACTCCGTCGCCAGTGCGTAGCTGCTGCACACCAGCCTGCAGTATTGACCATTGGCAATGGAACACCCGGTAACAACTATGGCAGGCCACAATCAAACGACCTTCGCCTATCCCCCGCGCAAACGCAATGCCCTCCTGGCCCACAGCTATCAAGACCTGTCCCCGCTCAAATGAATCCTTGGAACCGACAGGGAGTGACCCCAGTACCCTCATTTCCTCAACCATCCCATTCATCACTGATGACATACTCCGCACACACGCGATCACTGTCCATGCCTTCTCTGACGTACCATTCACATCCAAACCAGACCCCACATGATTCACCTCCCTCTTCGCTAGGTTCATCCAACCAACCAGGCAGTTCATCTCAACTCCCCTCTGCGTCTTCCTACTCCCATTCTCCCCCTCCAGCACATTCACGAGTCTCTGCCAATATCTCCTTTGTTGAAACACCATCTATTATTGCTCCAGCTGCATACCCGCATCCACATTCCTCCATGCCCACATCCGCTGCACATCGGTCGCCTTCAGAGAATATGGAGGTGCATTCGTTGACAGTGAACACGGCAGTTATGAATGATAAGCCTCCACCAGCTTGTACCCCAAAATAACAGAATGTAGCATTCAAAGGAACTCTTGCACGAGATACCCAATTTTAAGTAGTATCGAGGCATATATCGCAACTCCATAAAAGGGGTGAAGCATATTGTCCACAATATTGAGCTTCGAAGTTGTCCTCTCATTTCTCTCGGCAACCTCCAGTACAGCTTACGTAATATGTATCTGTTGAGGCCTAGACAGTCTTCGAACTTCGAAGGACTCATTGTCTATCTGTTAAATATGACAACTTACAGCTCTTTGCATAAAGGATGGCACTGGCGTGAAATTTTCGTTCAATTAGGAAATGTTAGACTTAGTGAAATTTTGCTCGTGTACGCTCATACTATCCTTATATTATCATCTTCGCAACATGGGATTTCGCAAGATCAGTCGTGATGTGAAACTTGCGGCAATTCGACTCTATGAACGGAACCTTCTAAGCCTTCGTGATATCCTAGATTGCTGCGGATTTTCCAGACGCACTTGGTTTCGGATTTTGAAGCTCTGGCACGAAACCGGCGATGTCGTGGACCGTCAGCCTAACACAGCAATGCGTGGTCGTCTGCGTGCTCTCGATCGTGAAGACATCGATTGCCTGCTTCACCTTGTAAGGCAGAATCCTGACTATTTTTTGGATGAGCTCATGCACCTCCTCGCGACAAACCAATTCATATCTGTCCATTTCACGACAATCTTCCGCAAGCTCGAACGTGCTGATGTGAGCTACAAGAAACTCAAGGTGGTGTAAGGATCTTTGTGGGCTGGGACTGCTCAGGCTCGTTATCTTCGTCATCAGAGTCAGAGTCAGGTTCCTCTTCCTCCGAAAGTTCTTTCATTCGAATATCGTCCTCATCGGACCCATTGGAATCAAGGTCACTGTCATGCTCTAGCAGGCTCTTGTGTTTTTTTTGGAGGCAGGAATAGTTATAAACGGCATGATGATAATGAATTACAGGGGATGTGAGTGTACAATGAGCAAAATTTCACTAAGTCTAACATTTCCTAATTGAACGAAAATTTCACGCCGGTGCCATCCTTTATGCAAAGAGCTGTAAAGTAACCAATGAAGAGTTTTACTTCTCGAGCTCTATTTTTCCGTAAGTCGCTAACAGGAAGTTGAACCACATCAACAACAAGGCAGTCACATTGTGACGTTCTCACATCTATGTAAGTGACCTGGGTCACTAGTTCACTCCTGCAACATTCAGCGTTCAAGAGAAACCAACTTTTCAGATTCTTTGTTCTGTGACGTTTATAGTTTGCAACCTCGCATTGACTTCATTGGATTGCACATCAACATGACCGCTATCGAAACACAACCAGTTCCAATTTCCTCTCCCATTCACAGTATTGCAAAGTCCATAAACTCTCAGAACTCTCAGCTAGTCTCGAGGCTCGCTCTCGGATCGTTCGATCTCTCGCCTTTCTCAGTACTGCAACGATGGTTTGGCAAGTTTGAGTTGCATGCTAACTACCCTTTCATGTAGCAGTCGTTCACTGGTCTTCTCGACGACGATATTGCAACGTCCCTGTTGTTCCTGAACCCTCCAGAAACTCGGAGAAAAGTAGATATGGTCGCGGGCATGAGTCATGACGTCGAGGTTCATCGCTCCACTGGGTATTGAAATTGCTCTGACGCCTAACGCCTAGCTCAAAGATGTTGCAGACCTTGCCCCCCGCTTCAGGCCTCAGGGACGGAAAATTTGAGGTACAATTCTGTTCATTATGTCGGCGACCGTCAGAGGTGCTCGCTGTGGTTCTTGTAGGAGGTGATGGTCATTTCGCCGAAAATAAAACCCCCGTATTCCTCCAGGCAAGGCGTGAAGGCTGGTGATGTGATTTTTAGAAATCTCGACGCCCAGTTCTACACTCAGACAAAGCTATGCAGTTCCGACTTCTCTACACACTGTTCGAAGATTCCATCTCGTCGACACATCTACGCCGAAAATGTGACGACTTCAAGCTTTATGCTATGCGAATTTCGAACAGGGAGCGCCTTCGAATTCGCACTCCTCATGATTACATCCAATGTCAAATGGAAATTTGCCAGGAAATTCGTGAATTGTGGCCTTCTTTTCTCTCACCGTTCATCTGGACTTACGAGGGTGGCTTTGAGACATTTCTCCATGAATCGTCGACTCGAAAGTTAAGGCTGCCAGCACCAGTGCACGATATGTCAGCGAGAGCAGTATTAGTGCTGATGAGGATCGGAGGCACGATGTAAGTAAATTATTGGCTGACTTTATTTGTTTGTCTTTGAAGCGAAATTGGTCGTTTCAATCGATACATACAAGATACATAGGTTGATTTTCTTGGTTCCAGAGGACATACATAGTGGACGCTAGTTAGCCTGTGGCTCGTACGTTACTTTTCCTTGTCTCCTTGATAGGTTTTTGCTGATCGTCGTCGCAGATTTTGACGTTTGTGGGTAGTTTGATGAGCATGTCGAGCAGTGATCTTTACTTCTTGCTTCCTGTTGCTTATGATCTTTCCGTGTTCTTTACATGATGGATATCCAACGGTGTATACATAGCACTTTCTTCTAATGATGTTGCTTCTCCGTGTCTGTGCCTGTTTAGCAATCTGGGGCCCCACAAAGTCAAGTGAATCAATTATACCGTATCAGTGACGTTCAACCACCACCACCAAGCCCACCCTCATACAAGACATGTCCTCGACCGCCGACTCTGGTAAAGTCTATCACCGCTCATGCACCGGACCAGCCCTCCAAACCGTCCAACAACACACCCACAACCAAGACATCACCCTCTACGCAAGCTGTTTCTGCCCATTTGTACAACGCGTATGGGCTGCGCTCGAGTACCTTCAGATTCCTTACAAGGTGAGCTCATCGAGTGTATGATATGACTTGGATGAAGTTCGAGTTCAAACGTGGTGATGTAGTATTGTAAGTAATCTACTGCTGATGCATATGACTATGATTATGATTGATGCTGGTGCCAGACGAAGTCGATCCCTATCAAAAACCCCAAGAACTGCTCAATGTTTCGCCAAAAGGTCTAGTTCCAGCACTCATGCTCAATGCCTTCGATCCACCTCGTGCGCTCAATGAGAGTACCGTCATCCTCGACTTCCTCGAAGAGTGAGTCCGTCCAGATGCAAATGTACAAGTGCAATGATGACGACGTTGGCATGTAGTATCGCTACAAAATCTACGCATCGCAGCCTTCTTCCGCCCTCTTCAGATCCATGTCTGTGACCAAAACAAGTTCCTCGAAAGCGCTCACAAATGACAATTATGATTCCTTGCAGATGCGAAAGCACTCGTCCGACTCCAATCAGACCACATCAACCGAACGCTCGTGCCTGCGTTTTACAGGTACCTCCAAGCTCAAGACCCAGACGCACAAATTGCAGGAGGAAAGGAGTTTCACGCAGCTATTCAGTCCTTAGTGGAGCTTTTCGAACGCGCGGAGAGGGAGGTAGGGGGGACGGGGCTTTGGGTTGAAGGTGGCGATTTGGGTTGGGCGGATGTTGTTGTCGGACCGTGTACGTCGTTTTCTTGATGGAACGCACTCAATATTAATGATGGAGCAGGGGATCTTCAGAGCCGACTAATGTACTGAAACATTACCGCGGGTTTGAAACTGCCGCGAGGGGGAAAGTTCGAAGCGTGGTTGGGGAGGCTTTTTGAGGATCCTGCGTTTAAGAGGACTTGTAGTAGTGAGGAGCTGTATTTGGACAGTTATGAGCGGTGAGTCTGTATTTTCAATCTGCAGAGGAAGGGACTTACATGATTTGTAGTTATGCTTTCAATCGTCCGAATACGAGTCAGGTGGCCAATGCGATTAATAGTGGTAGGGGATTACCTTGAGCAAATGGGCATGATACAAATCTAATGGCTCTGTACAAAACCTTGTAATCCAATATGAATGTGTTCCAAACTGAACGAAACAGCGCTACGATGTCTCAACAGTCTGCAGTAATGGAGGCAGGATGTAGAACTAAATTTCCTAATCTAGGCGGCGTTGAACGGGTGATGAACTCCATCATGGTCGGGAACTTGTCTGCCGCTTGGCGTAAAGCTGTGAAGGGGTGACTTAGGATAGAAGAGAGATGGGTAGGATATCATGCCTTCGCGTGCCAACTCCTCTCTTAGTGGCGTGCCTTCAATCTCAAATATGACACGACCGGTGGGTACGCTGGGATACATGAGCCTCATGAAGTACGAATGCAAAAGAGAACCTACCGAGTAGCCCAGAACTCGAACATCCCTTTTCCTTTCCCACACAAGTTTCATTTCTCTTGAGTTCGGAGAGGCACGAGTCAAAGTCGACGAACAGACTTTGTAAAAGTGCTGTCTAGCTCAGCTAGATGTACCTTCAAGTTGAGGTTGATGCAAACCAGAATACCAGGGAAAACCCTGAGATAGACTTTCGCGCCTTTGACGGCCTTTATCTTGCGTTTGATGACTTCCTCAGCAGTAGTGAGCTGTTTCGCGCTGAAGCGGATGCCCATACCCTTGACGTGGATGCCCCATTCTCTATAAGCAAGGTATGGGAATTGGGACGCAACCTGGGTGTCGTTTGACGTGTTGAACTTGACGAGACGCGAGTTGTGACCGGAAACCGTCGCCGTGAGGGAAGGGCGATCTTAGCGTTGTCTGGAGAAGCGATTCATCATAAAGAACACAAGTCAATCCATTAGGGAGGCTCACAGTAGGTCGCTTCTGCTTCTGCATCCATAATAAATCGATATTTTCACATATACAGCAAAATAAATAAAAACTAAATTGAATATACCATTTCTGGCCATCGCGCTCGGAGTGTGCTAAGTCGCATTGTACTCTACTTTATACTCTCGCATGGCTAAATTGAAGAAGACACAGAATCTACCCGACATTCACTGGAACGAGAACGAGCACTCGCGTGTGTGGAAACTCATCGCGGAAATCAGCACAAAGGCAAATTACAAGGTCTGATAGCTCGGAAGTAACGCTCAGTGTACTTCTCAACAGCACCTTCAGAGCACCCTGCAGTCCGGGCTATGTCTTCTAGTGAAGCACCATTTCCATACCGCCCCATCCGGTACAGTGTCACATGTAGTTATGCGAGCCGAGCGAACACGAACAGGAGGAGCTGATAAGAATATAATATCTCAGTCTTGAGTAAGGACTTGATGTAAACTAATCTAGTACCTGATAAGAATATAATCTATGGGTATGTTAGCTCGATTTACGTAGACGGGAAAAGTAGGTACTCACATCTCAGTCTCGAGTAAGGACTGAGATGTTCTAACGAAAACTCGTAGGTTTATAGTAAGTAGCTTAGTGATAAATAAATATACCGTAGCTTAGGAATAGACAGTTCAATATTAGTATTCTCAGCCGACGTCAAAGCGTCAGTGCTTCACATTCTCGGGTTGCGCTCGTACCGTTTCACTTTACTATCTCTTGCTCTTTCGTTCCTGAATCCAACATCACACCTAACTGAACCTCCACTGACTCCTGGGCTTGGTTTGAGTTGTTATGAAAGACTGGGTGGTCCTTGATTAATCCTAGAATAGCTTGAAATACCTCCAGGAGAGACTTGCAACATATTGAAAAAGCGGTGGTGGTCAGCTGGACTCTGTGCCCATTCCCATGCAAGGTGTAGACTGCCGGATTTAAGGACCGGAGGGCGAGAATTCAGGTAGCGAGCTTGTTGTATGGCTGATATGCAATTTATATCTATAGTAAGCTCTCATGAAAGGTCTTCGAGTGTCTGTGCAGGTCGAAAAGAGTGCTTGAATGATCATGAAAAAGATATAGGATTCTAAGTATTGCTGATGTAGCGAGCTGCGAGGCATGTGTAGGTATTGTGAGGGAGTTAAGTGCTTACATAACACACCGCTAACCCTCGTCCCTCACTGTGTCAGCAGAAGCAGAAGCAAAAGCAGAAGCAGAAGCAGAAGCGACCTGTTGTGAGCTCGCCTATTGTCTCCCACATTCGACCCCCCTTGAAGGGGTTAGCACAATAATTAAGTATACGTATGTACAGCAAGGAAAAAGTCCTCGAAGTATATAGCCAAATGCCCATTTCAAGCTGGATCGCGAGCTTGCAAGCGTTGACGTGCGAAACTCGGCCTTTGTAAGCATGCACGTGAAGATCCTCCTCGAGGTGCTTCTTCGTTAATGAAGCACACATCAACTTGATCCTCACTTAAGGACAAGGTTTCGAGAATCGACGCCTCATTCCCCTTCTTCTCTGCGCTCATCTCCTTTTGCGCATCGCTCACCAAAATTTTGTTCACACCTTCAGCACACACACCTCTCACATACGGCATGGCTCATATCACTCCTGTTACGGGTTCCTCTACCACACAAACCGCAACTGCCTCAACAGGCAATACTTCGACTACTCCTGCTGTCAACGTTACTACTTCGGCCTCCTCCTCAGCCATGCATATGTCGCATGAGCAAATTCTGGCAGATAACGCTAGACGCGTCGCTGACAATCAGGCCCTTCAACAATGCAGGGACAACGGGGAATCTAACATTCCCATCGACGAGCTCCTCATTCCCATACCTCCCAGGCCCACCGGCACAGCACTTCAGCAGTGGATCTCGGCTTTTGCACAACTGTCTCCTACTTCACAGAATCAAGGTTCTACCATCATTACACCCAAGACTACGATCAGGCCCAACCTTACGTCACTATCGAAGGTTCTTTTCGATTCATCTAAAGAGCTTCCTTCTGGCTCTGGTCTAGACTCCACGTACAACTTTGGTATACATAGCTTCATCCAAGACCTCCTGAACGCCGATCAATATTGCCCCCTTATGCTCTTCACCAATCTCAATACCAAACACCTTCATCGTGAAGGTCATTCTCTCAAGCGATCCAAAATTCACGTGGACAGCACATCACATCATCTCCTCGACCTCTCCCAATTCGACAATGAGCTGGAGCTTGACCCACTTTCATGGCAAGAGGCCTACCAGCGTTATCTTACTTGGATCAAAGACATCGGTGACCCTTCCTCCCACAAGCGCTGGACGGATCACTTCACTACGCTGTCCAAGGATAATGCAGTATGAAAGAATTTCCGCGCCATCATTGAGTTTGACGTGGAAACATGACAGAACTATGCTCTTCGCCCACACCAACATGATCAGCAGGAATGGGACCACCATCTGCAGAAGAAGAAATATGAGACAATGCAAGACATTCTTTTTCGTCAACAGGCAGTCATGTCGCGCTCCTCGCTCCCCGATCATCATTCTCACTCCGCCTCCTCTCGTTTCGAACCTTATAATCGTGAGGCCTCCAAATCCCTGGTCAAGAAATCTCCGGACGTTGATGTGCAGTCCTTTCGGGACAAATCCTTGAAGACCACGGATCCCATGTGCATCATCTGTGGGCGCACAGGACATCGTTTCTCAGCATGTTCAGAAGACAACTCCTCAAAGGGCACTCAAACCTACGCCAAGTACACTGACGGCTCTCTTTGCAGACACTCCAACGGCTCGCAACTCTGCGTCACATACAATCTCAACAACCCCAGACGCCCCTGCAAACGAGAGCATCTTGAGCAGCACCTCTGCACCTTCTGCGGAAGGGCAGAGCATAGCGCTCTCTCACGAGTCTGCATTTGATCCTCCTGAAGAGGATTCTTTCTTGACATGCCCCACAGACACTTCCTTTTCTTCACCTCCTTCTTCATGACACGTATATCACGATCAATTGCAACATATCCCATCACCCTACGATAGCGACTTTGAATACTCTTACATTAATACACTGTACTCTCCCGACGGTTTTGATACGCTTCTTGCACTCACTGGCCTCACATCGCAATTTCCAGAACTCACGTATAAACTTCGCAATGGTTTTCGCATCGGACACGAGCTCTCTCCACTTACGCACTCTTACACCCCTTCAAATCTTCCCAGCGCTAACGTTTTCAAAAGCATCTGCGACGACTACGTCGCAGATGAACTTGTGAAAGGGCGATACTCTGGTCTATACACTCACCAAGAACTCTTCGTCAAAATTGGACATTTCTGCTCCTCACCCCTGCAAGTAGTCGTCAAACAGGGCATCAACAGCACGCCAGATAAATATTGTGTCTGCCGACATCTATCATATGGCGGTTCCATGGGTTTTTCGGTGAATGACGAGATAGATGCTGTGGACTATCCCACCGAATGGGGTACTGCTGCGGAATTCGCAGACATTGTACGTATCTCTCACTCCTTCACATACCTCGTGCATCAGACGCACCTTCAATCACTCCATCATCTCACTCTCACATCTTAGATTCGCAATGCCCCTCCCAGCACACAACTCGCAATGCTAGACATCGAGGCGGCGTATCGTGGCATCCCGTGCGCCCCCGAACACAAGCGCTATCTCATTGTTTACCATGACGGTAAACTCTATATCGATCATAACATCCCATTTGGCTTAGCTTCAGCGGCAGGCCTTCAAGGGGAAGTCGCCGACATGATGGTCCACATCTGGCGAGAACTCAAAGTTAAGCCTTCAAAAAAATGGGTAGACGACATCGGTCTTTTTCGCTTCCCTTCTCCTCATGGCTTGTTTCTGGGCATTTCTAATGGTCAAGTATATCGCTACGACTATGATCTCTCTCACGCAAAATCGCTCATCTCTCCCTGCCAAGGTGCCATGGCACGAAGACAAGGGCCAACCATTCGAAGACACCGGCAGTTTATGTCGGCTTCTGGTGGGACCTTCCCAACAAGACAGTCATTCTGCTAGAGCGCAAATGCCTGAAATACATTGATCGCCTTTCTCACTTCCTCACGCACTATCGAGACTCACAAGTTCCGAAACGCTGATCTCGAATGCATCACGGGCTTCCTCAACCACTCATCCTTCCCCTATCCTCACGGCAGATCCTACCTCTCCAATTTATATGCCGACATCGCCTCGTACACAACCGATTTCGTCTCACGGTACATCAGCAGATCCACCAGATCAGATCTCAAGTGGTGGCTCCAGACTCTCACCTGCACCACCCATACCACTTGACCTCTCTCCTCTTCCACCTACTAAGGATTTCGGGATTTGGGTGGACTGCATCCACCAGCGCAGGCATCGGCATTCTCTGGAACGCTCGTTGGGCCTATTGGCCCACAACAGACACGTGGCGGGGCCCTTCGCGGGATATTGGGTGGCTAGAGGCCACAGCCATAGAACTCGCAGTTCACCTACTGCACGTAAAGAAGATCCAAGATTCAGATGTGCTGATTAGGAGCGACAACCAGGGAGTAATCGCCTGCCTTTCACAAAGGGAGATGCGCTAACTACATGACCAATCTCGCGATCCGCCGTTCCGAGGCTCTCCTGCGAGAATCTCAGCTTATCTCTCTCCTTAGTTTACATGCACATGGCAGCTAACCTCGCGGATCCCATTTCCCGGGGTATATTTCCATCAACCCATCTGCATCTCACATCTCCTCCATCCCTACCTCCAGAAATCTCCTCTTTCTTCATCCATGAATGAGAGCGAGTTATACCGCCGTGTCATGCAGGGCGTTGACATCGAAGCGGCTGCTGCCTCCTTCTGGGCTACTCATCCTCCCTCATCTATCCGCGATTCCGTCTCACAGTCTCTTCAGCAAACTCGCCCTCGTAATCCTCACCCTCCTCACGCTAGTTCTATCATCACTCCGTCAGCTCATCGGCCCCACGTTCTCGCGAGTGACCGACTTCTCCTTTGGTCCACTCCAGCAGGTCTGGATTGGCAAGCTGCCCTCGAGCAGAAATATCCCGAGTCTTCTCTCTTTCGTCTCTTTCAAGTACGCCTTCTCGCGCACTCTCTCTATCATCTCTTTACTCAACACTTGACTCTCTAGGTCATGGTTCGTTCTCTTGATACTGACACGCGCAGCAACTACGGCGCGGGACTTCTTTGATTCACTCAGTTCTGCGATTCTATCAACATCCCAGAAGCAGAGCGCATGCCAGCTGCAGATACCTTAGTTGCCCAGTTTGCAGTGGCCTTCGCCGGCACTACCTCAGACAAGATCGCTCAACAATTGGCTAGCAGGTCTTCAATTCTGGCATGTCATCAATGGGGCTTCATGGCAGTCCACTCCGCTTCTCCATCATGCGAGGCATGGATTCGCCAAGATGGTACCCTGCCTCTTCTCGTCGGACCAAGCGTCCTCCTGTCACCATAGACGCCCTATGCATTCTTTTTGACCATCTTGATCTCACCATTGCCTTCGATGTTGCCGTGTGCGCAGTCGCTCTCGTATCATTCTGGTGTTGTTGCCATCTCAGGCAAACTCCTTATCGCTAGCCCCAACGTTTTCGATCCTCTGAAACACGTTTCCCAGTTCCATTGTTCCCATTCCATCCATCACGTTGTCGAATCATGCTCAGACTCGCGCCTCCACGCTTCACATCCCGTGGTCAAAGACGACTAAAGAACAGGGAGCCGACATATCCATTCACGGCACGAAACCATCGCACCTGCCCCTTAACAGCGCTAGAACAACATCTCCTCATCAATTGCGACATACCCTCACACGCACCCCTTTTCTCATTCCAGAAGGGTACAGGATGGTCTCCCATGACTCGTCCTCTCTTTCTCGCGCTGGTGCAATGAAATATGGGTCGCACAAGGCTTCCCCAACCTCCCTGGCCATGCGTTTCGCATTGGAGGGACTACTGGAGCTATTATTGCAGGGCACTCACCCAGATATTGTTGCTACGCAGGGGAGATGGACTTCAGACGCGTTCTTGGAATACTGGCGTCAGTATTGACACGATTCTGCCGCTGTTCATCGCATCCACAGCCAATACGCAATGTTTACTTGATCTAGATAGAACCATGGACGCCTTCACGCGCCAGTCAGCATCCCTCTCGCTCCATTCAGGCCCTACCATCATAATACTTCATCTCTCCTCAAGTCTCCATTTACCATACGGGTCGTTACTCATGTTCACATCGCTCAAATCCATTCTCGCTTGCTTCGTTTCTTTCGTTCAGCTGTAGTGTGTGGGTTAGGTCCGAAGGACCACTCTCCGCTGTGAGCTTCACTCTCTGGTGGTCTGTATTCGTGTTCCTCTCGGACCACTGGTCTGCGCGCGTTTCAGACTAATCGCGCTCTGAAGGTTTGTCTCCGTCATGCCCGATACTTCTCAAGTCAGTCCTTCTCGGCTGTTTCGGGTATCACGCGCTCTGCCCCAGACTCATGCCTTCTTGCGGAGGTCTGGCAAAGCCAGACCTTCCCACACACAAAATGAATCTAACATATTAAGTCTCCAACTCTCAGATTCGTTCTTAAGCCTTCACTCTTCAAGTTCGTCAAACGCACGTCAGTGCGCCTACCTCAAACGCGCGTTCTCACGCCCTCGTCTTTGAGATATTAGTTTTGTATTTTCGATTCTAACTAATATCTGTTTTCTCTCATCTTCACTCATAAACACGCTTCATTACAAAGGTCTGCGATTGTCCAGGGGGGGGTAGTAATATTCAAATCCAGCCATAGTCACGATCTGGTGCTCATCATTCTCCCCATCCTCGCTTCCAAATAGGTATCGTGTAAGTCTTCTTCTACTCATCCCTATACACCTCATCACTATCTTCATCAGCAAAACACTTTTTTCCCACCATCAAAAAATGGCTCGCCACAGCTTGGTCCCCTTTGTACAGGATATTGTAGTTTGCTGATGTTCCTCGATCTCGATCCCGCTGTACGTACAATGCTACATGTAATCAGTACAAAGATAAGCTATGCTAGGTGGAAACATAAGATCAGAACCCACGTTGCTTCGAACAACAGCGCTGACACTCGGCGAGAGTCAAATGGTCAAGATGCTCGGACACTGGTGGGCCGTGGCAGCTAGTGTGCATGCAAGTCAGTCATATGGCTGGTCTACTACATGCACAAGTCATCTCAGGTAAATATAAGTCTTACAACATTCTTACATTTAAAGCCAAGACTGGTGAAACAGTGCAAGACTCGAGCCAGGCTGGCGCCCCATTGATGATTGCACGTCGGCCACCATATCATACCGGTACCTGACCAAAAACAGCCTTAGTAAGCTTTGTAAGGTTCGTGCTGATATAGCAGTCTGCTTCCTGATTGTTTGGTCACTCTGATCCTTGCGCATCTCCATCATGCTCGGCTGTTCTTCCATGCACAGCTAAGACATGATGAAGTTCTGCAATTGGTCTATTGTTAGATTGATGATCACATAGTCGCGAACGTTTCAACATCCTACAATTTACAAAGGAATTTTGATTGGCCGATACTTGCTGCTGCGATCAAGCAAGATCTGATTCAAGCACAGGATCCATGACCCACCTGATCACTATAAAAAGCGCCGAATGGTGGTATATCTCTACCCTCATTGTAACTTTACAAATTTCGCTAATCCCCAATATGACATACATCTCAAATGATCCTACTTGGTGGCCGTTCATCGATTGGACTCATATGATGAGCTATGTTTTAGGTTCGTAGAGAGCAAGTTGGGTGACGTTGGTGACACCTCGCTATCATTAAATTGTGGTTTTTCAGTTGCATCATGCATGGCGGTGGTATATGACTGGGGTAAGCAAGATCATACTTTCCGAAGGGATCATTGACATCTATATTGTATTCAAGTACTGTCATTCGAACAAGAGGTAAGTTGATGCCATGACCGGGGTGGCCATCTCACCAAGACCGCTTTAACAGCTCGAACTGGTCTGGGTGAGTGAAGTCCCATACCAGAAGCAAATATAATAATACGGTTTATTCGGGGCAGAGGCAACGCTGGTCCCTCATGACTGTCCTTTATATTTGTGTACGTGGCTTATATTATAAGCGCAGTTGCCAAGTTGTGCTGACTTTAACATATGCTAGGTGCGTTACCTCGGTATACTATATTGTGTGTATGTTGCGAGGCTAACATGATGACACTACACTGCTAATAAATTCATCTCTCTCAATCAGCGTCGACGTACTGGGTATGTATCCTCAAAGTGGAATACAATGTCTGTTTCTTCTGACTGGTGCCATGCAGGGAATATCTCAGTCTCGATCACAGATGCAGTAAGTATTCTGCACCAATGTCTGGTATTACCATTCAATTAACTGTACTCCCACATAGGGGTGAGTGACATTCTTCAAGTTTTTGGTTCACCATAACGACTGTAAGCAACAGTTGTGAGTTCATTTATGTAAAGCCTAGCATGGAGTCCTCCAATGCCCATCTATAACCGGGTTTCTCAGGCAATCTCCTTTACTTCACATTGATATGGATGCCTGTCGTCGTCAATACCATGCTGGGCGGTGAGCTGCTGCGCCTCACTGATATTGACTTCACTGACATATCATGCAAGTCATAATGATGACTCGGATACACGCGATGTATCAGCAATCCAGAAAGATGCTCATCTTTCTCGTTGTACTCTTGCTGGCTTCCACGATCGCCAGTGGAGTTATGTCAGTAATGGAAGCCATCGGCGCTTCAGGGGGTGAGCTTTCATTATGGTTCCAACCATTAAGCACACGAAACTCATGCATGAATACCAGTGGAAGCCGTCCTTTCTGGCTACCATATGTGTCTTTCCAACATTCCAGACACCGAAGAGATAAATCTGAGTCACGAAGTTTTCATACCCACCACTGTATGGGACATGCTGGCCTTGATTCTTGCAGTCTGGATTGTTGTAAAACACGTCTATGAATTGCGACAATCGTCGACAAGATTTACCTTTGCAGACTGTTTCATGGTGTTAATCCAAAGTCACGTGCTGTACTTTGTAGCGTGAGTTCAGCCAGTGATTTGGATATTATGATCTTGTTCCGCTGACGTTCCGCATGTGCTAGTGTTGTTACTGTATCTTGCCTCAACCTCAGCTTACTGTCTCCATATATCCTTGTGCGTCTATCTGTGACTGACATCTGCATCTAACCACTCCTCTTCTATTCTACAGTACTCAGCATCTGTAGGAAGTGATATTGACACTTTCATTCTCCACATTGCCAAGGTCGTGCAGATGTTTGTGTTGGGACCACGTCTCATCCTCAGCGTTCGCGAATATTACGCTAAGCTCGTAACCCGCTCTGATGAAGGAACTGGCGTGACTACGATCGCTTTCCAGGAGCGCGGACAGGTGTCAACTGGCGGTGATGTGTAGCTCGGGAAATGATTAGCCACTGGTACTGTGCAGGGAGCGTGTACATTTTATCTGGTGTTTCGTTGTAGTATTATTTTGTGTTTTCTCGTGGAACCTATTTATATAGTGCTTCGTCGTATTTATGTGTAGAATTTGATGTGGGCAAACCATGTTGTATCGCTATTTGAACAGGGCTGCCCACCCACGCATGCACGAAGCTGACGAAATATCTCGCAATCGACTCAAGAGTGTTCGGATTCATTGTCTACTACCTGTGACAAGGAGTCCCGTCTGGTAAGTACTGATATATGAGGGGCTTGATGCAACTGGTATTGCAAAGTGGCTCATCGAGCTCCGTGAGTCTAACTGTCACATCTGCTACGTCGGCAAGAGATTGAAGATGATGACTGAGACTGGTCAGTAATTTGCAATATTATATCACCACAATATAGCGGACCACTTCACCGGCACAGTCGACGAAGTTGCTGAACGATGACTCATTCTCGCTATCGAAGCAAGATGCTGAGCGTGACACGGGGAACGAGAGATTTTGTTCGTGAAGTTATCGCCTTTCTGCAGATTATTCAAACTGAGTTCGAGGTCCCGAACTTCGTTGGTGATACCAGGGTACTGGAAGCCAATGCTACTGAAGGGCTGCGACAGTGCATGAAAATGCGGTCGCACAGAAGGCGGTGAACCGATCGAGGGAGGGGAGAAGAGGCCCAAGGACATGCTCGAGGATTCGATGACACGCATGTTCTGCCGGATGCGCTGGGACTGGAAGGAAAAAATGACGCCACCGTTGAACAACATTCAGTTTAACAAGTATATGAAAGAATTGTGCACCGAATTGCTGAGAGAAAAATGATATCCGCCATCAATTCTCTACGTCTGCTGACAGGTGTTGGATACTCGAGATCACAGAAAAGTCATGTATCCAAAGGGGTTGTTCGCTATCGTGCAACGTGTCAAGGACAGGGCCAGTTGCCGTGGTTAGCGCATTTGTGGTAGTCCAGAGGGTGGAAACTAGTTGGATGACTGACGTAGGGAAGGACGTGTGTACAAAAATTACAGGGTTTAGAAGAAGGGGCCCTGGGGGACTGCCTAGGTTCACGTGTACAATCGAATGATGAACGCGGAGTGGAAGGCCTGGGTAGAGCGTACGAGCTAAGTAGTGGGACAGATCATCATGATGCTGGGCACGGATGCGGGCTGCTGCAATGAACCGGGATTCGATGCGGTGAGAAGGTGCGCCAAGTATCATCAGTGCTATCGACGCAAGTCCCCCAAGTTGATGATGGAACATATGGAACACTGAATTGCCCTCAAGTGTGGCAGAATAAACAAAACACGAGAGCGATACGGGACTCAATTCCGATCTTCTGTTTCTACTTCCTGAGACTTGCAAACAATTAAATGAGATCATTTACTGAATCCAGTTGCCCGGTTAACGACCATGTTTGATTGCTGAAGTGTTACATACGGATGCTGAAGTAACGTCGGCAGCAGCGTAGCGACCGTGCAGTTCTTCCCGCAATTGGCGGGTTGTTTCCCTACACCCCCACCACTACCGCCAGCACCAGAGTCACTTTGAGCATCATCTTCCTCGCCCTCGTGATCAATAACAATGTCCTCCCCACCACGCGGACGTGGTCCAAGCGATACGTCTGCCAGCGCCTTCAATGTGTACCATGCTGAAAGCTAGGTTGCAGATGCAGACGCACGTCGAGTGGAGCTGTTCGGCGTTTTTGCGGACTTTGATCCGATGGGATGAGTCTGTGAGCGTTTTCACCCTGTTGCAGAAGTAAGATCAGTTTAGTACAGTTGCGCAATAATGATGTGAGATGGGGAATGGAGAGACGCACTTGAAAACAGCCCCCACGATACCATTCTCTTCCTCCTCTGATTTGTTATTCTTCTTCTTATCTCGGCGTTGTTCGTCAGTGAATTTCCGTTCCGCGTTCATATTTGCGTGAGTGCTTTCTCATTGCGACTTCTTTGCGGACGCGAGCTTCGATGTGGGTGGGGTCTTGGACTGCGTCTGATGTTAGTACTTTCATGAGATTCGATAGACGGACTGTGTGACGAGAAAAGTGAGTAAGGTTAAGGTCAAGGATGTTAGGGAGGAGAGGGATGAGACCCATACGAATACGATCGCGTTTATCTTCACGGTCAGCTTGACGGCGCTGTTTCTGCATCTGCTTTTGCTCCTGTAGTGGTATATTATAGTCATCATCGTATACCTGGGTAAGGATATTGAGATGCGAGAACCCGAGAAGAGATCATCGTAAATCTTGCTAGGCAGTAGAGCTGCGTCCCACCAGTCCACTGCTGGAGGAGGTTCACGCTAAGGCCGTCGTCAGTTATGAACCGAACAATACTTTCTGAACGCACTTTGAGGTTCTTCTCCAAAGTCTCAAATTCAGAATCCAGATCATCTTTATGCGCGCCTTCGGCAATACATTATTTGAGAGCCTCAAGCGAGGCTTCCTGACGAATTTGTTCGGCTAGCTGTTCATACTTGCCTTTCTGGATGAAGTGAAAAACCGCGACCGTGACGTTCCTTCGGTGCGCCTTCGAAACCGCTGTCTTTAGCTGCGCTTGAGATGGGGGACTGGGGTTGGTGCTGAGGGAGGGGTTGGGGCGTTTCGGATGTTTGCCTTTGGATGGCGTTGGTGTCAATGATATGTGGAGAGAGTGGGTGCACCTTGATAGAAGCAAACTTGGGCTGCATTGGTTTATATCGATCTTTCTTGGACTGCGGTGCGACAGGAGGAGGCGATCAGTGATCATTTTCGAGGCACTGACTGGAGCCGATTCAGAGGTAAGGAGACGTGCGAGAGCAAAGAGACGCACCGTATAATAGCTGTCTTTGACTGCAATTGCGAGAGGTCATCAATGTTCTGGAGCGGTGTGCCTGGCGCTGAGAAGGGACTGACAGTCTTGACTTGTGGAGTGACCTTTTAGCTGTTAAATGAATTAATGAGTAAACGAATACAAATGAGCAGGGGAAAGGAAAGGTGGACGCACAAAATCACTGCAAATAAGACTTGAGTAGGTTGAATAAGAGAACTAATAGGATCTATCGACCTTCTTGGTTTCTTTGTTAGTAGGCATTCCCATTCAATGCTCGTTTCTTGTCGCTCATCGTTGGTCGAGCAATGCCAACAAGCAGTGCGAGTATTAGTTAACCCCTTCAAGGGGGGTCGAGTCACAGATCATAGCCGTTGATCCAAATGTGTGACACTCTAAGTAAGTGCTGGCAATATTAATATTAGTATTGCAACGGCACCATTGTATCACTTGAGCTGTACAATGTCGCTTGGAATCGTCTTCACCGGGAACTAAACACTTGCCATGGTTCCAGAACTCGATGTACTATAATAAGTACATCGTACACAAGGTTTACAGTACTGCAGGAGTCCATGATTGGGGGAGACAGCAGCCAGCTGCCTATCATAACAGTTATAAGTATCTCAACGTCAAGGCTGTATTGTGCAGTGTGCATCGTGACAGCTGCCAGTTAAATACCTCAACTGCCCTCAAGCTCAAACTCTTTCGCTCCGCCACGTCTTGTTTTCCCTCTGCCCTACCATCGAACCTTGTCATCTGGTCAACATGCCCTTTCCGTGGCTCAAGTATTCGGGAAAAGTCATCCCAGTCTGTTTGAGGCGCCCCACAAAGAACAGACACTCGACAGCTACCGACCATGAGGGTCATTCCTACATCCCTGCAGGCATCCCTGCCTTTCCCTCACCAACGATTTCTTTAAATTCATCGCCAGTGCACCCTGTTTCTGCGAGTGGAGATCCAGGTCTCCAGGTCCCCACCAATGTTTATTCTACCAGATGCTCACAGGGTGTATCCCTTGCCCGCGTAGCTTCCGACATGGCTCAGCTAGCTTTGCCCTTCGTACAGGCCTTTACAGGTATAATCCCAATTGTCGGTGCTCCGATGAAAGCGGCTATTGGTGGATTGTTGGAAATTCTTCAAGCTATAGATGTGAGAGCTTGTGTGATTGCGAGGATGATTCTTGGTATTAAAGGCCATCACAGAGACGCAATCAGAACAGCGCAGATCTAGATGGCCTGGAATCACGACTCCATCGACTCAGCCGCCATTTGTGCAACGCCCCACCTACCTGTGATCCTCTTGAACAATCCCGGAGGAATTCCATGGTTAGGTCTGTGCCTTGTTGATGATGCTTGAATTTACCTGAGTTGAATCACACTTAGGGTGCTAGAAGAGACCTCAGCCGAACTGACAAAGTTGCATAAACGTCGTAGTCTCGCATATGCGTACGTCACACAAGTTATCACCAGATGTTCCACTGCCATCGACCGTTATCTCTTGGAGAGTCTGGTTGTGTTCTACTCTCTAAAGATCCCTCACATCCAGTCACTACTCCGCTTGATTAGTGGTCGTCCCAAATGCAAAGTCAAACCGACATACGTGAAATGCGGGACTTCATCGTCCGTGCACAGTTCTCTGTGGGACCGACTGCAATGCAGTCAACCGGAACTGTTGCGCTCGGCTGCATCACACTAGTGGACGCAACAGGCCACGAACATCCAATATCAGTGAAATTCTGCACCTCATATCAGGTCCGCCGTGCCAGCGTAGAAACCCATCATAGGGAAGCTTGCTCATGAAATTCTCTTTCAGCAACTCAATGAGATGGTCCAAGTTCTGTTTAGGCGCGACTCGATTGAAGCTCGAATTCAGAGACGGTACATGGAAACAGGGCAATACGATTTGTGCATTGACGAGGGCACGCGAGTGACCGAACTGACAAGCCATCCTTGGGCGATAATCGAACCGGGCACAAAGATTGTCATGAGGGTAATCATCAAACAGCAGGAAACATCATCCTCTAAAGTTTACTACAAATGTCATTTTTGTGGCGCCAGTAATCGTCTTCCAAGCGGGTCTATTAGATATTCATATCAAAGGCTGGCTGGCTGCTCTATTGATTGGTTAGTACAATTCTCTTTTCGGTCTTGACTGTGTCTAACAACCGGAAGTCGAGAATGCAAACGACGGTTTCAAATCTCTCATCGATACTCGAGTTCGAAGGAGAGCGTGGATCCTCTGACATGGATGCCAATGATATGACTGACGCAGAAATGTGTTTGATTCGTAACTTTCACGTCCAGCAAACCGTATGTCATCATTGTCATCATTAGATTTGGCTAGCAATCTTAAGCTAAAAACTTAATGATATCCCCCTCTCAGGAAGTGCGTGATCTCGTCTTTTGTGCTGCTCACCCAACACTGATGGTGTCACACCAATGTCCCGCTCTTAGACAGTGCGTGATCTCGTATTTGGAGGTGCTCAACCGAGCCTGATGGGGCCATGACGATGTCCCGCTCTCAGTTTGTGCGTGATCTCGTCTTTTGAACTGCTTGACCGAGCCTGATGGTGCCACGATGATATTGCGCTCTCAGTCCGTGCGTGATATTGTCCTGAAGCGCTGCTTTCCCGACGCTGATGGTACCACGGCGATGTACCGCTCTCAGCCTGTGCGTGATATCGTCCTGAAGTGCTGTTAACCCGACGCTGATGGTGCTACGGCGATGTCCCGTGCTCAGTTGGTGCGTGATGTCGCCGTTTGAACTGCATACTCGACGCTGATGGTGCTATGATGATGTCATACTCTCAGTCTGTGCGTGATGTCATCTTTTGAGCTGCTTGCTTGAAGCTGATGGTGCCATGATGATGTCCCGCTCTCAGCCTGTACGTGATGTCGTCTTTTGAGTTGCTTGCCCAACGCTGATGGTGCCTCGGCAATGTTGCACTCTCAGTCTGTGCGTAATCTCGTCCTTTGCGCTACTTACCCGACGCTGATAGTGCCGCGGCGATGTATCGCTCTCAGAAAGTGCGTGATGTCGTCTTTTGCGCTGCGTATTCGACACTGATGGTGCCACGGCGATATCGCTCTCTCAGTCTGTGCGTGATGTCGTCTTTTGAGTTGCTTGCCTGAAGCTGATGATGCCGTGACAATGTCCCGCTCTCAGCTTGTACGTGATCTTGTCTTTGTGCTGCTTACCCAACGCTGATGGTGCTACGGCGATGTCCTGCTCTCAGTCTGTGCGTGATCTCATCTTGTGGGCTGTTTACCCGATGCTGACGGTGCCACGGCCATGTCACACGCTCAGTTAGTGCGTGATCTCGTATTTTTAGCTACTTAACCGACATTGATGGTGCTACGGCGATGTCCTGCGCTCAGTTGGTGCGTGATGCCGTTGTTTGAACTGCCTGCCTACTCGACGCTGATAGTGCCACGGCGATATCATGCTCTCAGTCTGTGCGTGACGTCATCTTTTGAGCTGCTTGCCTGAAGCTGATGGTGCCATGATGATGTCCTGCTCTCAGCCTGTACGTGATGTCGTCTTTTGAGCTGTTTGCCCAACGCTGATGGTGCTGCGGCCATGTCACGCGCTCAGTTGGTGCATGATCTCGTCCTTGGAGGTGCTTAACCGACGCTGATGGTGCCACGGCGATGTTGCGCGCTCAGTTGGTGCGTGATGTCGTCGTTTGAACTGCCTACTCGACGCTGATAGTGCCACGGCAATGTCATGCTCTCAGTCTGTGTGTGACGTCATCTTTTGAGTTGCTTGCCTGAAGCTGATGGTGCCATGATGATGCCCCGCTCTCAGCCTGTACGTGATCTCGTCCTTTGCGCTACTTGCCCGACTCTGATGTTGCCGCGGCGATGTACCACTCTCAGAAAGTGCGTGATCTCGTCCTTGGAGGCGCTTAACCGGGCCTGATGGGGCCGTGGCGATGTCCTGCTCTCAGTTTGTGCGTGATCTCGTCTTTTGGCCTGCTTAACAGATCCTGATGATGCCACGGCTACATCACACTCTTAGTCCGTGCGTGATGTCGTTCTTTGTGCTGCTTACCCTACGCTGATGGCGCCACGGCGCCGTCCCGCTCTCAGATGGTGCGTGATCTTGTATTTTTGAGCTGCTCACCCGATGCTGATGATTTCACGGCGATGTTCCACTCTCAGGAGGTGCGTGATCTTGCCCTTTGTGTTGGTTGCCTGACGCCGATTGTGCCACGGCGATGTCCCGCTTTTAGACAGTGCCTTGTCCCGTCTCTCACCCTACTTTCCTGAACACTGATGGTGGCGCAGCAATGTCCCGCTCTCAGGATGTGCGTTATCTCATCTTTTGAGTTGTTTTCCTGATACTGATGGTGTCATGGCAATGTTCCTCTCTCAGGAAGTGCGTGTGGTAGTTTTTAAAACTCTTACCACTTGTTAACCCTGACATGGTCAGTATGACTTACTGCATAGCACCGACCGTGTCCAGGCCATGTTCCCCCGACCACGGCGTGTCCTGCCCTCGCATGGTATGTGATGTTATTTTTCGCAGTGAACAACGCACGCCAACCCTTTCATTTTACCGTTAGATGGTGCGTGTTTCCACCTGAATCTCTAGCATAGCTTATCTTTGTGCTGATTGCATGTAGCGTTGTATATGTACAGTGGGATTGAGATTGAGGAAGATAGTGATGTGTATAGGGATGAGTGGAAGAAGACTAACACGATGCCTGTTTGGAACCGAGGATGGGGAGAATGATGAGCACCAGATCGTGACTATGGTTAGCTTTGAATATGTCATATTATTACTACCCCCCTGGACAATCGCAGATTTGGCTATGTACAGTGGCTCAAAAAACTGTCCACATGTTTGTGCTATTTTCACTATTTACATTATTGTATATGAATGGACAGGTAGACCAAGGTTATGCTAGTGGGGTACTCTGTAGTACTCCCTTGGGGCGTAAATTTGAGCCCTTTCCCGTGGGAATCCATGGTAATGTCGTGGTGCTATAGGCCTTACAAAATGATGACTCATGCGGACAGTTTTTTGACCCTAGATTAAAATTATATAAATCATTAGTTATGACACCATAAAGTCATGCCACTATTAAATAAATTATGAAGTGGTGTCATTATGACATTATTAAACCTATTGCTAAGTATATAATGAAGTGTGTCCCATATATCATAGTCATAATCACCATGAAAACCATCTCCTCTGCTCAAAGGGTTAATATCCTTTCTCTGTCTACTACTGGCCTCTCCACTCATCAAATAGCCTCTAGAACTAGTGTATGCAAGTCTACTGTAGCTAAGCTCATCAAAGAATGTCACCCAGACAAGGAAAACTCCAGTGGAGGTCATCCATCCAAACTCACCTCTACTGATAGGAGGGTCATTATCCAACATATCACCACAGGAAAGGCTGATAATGCTGTCCAAGTCACTCATCATATCAATTCCATCATCCCTACTCCAGTTTCTTCACAAACAGTGAGGAATGTCCTTAAGGAAGCCAATCTTAGGGCTGTAATAAAGAAGAAAAAGCCTCTTCTTTCCATCACTCATAGGAAGAGAAGACTAGCCTTTGCCCTAGCCCATCAAAACTGGACTGTAGAGGACTGGAAGCGGGTCATATGGTCTGATGAGACTAAAATCAATAGAATTGGGTCAGATGGGAAGGTATATGTGTGGAAAAAGAAGGGGGGTCCTCTTACAGACAGAGAGATTAATGGAACTCTCAAGTTTGGAGGAGGTTCTCTAATGGTATGGGGAACTATGGGGTGGAATAGTGTGGGAATGCTTGCAGAAGTTGAGGGGAGGATGGATGCTGAGCAGTATGTGGACATCCTCAACCACCACTTGCTGCCTACCATGGCAGAATCAGGAATTGATGAAGAAGACATTATTTTACAACAGGATAATGATCCCAAGTATACATGCAGAAGAGCCAGAGAATGGTTTGAAGAGCAAAATATTCACCTCCTTGACTGGCCAGCACAATCCCCTGATGTCAATGTCATTGAACACCTCTGGGGAGTACTCAAGAAGAAGCTTTTAGCCTATGAACACCCTCCTAAAGGAGTGTGGGAGTTATAGGAGAGAGTTACAGTGGAGTGGGGAAAGATTACAGCAGAGGATTGTCAGAAATTGATTGAAAGTATGCCTAGAAGGATAGAGGCAGGAATTAAGGGCAAGGGAGGTCACACAAAATACTAGAACAGCTAATTATCTGTGTAAAATACTTGGGTCAAAAAACTGTCCACATGAGTCATCATTTTTTAAGGCCTATAGCGCCACAACATTACCATGGATTCCCACGGTCAAGGGCTCACATTCATGCCCCAAGCGAGTACTACAGAGTACCCCACTAGCATAACCTTGGTCTACCTGTCCATTCATATACAATAATGTAGATAGTGAAAATAGCACAAACATGCGGACAGTTTTTTGAGCCACTGTACTTCGAGGACTTTTTCCTTGCGTACATATGTATAATTATTGTGCCGACCCCTTCAAGGGGGGTCGAATGTGGGGGACAATGGATTGACTTGTGTTCTTTATGATGAATCGCTTCTCCAGACAACGCTAAGATCGCCCTTCCCTCACGGCGACGGTTTCCGGTCACAACTCGCGTCTCATCAAGTTCAACACGTCAAGACATGGCGGAGCGAAAGAGATGGAGCTCGAGGGCGGTTGAGGTATTTAACTGGCAGCTGTCACGGTGCACACTGCACAATACAGCCTTGACGTCGAGATACTTATAACTGTTATAATAGGCAGCTGGCTGCTGTCTCCCCCAATCATGGACTCCTGCAGTACTGTAAACCTCGTGTATGATGTACTTATCATAGTACATCGAGTTCTGGAACCATGGTAAGTGTTTAGTTCCTGGTGAAGACGATTCCAAGTGACATTGTACAGTTCAAGTGATACGACGGTGCCGTTGCAATACTAATGTTAATATTGCCAGCACTTACTTAGAGTGTCGCATATGGCTATGATCCGGGACTCGACCCCCTTGAATGGGTTAACTGATACTTGCACCGCTTGTTGGCATTGCTCGACCAACGATGAGCGACAAGAAACGAGCATTGAATGGGGATGCCTACTAACAAAGAAACCAAGAAGGTCAATAGATCCTATTAGTTCTCTTATTCAACCTACTCAAGTCTTATTTGCAGTGATTTTGTGCGTCCACCTTTCCTTTCCACTGCTCATTTGTATTCATCTACTCATTAATTCATTCGACAGCTAAAATGTCAAGACTGTCAGTCCCTTCCCAGCCCCAGGCACACCGCTCTAGAACATTGATGACCTCTTTCGCAAAGTCGCAGAGGCCAAGCGCCGTGCCTCAGAGGCTTAGACGAAGCTTGCAGTCAAAGACAGCTATTACACGGTGCGTCTCTTTGCTCTTGCACGTCTCCTTACCTCTGAATCGGCTCCAGTCAGTGCCCTGAAGAACAAGCTAGTCGAACCAGCCTAATAAGATGCTGGCTTGAAAATGACTGCTGATCCCCTCCTGTCGCACCGCAGTCCAAGAAAGATCGATACAAACTAATGCAGCCCAAGTTTTCTTCTATCAAGGTGCGCCCACTCTCTCCACATATCGTTAACACCAACGCAATCCAAAGGCAAACATCCGAAACGCCTCAACGCCTCCCTCAGCACCAACCCCAGTCCCCCATCGTCAAAGTCAAAGTCAAAGCCAACCCCTTCGCCTCCATCTCAAGCGCAGCTAAAAACAGCGGTTTCGAAGGCGCACCAAAGGAACGTCACGGTCGCGGTTTTTGCTTCATTCAGAAAGGCAAGTATGAACAGCTAGCCGAACAAATGCATCAGGACGCCTCGCTTGAGGCTCTCAAACAATGTATTTCCGAAGGCGCGCGTAAAGCTGGTCTAGATTCTGAGTTTGAGACTTTGGAGAAGAACCTCAAAGTGCGTTCAGAAAGTATTGTTCGGTTCGTAACTGACGACGGCCTTAGCATGAACCTCCTCCAGCAGTGGACTGGTGGGACGCAGCTCTACTGCCTAGCAAGATTTACGATGATCTCTTCCTCGGATTCTCGCATCTCAACATCCTTACCCAGGATTCGCCTATCACACTATACGTCCAGCATCCCATCTCCATTGCTCCAATGGACGAGAACAAAGTCGGATTGAAACCACTCATGCTGATAAAAAAGCCACGCATATGTTCTGTTGGTGTGTATACGATGATGACTATAATATACCGCTACAGGAGCGAAAGAAGATGCGGAAACAACGCCGTCAAGCTGACCGTGAAGATGAACGCGATCGTATCCGGGACCGTATGGGTCTCATCCCTGCTGACCCACCCAAAGGCACGTATCACTCCCCTTCTGAACTTCCTTGACCTTACTCATTTTTTGTCATCCACAGTCCATCTATCGAACCTGATGAAAGTCCTAACATCAGACGCAGTCCAAGACCCCACTCGCATTGAGGCCCGCGTCCGCAAAGAAGTGGCAATGAGAAAACACAACCACGAAAAGATGAACGAACAACGGAAACTCAGACGAACAACACAGGGATAAGAAGGAGAATAAGAAATCGGAGGAGGAGAAGAAGGGAATCGTGGGGCTGTTTTCAAGTGCGTTGTCCCATCGCATCCTTGTCTCACTTTTCGCAACTCACTGTGACTCACTTTTACCTTCGCAACAGAGTGAAAACGCTCACAGACCATCCCACCGGTTCAAAGTCCCCAAAAATGCAGAACAGCGCAATTCGACTGGCGTCTGCATCTTCAACCCAGCTTTCAGCATGGTATACGTCGAAGGCACTGGCAGACTCGTACAAAGATATAGGTGATTGATGCTTGACCATATCGCTTGGACTGAAGCCGCTCGCCCACGTGGTGGGGAGGACGTCGTAATCGATAATGGGGGCAAAGACGACAACGAAGCACACAGTAGCAGCGGTGCTGGTGATAGTGGTAGTGCAGATGGTAACAGGGCCGCAAAAGCACAAGACGAAACAGCCTCACTCAGATATAACGCATGCTATCTCGTATGGCAAGGTCAACTACGAGATCGGGCGTTTAATATGTTCATGCCGAGGGGATGTCCTACAGGTGCGATGGCTAGGGAGGCTTTGGGGCAGAAGTTGGCAGGATATTGGGACCAGGCGAAGAATTGGAAGCCGGAGGAGGAGCTGTGTTAGTGGTGGGGTGTGGTTACTTGGTGGGGTTGGGGTGCTCGTACCCACTTACTTGCGACTTTGTTTGATGAGAGATATCGATGTGCAGCGATGGAGGGTGTGTATTTTGATTTCTCGGTAGGGTGATTTATTATATCTTGCTCATACCTAGTACTGTACTGATGGCTTTGTGTGCGGTGCATGATATGATTATGGACACTACAGGAGATACCGATGATCACGATCATGTATGATGATGTTCATTTGATTTACACCTCGAGACCAACTCGAGACACGGTTTGGGTCTGTTGAATTCAGAAAGTACTGATGTTGATGTCCGACAGTTTGCTATGGCGTCAAGGTCACTAGTGCTAACACCATTTCGGTGCGTACAACCTAAAAACCCGTCGGAATCACAGGTGTATGGAGGTGGGAAGAGCTCTCCCATTAACAAGCAAGTGCGATGATGCAACATAAAGCGGCAGTGCACTAGTGTACGTGGGCTCAATGAAGTTGAATAGAGAAAGAATTCACGAAGAGCGAAAGATCGCGGACGAGAAGATGGTGGAAATTACCCGCTAATGATAGTGGAGGTGTACATGTTGATGAGGGCATAATTTGCGAGTGTGGGAGCTCGAGGCGAAGTGGAAGAAGTATAAGCACTTGATTGGCACTTTACATAAATTGAACTTTGGAGATGAGTCCGGCGAACTTCGAAGCCGGAATGAGCGGAGCCAAACCTCTAGAACTGCCTTTCTGGTAATGCCTCATGTTGTCCTCATGTCTGTTGGTGATTCCTTGAATTTGTAGAACCTCTACGTTGCACCCAACCTTGTATTTTGGGTTGATTTTGTCAAGGGCCAGTCTTTGCCAGTTCAAGTTGACACCACCACTATTGGTGTCTCAGACTGCAACTACCCTCGCACGCATGCAGCAGGAGATGGACGCGCGACCAGGCTCTAATCAATTGAGTACAGAGTTAGAAAAGATGCATGCGGATCTCCACAGTCGCAAGACTCTCTTGGACAACATGAACCAGGCAATTCAGCAAACCTCAAACCCGAATGATTTGCTTGGAGGAAACCTAGCGCATATGTGAGCTATGTCGGCGTGTCGTTCAACCTTATTTACATGCATTCTAGTAATGATAAAATGGCATCTGCCGATGCTGCTGGTCTAGTAGTAGATGTTATGCAGGCTGGTGGAGCATCCCAGCAACCCTGGCTACAGTTAGTCAGTCCCGCTTCAAGTTTTCGAACAAACCCCGCAGTTAGTGCTCCTTCGACCGCAGATCGGCAAAGCGCGCGCCCGGATGAGCAGCTGTGTATTCCTAGGGCACCTCAAGAAACCTTCCCGAACCGGGTAACAACTGCTGGCCTTAGAATGGTTCCCGCACCACAAGGACCGCCATCTATGATTCACAACAAGATGCAATCCACGCAGCTGACTGAGGAGATGCCCGCTATCCAGTCAGGACATACTCTACTACCAACTCAAGAGCAGCTAGTACACACAGGGGATGTGATCCAGCATCTGAAACGAGTTTTCTCAGCAAGTGGGTCGTCCCCTCATATGTTGTCGCAGCAGATTCTTATTATTATTTTTGCACAGAACCACCGACGATGCCACTGCACGCATTGTCAGATGACCAACAAATGGAGTGCAACCAACTACTGGAGCAGCTTCACACCACGACTCAGGACCTCAATGCCAAGTTACCAATGTACTGGATTGTTTTGAGATCGGACAATATAATCCGCAATCTGGTCGCAATTGTAAGTATCCTTCGAGCGCATATGCATTTTGTCGCGTTAAGTGTGTCTTCTTTCCAGGTGTCATCGGTGGCATATCAATGGGCGTCAATGTCAAACCTGGTCATAATTGATCTCTCCGCTCTAAAGAGCATGCATAGCTTGCTACAACACTATATCGAGCAATTCAAGCAAAGGTACCAGACGATGGAAGCCGCTGTCGCACTGCAATAAATGAGTGATGAACTGGCTAGTCTTCTCGTAGATCGACCATCCCCCCCACCTACTGCTCTCAACGTCACACACTCCACTCAGCTTGTCCCCCGAATCCGCATCCCGGACTTAACTGGACTCATCACCTGATGCAGCGAAGACCCTGTCGCCGGTGGCGCATATGGAAATATTTACAAATGTATATACCACGGACCAGAGGGTGATATAGATGTTCATGTGGATGTTGCTGTTCTTCTACAGTTTACTGACACATCACTCACCCACAGGTCGCCGTTAAAGCATTCCGACCGCAATTCTTCAATACTGAGATAATGTTGGCATTTATGAGAGAACTCGAGATTTTGAAGAGATTGCAACACCCTAATATCTTGAAGTTCATGGGTACTACTCGGAGCTTTGGCCCCCCTGTGGCTCTGGTTGCTCCGTGGATATTCAACGGCACTTTGACGTCATTCCTCTACAAGAAAAACGAGACCCTTACGCTGCATGACTGTCTGCTTTTGGTGAGAACCTTAAGGAATTTCCTGGATTGCGCCCTCGAGCTCATCGTTTCATGTCCAAGCTCCGTGGCATAGCTGCTGGCCTTGACTATCGTGAGTGGACCCAGCCATGCACATAACAAGAATAAATAACTGTCCCTCAGTTCACATGTTTCGTTTCACTGCAGATGAACACACGTACTTGAATCCAGTCATTCACGGAGACCTCTCTGGTGTAAGATTTATCATTTGTTCCATCCTCCATACTAATGATCAACTACAAGAACAATGTCCTGATCGGTAGTGATAGAACTGCATATCTTGCAGACTTTGGCCTTTCCGAAACGTTGACAAGATCTCCCAGCATGACATACCTCGCGAAGATGAGCCGTCGTCCAGGAGCAGCGAGGTGGGCGGCTCCTGAATGGCTTTCTGTGGAAGAATCAGCCTCTGAAATCAGCACCCAGAGCGACATATATTGCTTTGGCAGCATCATGCTTCAAGTCAGTCGTTCCCTCTCGCCAATGCAGCTCGCTAACTCGTCCTGCAGGTGCTGACGGGAAATGTGCCTTGGCTCCGCTTGAATAATGAATTTGTAATATGGTTGAAAGTGGTTGAAGGGGAGATGCATCCTCGTCCAGATGATTGTGTCACCGACCAGCAATGGAATTTTATGACCCGTTGCTGGTCTAAGACACCCATCGAACGGTCTTCCGCCCAAGAAGCACTTCAATTTGTTGATAGCGAGCTTGCTTTATACGATTGAGCAAATGATGTTATACTATTTCATATGCTCAAGAACAAATGTGCTGGGATCATAAGTTAGCCGCGTTTACTTTGAGCTCGGAGGCAACACACAGACACAATCATACATAAGTAAGTCAAGATCTTTAAACACTGGGCAATGCATGTCTCTGTCACATGTTGTGGATCACAATCCGAAGGTCCGAAAGAGTTCAACTGAGGCCACACAATGTCAGAGATAACAATACATAAGAACTAGCTGCAACGGTGAAATAGTTGTCAATATATTGGATCCATATTAACGACCACTGGTGTATTGAGAAGATGCGCAGCAGAGAAAAAGAACCAAACGAGCCCACAACAGAAAGGCTTGTGATTGCGCGGTTACTGCGTCTGTTGTAGTAGTATTACTAGTATTGGGAGCAGGAGGTGCCGTGGACGTCAAGACATCGGTCGGATGAGGTTGTGATGACGACCCCTGGGCTTGGCCTTGTGGTTGGCTTTGCTGTGTTCGTTTCACATTGCCACGACCTCGACTTGGCCGCCAAGCAACAACCAATGGCTGCAGAGATATCATTGAACCACGGTGATTGGACACGTACGTGAAGAAAAACATACCTTTCTGTCCCGTACTGGAGCAATTTCAACGACATGAGGACCGCGACGAGAAATTGTGGTCTGCGTTGGGCGTTGCTGGAGTTCGGTTGCCTCGTCGGCAATGGAGTGGGAGTGGTGGAAGAGCGATAAAAGGCGATCAAGGAGCGCACGTGGTTTCGCTGAAGTGGGTGCGAGGGCTTGGATACGGCCAGAGAACCGGTGACGGGTACCACGCATCGTGGAGGACTGAGAACACAGGTAACGAGAGCTGATCAAAAAATGTGGACGATGCACATGAACACCATCTCGCACCTCATTGAAAAAGTCTGGCTCCAATTGATCATATTCGGCCTGTGTAGCATCCGCCTAGAACTTGATGTTACGATCATTGAAAAGGTTGAGGAACTTATCACGTACATCCATTAACGACTCTCCAGCTGCGACCTGCGATTGAATGAGAGGTTAACATGGTCTTGGCTGATGAGCCATAAGATTTACACTCACATCAGGAACAGAGTCCAGTAAGTCTTCAAGGCCAGCTTGTGTTAGGATGGCGTTGATATCCCAGACATACACATTTTTGTTATCGCAACCAGTGACTAGCAGCTTTCCAAGTCTATCAGGGGAAAAGGCTGCGCAGTTCACATCATCTTCATGCTGGAGGGGTGGTCCAACAGGGAGGTTGGTGTCGAAATTCCACAGACGTGCTGTTCCATCATCCGATGCACTCGCAAGAAGGCGGTCGTGCCAAGACAAGGAGATAGCGTTAACCCAGCTTGTGTGACCGTCGAGAATAGCAATCTCCTGCCATGTGGCAGTGTCGAATATCCTAATCGGGCCATAAGACGCGGAGACCAACTTTTTTCCATTTGATGTCCATGCCAAGCTGTGAACTAATTGATGGTGTTTGAGTGTGGAGAGTTGCTTGCCCGTCTTGGTATCCCAGATTTTTACACCATGTCCCCCCGTCGCAATTTTCGTTTTGTCGGGTGAGCAGATCACCACCATCACATACTCGGCCCCAGTCTCGATCGGACCCAGGACACATTTCCCACTCTCGATGTCCCACATTCTTGCCATCTTGTCCAAGGAACCGCTCACCACTCACTCACCATCTGCACTCCAGCACAATGACCCTACTCTGGAGGTGTGCCCTGTCCATTTGGCGACGACCTTCTACGTCTCGATGTCCTACAACCCCACAATCCCATCAGTGTTTCCGCTTGCAACAATCTTGCCGTTTGGAGATAATGCTATGGTAGACACTCCTGCATTGTTCCCCCCATCCTGCCAGTTGTTACCCACCTGTGTATCGCTCTCTAGGTCCCATAGTTGGAGCGAGCCGTCATCCGAACGTGCGATGATGTGTTGTCCACCATGCAGGTGCAGGACATTTCGTACCCGGTGGCCTTGCATAGTCTGATGGGGCTTGACAGTTGGCGTCTCTTGCATCTCAACGGTCACGGAAGACATTTTGTTGGCGCTCGGAGTCTCCACCACGGCAGATCGTGGAATATGTAAATCAGAACGTGTCAACAGCAAATATTGCTGGCGAGTCCACAGGCCTATCTGCTTTCACTTTAATTTCTGTCACTAGTCCATAAGGCATTGCTCACGATGAAGCCCGCTTATAGGACTTCGGTCAGCTGGGATGTATGTAGGAGTTCCTGCGGTGTTCTTCGAGAATTCACAAGAGAACTTTGTGGGAAATATCGCTGCTAAGCGAGCAGTCAGCGTTGCCTGGCAGAATATTCTGGAGTATCACTCACGAGAAACACGTTCAGGCCAACTCTCACAGATACTGATACCCAATCACCAATGTGAGGGACGTAAGTACTATAAGCTGAGACAGTGGGCATTTTGTTTAGAGTCGAGGGAGTTGGATACTCGTTCGTTTAAGTCATGTAAGTATTACGTTGCATATTATTCCATGTGTTAACCTTGTGTTCGCTTCACAGCTTAAGTGCTGTGTACACGGCCAATCGAAAAAATCATAGAATCTATGTCTAAAAATAGGGTTATAGCCCTTATGTCAGTCTGATCTCCACGCATCAACTTTCGTCGCGTGTATTATACATAAATATTTAATATAATTTTGATAGATTCACAGGCTGACATAATGTCAGTGATGTCAGAGTGTGATAGCGATGCTGGTAGGGTATAAATCCGGTGGCTGTTTTCGGGTGCACATTATGTACGGAGACCTAGTACCGGAATTATGTTGGTTGACAACATAGATCATATACTGAGACCTAGACATTGGTAGTATACTGGTTGACGATATAGATCATGTGCTTAGACCAAGGCGTTGGTAGTATACTGGTTGACAACATAAATCATATACTGAGACCTAGACATTGATAATATACTGGTCCTAGACATTGGTAATATACTGGTTGACCGATGTACAAGCTATATACTTCCGACATATGTATGACACTTGAGCATATGTAGAGTGTACACCTATTAACACCCTGTGTTGGTACCGCCTGAATATTTTTCACACCGATATTTGCACCTGTCGAGACATCATGGAAAGCACGACAAATGTATTATTTTTGTATCAAAAATAACAGGTATGATTAGGACGAGGGATGCAGTGCAGGGGTGGCAAAAATGACAGGTGTGATTAAAGTGAAGGATGCAGGAGCAGCGAAAATGATGGGTATGATGAAAATGAGGGATGGAGTGCAGGAGCGGCGAAAATGAATGGAAATATGTAAAATCTTAGGTGTTCCAAATGAGCTCGGTCTGAATAGCAGTCTGCCAATGAGGATTCGTCTTCGAAATCAACTTCGAGAGCTTCTTGCCACCAGGAAACTCGGCGAGATCAGCTTGGAAGATTTCAATGAACAACCTAACCGAAAATCAGTTTCTATAACTGCATGAGCCAACAAATACGTACTTCTGCAACTCCTTATCTTGCTGGGCGGGGATCGAGGAGGATTCCTTGGACATTTGGTGCATGGTTAAGAGTGAGTGGTCGATGAAGTTCCAGAATCTGATGGTATTGTTGTACCGCGCCGGAGTACCTTCAACCAATCCGAATCTGGAGTCAAGTGGGTCATCTTGTAAGACTGCGGCATTGTCAACATTGTTCCCGGGCCCATTCAACTCCTCATCCTCTCCTGTTAGCATCCCGATCACCACTTTGGTCCTCGAGCTCTTCATTATCCATGTCGGCACCATTCTCATTCCTCCTAGCACTGGGCGCATGATCGTCGTTTGCTGAGGTTTCTGGGGAGGCCTGATTGTTGGACCCAGGCGTGTGATTATTGTCAAATAAGTCATTCTCAAGCCGTTCGATGTTGACACCAAGTTCGCATTCGACTTTTCCCCGCATGTCCTGCTTGAGTGACAGGAATAAGGTAAGGGGAAAATAATTCTTTGATGGAAGCACTTTTGTAGTCGCTGATGCCGATGAGAAAAATTCGCAGAAGACGCCGCTGTCCCCGTACAAATGAGTGTTAATGTTAATAGAGAGATACATGTGGTATCACTTACAAGTAGCGCGATTCTGTTCCAATGTGTAGAATCAACTTCCATGCCAGACCCTGCTGCGTGCAAGCGCCCTGGTCACATCGGCGACACTTGTATGCTTGACAACTGACGTGGTGAGCTACACAGCAATAATCATAATTGAGGTTGCAGTCAAAAAAAAAAGTAGCGAGACTCACAGCGGTCTTGATGACGCTACTGAATACCGGTAAGTAGCTTTGTGACTGATTTGCCCAGCTGAGCTCTGAGTTCGACATCCTCGAGCATTCCGGGGGGGGATTTTGAAGACATCACAATGACTGGTAATGAAATCCTGAAATCATTTAGCGGTGTTGACTCAGAACAGCGGACATTAGAGACAGACCATTATATGAAGCTGGGTGTCAGTGACATATGCTGTGATGTTTGGCAACAGCATGCACGCAAACAAACGGTTGTATAGCCCATTCTTCTGGTCCAAGTTAGTCTAGAATAACACAGAATGCAAAGTACCATCGTTACCTCAAAGTCCTTTGATTCCAAGGCATCCTTCAATTCCTGCAATCTCTTTGCCTTGTTTACCTCGTAAAGTTTGACGAGGGTAATCTTCAGGTCTATGAGCATATAAAACATGTCGCCAGACTGCATCAAGTCTGAGTCAGCAAACACAGCAACCCAACAGCTCGATGAAAACTTATTACATCAATGAAACGCATGACTTCTCCGGTTGGAACCTCGTTGTCTTCACACAGCTTCTTGGCATAGATCTTGAAGCGTTTCGTCCATTGGGGTGTGAGCTTGGTAGGATCCCCATGGTGGGAAGTTCTGCTGTTCCTGCATCGACGAACTGCTGTGCTGATTGGCTCATCCAACGATGATGTTGGACTAGTGGGGGGCACAATTTCAAGTCCGGGTATCACTGGGCCGTCGCCACTTGTAGAGCGAGAACTTTGGGGGGAAGCACCTGTGAAGTACATCGTCAAGTCAAATTAGAGCTTATATGTGAGGACCTACTTCCATATCCTCCAACAGACAGATGGTTGGATGAGCTGCCGCTGCTCCAGGTCAGGCGTAGTGCTTCTGTTCAGACTTCCCGTGGATCTTTCTGGTGAAGTTCTTGTATTTGATCGTGGCCTCAGCTGATTGGTTTGCTTGTGAAGGTGATCTTGAACATTGGCTACCACCAGAAGACTGGCGCAGACGATAACCACATTGGAACATTGTTGCAAATGCCAGAGGTTGCGGTGGCTGCAGGCACTCAGGCTTGCATGAGGTTGGATATTAATAGTATCCGTGACACTCCGAAGTTGACTGAACCGAGCAAAAAATTCAGGCCTCCTGAATGTCCTCTGGGCAGGAGCAGAACATCATACAGTAGTATTGGTATGTTGGTATGTAAGGTGCCCATAGTTGTAATGAAGTACATATTAATTGTGCCGTCCAACGACTCTGCCACAACTTCCAGCAACGAGGATGCTTTTGACATTGGAGGAAGAACCTCAAAGATAAGCACGCTGAACCTTGTCGAAGGAGAGCCTTGAATGCTGGAGGAAGAATTTCAAGGATAAGCATGCGAACTTGTCGAAGGAGAACCTTGAACGCTGGAGGAAGACAAGCATGTGAACCTTGTCGAAGAAGAATGCTCTCCAGCGTCTTGCAAGAACGGGGAGTTAGGGTGATTCCATCTAGTACTGTCTGCCAGGCTGCTCGTGATGTGGAGCCTGAGAGTGCCAGATATGCGAGGTCATCACTGGCGCGGAAGGTTGCAAGGGAAGCTGCTGTGCATATGACAATTGTCCTGAATGATGCGGGTGAAGGGGGGGAGTGTGCGAGGGATTTGGAAGAGCCAGCCCCAAAGAGTGCCGATATGGTGGGGCAACATATTGCCCAGCATACATTGGCGGTACCATGGAAGGTGGGTTCGATGGCCAGGGATGAGAAGGGAGAGGTCTGGATGGACCGGGCGCAGGAGATGATTGCCACGTCATGACCATTGGGGGTGGCTGCAACAGGTGATGCGAAGGGGGAGCTCTATATGGACCGGGCGTGGGAGATGATTGCCACGTCAATACCATTGGGGGCAGCTGCAACGGGTGATGCGAAGGGGGAGCTCTATATGGAGGCATGGGGGATTGCTGCAACTGTGAAGGTACAGTAGCAGGCAGATGTAGCGATGGGAGACGAGAAGGTGCGGGTGCTGGGAGATGGGAACTTGAAGATGCAGCTGCCTGCGTGATTGTGGGTTGTCGTGGATTGGCGGGCGGTCGAGGTGCCTTCTCTTTTGCTTTCTGCGTTTTCTTCGGTTTTCTTGCTGCTGGGCGGTCGAACGCCGCAGGAACCCCAGCTATGTCATTGTGCAATGTACTCAAAGACTCGGTATCTGGTGTTTCGCCTGATTTCTTGCTTGCTTTCTTCTCCCGGATTTGACAAGCTGCTGCTAAACGAATGTCTACTGCATTATCGACCCTCAATGGTGTCTTGCGAAGTGACTGAGGGATGACAGATTGAATCTGGGCGTAATTGTGAATCGAATAAGCATTGAGCAAGTAAAATGGCGAGGATTTGTGCTGAACGATGGACTTCATACATGCAGTCTCAGTTCGCTCTTGACAAATGTGACATTGACTAATGCCTGTGCACTGTGATTTAACACAGTCGTGTTGGACGTTTACTATACAAACAATTTCCTAGATTCACCACGTGAGCATGTCAATAAACTCGATTGAAGGTTCATGTTCAAACTTACTTGTGGACCAATAACAACCTCATGGTCCGTGAGCTCGAGTGCGGGGATGTGAAGGAGGGGATGTAACGCAGGTCCGAAAGCAAGTTTTTGAATGGCGACATGCTGCACGACTTTGTGAGAGTCTGAGATCAGGATCTCGTGAATGCGCCCAATGGCTGAGCAAGATGTTGATGAGTTGTGAAAAATGATGTGTGCTTCTAAAGACGCTTTCTCGCCGTTGCCAAGAATCAACGAGATGCCATGATGGTATCGAGCATTACAAGCAGGTTGTGAGAGCTCGAGGGCGTTTGCGCAGCATGTTGCTGTCCACAGCACAGGTATTCCTGCCATAGGTCGTCCATCTTCGGCGGCGACTTTCTTGAGTTGGCCGGTTCCTTTCAGTAACAGACATTACAATCTATGATGCTGGGTATTCAATGAACACATTACCTGCCACAGGATGTTCTCGTGTATGAATTCCCAAAAGACGTGCCTGCTCTGGACGATTGTCGAGGTAGTTCAAAACCACATCACCTGCCCGAACCCACTTTCCCCGAGCACTATCAAACCAGTAACCGCCTGTCGCAATATGCTTGATAATGTCTTGTCTCGCAAATATTTTGCACATATCCTGGCTCGGACCCTGTCGATTGCTGTGTATACATGCTAGACGGAACACGTAGTTAAATGATTCGTATCGTTCAGTGGAAAAGAGAATGGCTGGTCCGAAGCGTCGAATGTACGCAGGAAGATGCACTAAAAAATGAAACTTCAGCTTCGAGATGAGAATACTTGGTGCGCATTTTGCTGTTATGTTGAGAAAATCATTGATTGTCCGGGTAAGCTTCGCCTGTGATTCAATCAGCATCAGTGCAGTAGTGTCAGTGTGCGATCATACCAAGTATAGATCAGTATCATCTATCTCCGTGTGCCAAACATATACGACGAGCTCACCAATACTTGTCCACCCATCGAGTACTGTTCGTGGTAGTAAATCTTGAATGAGAAATGGCATGACTTGTGCCAGACTTTTAAAGTGTTTCCCTATCAGCCCGCCCTTATAATGGCATATATACTCAGCGTCGAGACAAGGAGCATTAAGCCCATCCTTCTCGATGGAGTCGAGACGCATTTGAAAAACGTCCAAGAGCTTTGCCTTTTCGAGGAGGTACACCGATTGACCCCAAAAGTATTTGATGACCCCCAGTAGCACCATATGTAAAATCTCTGTTGGCGTGTCCTGGTGAACATTGAATCCTAATGAAAGGTCAATGTACGACTGAAAACGCGGGCATGAACCTTACCTTCCACGCCCAATAATGGGTTTATTGCGCCCTCAATCATGCTCCCCTGCAGGAGGTCTCCCAGTTGCTTCTCTAGAATAGCCTTGACTTCGCACTCTGGTTTTGCCTGAATGCCAGCACCTCGTTTGCGTAGCTTCTTCCCTAGCTCAACAACCATGTCAAGAATGTAAGCAGTTCTCGTGTCCTTCACACCTGACGAAGCGACAGATTGTCATGAATGTTACCAACTGCATCTAAATTTCGATTATCAAACCCTAAGTCACCTTATCCGATAAGATTAGATTAGATAGATCCCTGATAAGATAAGATGGATAACCGATTAACGATCACTATCTTTACATCACATCTATACTACATCGACGTCATCCATCTATATCCGTAACCCTAGACATACGAACTCATCACATCCTTAGAAGTCCTACGATTAGGCAACGGGTTACATCATAAGCATCTACACGCCTCTATGATCGAACCATAACCGAGAGTCCTTTACGAGTCATCTCTCGAAGAGTCACCATCCTTTCACATCGCAGACCTTCACTTCCCACACATGACATGTTAAGAGTTACCTCTGTCATTCACCGAACCCCTTACATAAGAACCTGTTGCACAGTCACAGCTAGAACCCTGAACCACTATCACAGAAGCACCGCTCATAGAGAAGCATGCTCATCACCAAAGACCCTGGAGAATCCCTAGATCCGATCATACCCGATACATCTCCAGATCCTATCTCTTATCGAGATCCTTAATCACCGCTCGAGACTTCTTGTCACAGAACTCTCTCACACCCTTCTTAATCTCCGTTCACCCTGAATAGAAGCAGCACCCTGAGAACCCTGCTTAATCACCGATACCCTAAACCCCATGAACCCTTTCCCCTTTTCTCCTTGTAGTTGATTGGTTGATAAAACGCCCTATACCCTAGGTGCAATGTTGTGACCGTATATAGATATATCACAACCTTTCATACTCAGATATCTCCGCCTAGAGAGTAGTATATAGTTTAGGTCGTAGTCAGTAGTACTCCTTAGACTTAACCTCTTCGTTCTTACGTCATCGTAGGCCTAGACATTCCCTCTCAAATCTATCCTTGCTTTATCCCTCTTCAGACGAGTCCTGTGGTGTGATTCAATCTCCAGACACCTACTAGTTAGGTTAAGGGACGTTGGTCATAACACAGATTTCTTAATCTTCTCTGACGCACCTGAACAGAGCGCAGAAGCAAATTGTGCGTGGATCTCTTCCGCTGTTCCTGCAGGAGTGCGTGGCGTTCCTGGCTGCTCAGAGTCAGTCAATATGGTGACGGATAGTGCGAGAATATGCTACATACCACGAAGATGCTCTTGTAGCCCTCATCTGACTCTTTATACTCCTTGGTTCCACCGACTTCACATGTCCTACAGAAGAAGTTGCAATGCAGCCCTGCGTGGCTGCATTCTTCAGCATGCATGGGGTTGTCGCCACCGAGAAACAGACCATATAGCTCCAGCATAACTTCTTCTTCGTGCTTGCAGTCCCAACTGAAGACCCCCGATTCCATAGCTTTTCTAAGATCACTAGCGTCACATTTGCTGTAGTAGCAAATTATAAGTATCACGTACCTGATTGAATCTTGCATGGCGCTCATCATTTCCATCGGGGCTGCGTGAGGAGAAGACGTGACAAACCGAATACAAAACTCTTTCTCGAGCATTTCGCGAGGCAGATTTGCATTAGACATATATATTGCATGATGCTTGTTCCACTGCTTGGATATGTTTCCAGATACGTCATCCATGAATATTATGAGAGGGACTGAGTACACCATACGTCCTTGAGATTTTGTGCGCAATGGATTCGGTACCAGTTTCACGTATTTGTTCGATGACTCCGTCAGCCCGCAAGCGAGTTCGTTGTCATTGGCAGATATTTCCCTGAACGACCTTCGAAAGTTAGATGTCGGGATCATTTCCCGCTCGTCACTGACAATAAACCCATCCTAAGTCTATCAGCAAAATTGAAAGTATGCGCAGAACACTGGTATCACCTGTGTTCATTGTACAGCACGGCCAAGTGCATGTAGCTGCTTGTCCACGCTATCATTTGTTGACATTTACGATGCAAGAAAGAAATGCTCGGGTATAAAGTAGTCTCCCGACACGTCCTGCAAGAGCTCATTCACGAAGTAGATCTCCCCGTCGACTTTAGCTGCGGGGGGCGAAGGGAGTTCGAACATCATTTTATCTCCATTGAACACCTGGGACATTCCCTTGTCCCCGTCCTCAGGGTAATCCTGCATCGCAAACCGCGTGAGGGGGTTTGCGTAGTCCTAAATGAGAACATTTGAAGTCAGTGTTGAGAGAAGTGTTCATGTGTGAGATTCTGCGCACCTTGGCAACTGCTTTTCCAACATTGTTAAGATAAAATATATTGCCCGAACGTGCAGTGATCTTTTCCGTTGGATTGCCAACAAGTGTTCGAACAGACTCCTGGACTCGATTCAATGCATATAGCGAAGGGACGTCACAAGCACCAAGCTCTCTTGCCCAAGATAAGACCGCCTTTTTCTGCGCCTCGGAGAATGGGAGCCTTGGAGAACTAAATAGCAAGGCAGTAATATAATGCTTAAATGATAGGTTAGCAGTGAAAACGCACAAAGATAATGAAACATATGGCTTTTGTTGGCCAAGGATACGCTGGATTGTCAGGCGCAACTGGACGGTTCAGATTTACATCACATGAGGTGGTCAGCGGACAGTCATCTAATGATGTAAATACGTCTCCCGCAGGGAATGAAACAATATCTCACCTAGAAGTTCGATCCCAAAGTTTGAGTCCGTCTCATCATCAAGGCTGGTCTCTTCACTCGCTGGGGCGAGCGGCATGGAGAATATTTGTTCCCCCGAAGCAAGGGCGGATTGCAACTCCTCGTACAAATCACATGTCTCGTTGACTTGGTAGAAAGGACTGCTGGAGATTGCATTCCAGAGATCAGCGACTGGTACTACTTCATGGTCTGGTCCATGTGGCTCTGGGATATAGACAGCATCGTCGACATCCATCGCACTCGAGGCAACATCGTTGTGTCCGTTGTTTTTGTCGTTTCCGTCGTCGACAGGTGAAGGCAAATGTTCTACTTCATGATGGTGCCGTTGCCGTTGTCGTTGACGTTGAGAAGTCGAGCGCATTGAAGTCCAGGCCTTGGCATGACGCTGATGTACGCCAGTGCCAACATGCTTCGATGCATGTTTAGGATGCATTGTGCACAAAGTGTTATCACGCTTCGGACACACATTGCACACAACCTGAGACGCTCCACAAAACTGCAAGACTGCATTAAACATCAGTAAACGCTATTCATGTTGAGTGCAAGACTTACTTATACCGTCGATAGCATGCAGTGCGGCTGGCATGATACCGATTGTCGAGTGATTGCAGTGTGATCGCTGATTGGAGACTTGACGATTTGAAAGCGACTCTTTCAGATCATGTGATTCCTTGGGAGAATTTTGAGGCGAAGTCTGAAATTCTGAATTGAAGGGATTTTGAAGTCTTGGTCGGAATTTGGTACTGTGCATGGAGTGCGTGAAAAAAATCAGCAAAAGAGAGAAGAAAACAATAAGAGCACAATACCCCAACAACTAAAAAGTAGCAAAAAATTTTAGAAGGGTACAGGTTCACTGCGCCTGAAAATGGAGGGGCGGCAGTTAAGATGGAATAGAGGAGAGGCGGAGGAGCAGATGATATGTAGAAAGGGAATATGTTAGACTCGTGAGTGTATAGAATAGAGGAGAAGCGGAGTAGCAGATGATATGTAGAAAGGGAATATGTTAGACTCGTGAGTGCATAGAATATAGGAGAGGCGGAGGAGCAGATGATATGTAGAAAGGGAATGTGATAAGAAATCCGCTCCTGAGTGTTAAGCAGGGGGAGGGTGGCAAAGAAACAGGCAGAGGGTGATAATGGGGAGCAGAAGTCTGTAAAGGGAGAAAATGTCAAGCCAGGCTCAAAATAATGAAGAATATAAGAGGGGTAGTGGAAGGGCAGATGATAGAGCGCCGAGGCGAGAGCAACAAAGATAAGGCAAGATGTCAATGATCTAAAGAATAGTGAAGGGAGTCAGCAATATATAGATCCGGGATTATGTTAAAACAACCTAGGGATCCTGCGACGTACTATTCTTGCAGTTGAACAGATTAATGTAAACACAGGTCGGGGGGGAACATCGTCGAGTCTGGATAATAGATATGTGTCGAGACTTGAATCTGAGGGAAAGTGACCGCGATGAGTAGACTTTCCAACACCAGAGTCAGTGCGAGTGTTATACCTCACATTTATTATATGTCTGTCATGACCGTTTCGCCCCACAGGGAGAACATGAGGGCACAAACATGCAAGCATGCGGCTGTGGTGACTTATGCATATGCACGAACCGAAAAAGGGGTTACAAGTTAGCACGTGATTCAGATTGCTCCAAGTTCAACATCAACAGCAGCGAGGACTGGAGACACGACCATGTCAAACACAACAACTCTCCAACCTCATCATTTTTCAAGCGGGACCTTCTATCCAGATATGCGACTTGCCGAATCAAAAGATGTAGTTCTTCAGCCTTTGTCAATCTTAGTATGGTTTTCAGGTGCAGTACCTCGTCATCTCGCTCATTCGAATATTGTATGTGATACGATTTTCTTGAATAATGACCACTTATGCTGACAAACATTCTATAGCCCATTGAAATTACTGTGTCTTTGAAAGACGAATATAAATCATTCACAGTACCAGTAATTGAGATAGTGTCTCAGCAGCATCATCACTCGAATAATGTATGTATCTGCACCAAAGTTTTGCAATGAGACTAACCGTAGTGCATCTGAAGTCCATGGCTTTCAGTCAATCTTGCTCTGCGACTGATAGCAACATGGCTTTTTCCTTCCTTCCCCTGCCACCAGCATTCGATCACATGGATTCTGACCACTGGGCAGAACTCTTGGACAACATCCAATCCTGGCTCATAAAATCTGTAGATCCGATAACGCCTGAATGGACTTGGGGTCGGGAAGCGTTCTGGTATGCATTCATCACCACCCATCCCGACTTCCCAAGCGGAAAGTGGTCCTTCTGGGATCCTAGTATTCCCATTGAGGGCCAATTCATCGAGGAGTGGGTGGGGAGCGGCGGCGGCATCAGTATGGCCATCGACGACAATGACAATGACAATGACGGCAAGCTAACCACTGTCTCTACACACGGTGATACCTTGGACTACATTTGGTCTGAATTTTCAAGGCACATCGCGCTTTTTTATCCCTATCCTTTGCTTTCTACTTCATGATTTTTCCTCCTTTGCACATTTGGGACACTTAGCATGATATATAGGGTACCACATCATATCATGTCTGCATGTTTTGTTGTCACTGTATCTTGTCTTTAAATCAATATATATGTCCAATGACAAGCTCATAATCATGTTCCCTCATGGTTTGCAATGCGAAGTGTGACATTAGACTATACTGCAGGACAGAGCTCACAGGATGTACAGCTGCTCACAGCATTCATCCGTAAAATACTTAGAAAATACTACACAGAGTCCCAGCTCGTCACATGATGCAAGCCACATGGCACTTTTTCCTCGAGTGACATCACCACTCGAGGAAAAAGTGCCATGTGGCACAGCGCTGTGCTTAGAAAATAGAAGTCACAATTCAAAGCATATGGATCTGCATCGCGAAGTCAAATGTCAAGACAAAATAAAATTTCATATCCATCGTATTTACTGCTACTAGGTACTAGTACAGCTATAACGCCCTATACTTGTTGCGTCGTATATGCTATACCTGTCTTATGAAAATTCTATATCTTGCATCCTATGCTGTACAAGCAAGGCTGCCGTTATAAATTCTACACTTGCCGTGTACATGACATACACCTTTCATATATAAATCCTATGTCTTGTTCCCTTTGCCGTGCATTTGTTGGTGTCGTTGTCTGGCCAATGCTTTACTCCCGGCACGGAAACAGGCTAACTTCGTATGTTGATTCGGTGTCTTTCCACGCTCGGGTGAATGTCCTGGACTAGATCTCTTATGGTGACTTGATCTTGGATAATCGTCAAATAAATTTATTATTTATCGTAAATGTACCATTTATGTATGAGGTTCTGGTTTTATCATATACATTTAAACTATTTTTCGTCAAATATTCAACGTGCGAATTTGACGATTGGCCGTGTAGACGAAGCGCTCATATCCTGCCAGTGGCGCCACGTGCATCTTCCTCATGTTTGTACTTACGGACTGCGTACGTGGATGGTCGTGACAACTTGAAGGTGCTGCACTTCGTATACACTTAACTTTCAATTGGGGAGCTCAGAATCATGGCTCGAGGACATATAGGCTGGTGCATCTCACGGCTATTATTGTGGCGTTACCAGCGAATTGAGGCAGACAAGAACGGTGTTCATATTTCACAATTAGTCCAAGGTTCGTTCACTTGCTCTTGCATGCAGCACTCCTGAGAGCGGGACATCGATCAGTGTCGGGTAAGCAACTTAAAAAAAATGATATCACGCACTCTCTGACAGCGAGACATCGCCGTGGCACCATCAGTCTTCTGGTAAGCAACACGTGACAGATCATCAGCTGTCTGAGAGCGGGACATCGCCGTGACGCCATCAGCGTCGGGACCTAGAAGCCGTAAGTACACTAAATTTTTTGTTTAAGAATGTTTTCGAAGTTTCACAATGACAAACAGTTTGCTGGACATGAAAGTTGCGAATAACGAGCATTTCGGGGTCAGTCGTGTGATTGGAGTTGATATTAGACCATTGAGTGCTCTCCATCGCACTCAAATATTTCCGGGAGATCTGAAACCATCGTTTGCATTCTCGACTTCCGATTGTTAGACACAGTCAGTGCTCAGCAGAGAAGCGTACTGACCAATCGATCGAACAACCAGCCCGTCGTCAAAGCAAATACACAATAGACCCGAGACCAAGGTGATTCTCAGCGCCACAAAAATGACACTTGTAGGACACTCCCAAGGATGATGTCATCTGCTGTTCAATGATTACTCTCATGACGATCTTTGTGCCTGCTTCAATTGTTGGCCATTCATCGCTTGTAAGTCGGGTTACTTCAGTGCCCTCGTCGATGCACAAATAGTAATGTCCTTCCTCGATATACCGTCTCTGAATTCGGGCTTCAATCGACTTGTGTTTAAACAGAACTTGGAGCATGTCATTGAGTTGCTAAAGAGAATTCGATGAGTGAGCTTCCCTAAGATTGATTTTTACGTTGGTGAGACAGACCTGAAATGAGGTGCAGAAATTCACCGATACTAGATGTTCGTGGCCTGTTGCATCTACCAGCATTTGGGGAGGTCGAATTGAACTAGTGCGATGATAGTAGGTACTGGTGAATGTAAATTGACTCTGTAGCATGTAATAGACTATGAAGCTGCAACATGAACTTGGTTTGCCCAGACCTAATTCTGTCCTCTAAATCACCCCAGAACACCAAATCAATGCCAAGATGGAGCTCCAAAAAATGCTATGATAAAACTCGGATGAGATTTACATGCTCCTCAAGGTGCACAGTATGATCATCCCTTGGATCGTTTCCCGTGTTACACACCACCGCCGGTTGACACGTGTCCGCGCGCCTCGAAAACGATTGTAGTCACGGCAGTTCCTTCGTCGACAACGACCTTGACATGAGATTCTCGAACGCTAAGGATGAGACGTGGTCCCAGCACAAACATTTGTATGAACTGGGAAATTTGGAGCGCGCCATAATATACACCAGATTCCACAGAAGCTGACTCCTGTAGAAATGATGAGGCGGGGTCAGATGCACTGGCAGATGAGTCAGTGGCAGATCGGCGCACCGTGATCTTTCGAGACAGTAAGCCGAGGTCGATGCAGGACATGACGACAAAGCTAGCACATACGAAACTTCAGTGGGACAAGATAATAACATCCAAATTACCGAGCTCACCCTACGAAGTACAGCACGTGACTTTTTATCAACACCGCGAAAGAATCTCCGATGGTCGATCCTGTCGGTGATTGTTGCAATTCACGGAAGCGTTTTAGAACAATCCAGGCAGCAAGGAAGAAGGCGAGGATCTCCCATGCGAGGGTAGGTATGAAGATCTCGTCATTCAGATATACGTTGTCTTGATTGCCACTGTTGACGTCAACACACGTATGAATGCCCGAAAGGACGAACTCCTCTGGTATGCGTCCATCAGTCTCATGTGCTCAAGGCTTTCATCCAAAATTTAAGCGTACCCCCTGAAGTACCAATGTTTGCCATTATCGTCATCACTCCGGAGGCGATTGTGGAAGCCAGGAAGACTACAACCACAAAGATGAGCATCGGTTTGGATCGTTGATACATGGCATGTATCCGGGTGATTATGATGACTTGCATGATATTTTAGTAAGGTCAATATCAGTAGGGTACCACAATGCAGCTCACCGCCCAGCATGGCATTTACGACGACTGGCGTCCATATCTCCATGAAGGACATGATAGTGCCTGAAAAACCCAGTTACCGATTCGCATTCGTGGAATCAATGTTTCAAATGAACTCACAGCTGTTCTAGTTGTTATGATAAAGAAACAAGCTAAACGAGAACGTCACTCACCCCTATGTAGGAGTACAGTTAGTAGTTGAATGAGAATGGCAGGCATCGGTGCAGAATACACACTACATCTGTAATCGGCGATGGCATTGGATTTGCTGCATGTCGTCAGCCAGAAGATACGGAGATATGTGATGATACATACCCAATAGGTAAACGCTGATTGGGAGAGATGGTGTATTAGCACAGTGCATCGACATTCTAGTTAGCTCGCAAACATACACCGAATACAGTATTCCAAGATAGCGCACCTAGCATATGTTAAAGTCAGCACAACTTGGCAACTGCCTTGAAACATTGGCTACGTACACAAATATAAAGAACAGTGATGTGGGACCAACGTCGCCTCTGCCCCAAATAAACTATTGTGCTCCCGAAATATAGGATTTTGCTCACCCAGATCAGTTGAAACTGTTAAAGCATTGATCTCAATGAGATGCTGCGCTGGTAATGACATCGACTAAGGACTTGCCTCTTGTGGAAATGTCAGTACTTCAATACACATCGATATCAGTGATCCTCTCAGAAAATATTATGTCGCTCACTCCAATCGTATACCACCACAGTAGAGGATATAACTGTGAAATTACAGTCAATAGTGAGATGGCACCAACATCATCCGACTTTCTCTCCACGAACCTATAAAATAATTCAATACACGACACCATTCGAGGTACGGGCACCAAGAGGGATTTTTTGAGACCATGGTCATATTGGGATTGGCGAGGTTGGTAAACGAGGGCGTTCGTGCAGATATACCATGGTGTCCAGCGCTTTTATAGTTATCACTGTGGTTATCCGAGTTATGTAGTTGTTTGAAATCACGTACACAGAATGGCAGGTCGCTGAATGTTTGAACGCCGGAACCTGTTCCAATGCTGTGCTGAAGAGCTTCGAAGCCTTCTGCCAGGTTAATTCGCATCAGTGATCAATGATCATGTCGTTATCCCATTGATATCAGTCTAACGCAGAGAAAACTGCAGAACTTCATTATGTCTTAGCTGTCGGATCCATGAACTAGAGTCTAGTTACAGCTGAGTCTCAACTTCCTGTGCTGCCAGTGGAACCGTCAATTTGCTGTCTCTCATGATAAGCTCTTATTCGAATTCGAATTCAGCGTGATGCCATTGGTTGATCAGTTGCTTGCACTGCTATCTCACGAGGTGACGTACGAGCAGGGTGATGCCATTGGGTCACTGGGCGCAACTTGGATTCGCCATCGAAAGATTTCAAATCGCAGATTACCATCGATTCCGGTAACGTTATCTTCCATCTGATCGCACGAAGCAACATTGTCGCACTGTTGCTGCACCCATCATAATATATGCTTTTAGCCTTCGATGTCAGACTTTTGGTGTGTGTGTCGCAAGTATTTTAACGGCGAAAGGACTTCGATTCGAGCACGATCAACATGGTACCGCCATCTTCAAGAAGCGGATGATGATGAGAAGGAGAGTGTTCGTTTGGCAAAGTTTTCTGATACATTCCGTGCATTGATTCCGCCTGCACACAGTGTTTTGGCTGGTCCGACCGACGTGAAATGTCTGAGTGAATCTAACGACGACGACGACAGTGTGCCCAGACTTCAAGGTCTATTGGACTGCCTTGCCGAAGGACACCAAACAGGTGAGTCGTCGGTTTTCTTTATCACACAATGTTCTTACGAGCTTTATTTTACCAGAAATACGATATTGAAGCAGCTCAATTGGTAAGTTGTACATTTCCACTGTGTCTACATTATGCTGATGTATCCCGGAAGTCGAGAATACAAACGACGGTTTCAAATCTCTCATCGATACTCGAGTTCGAAGGAGAGCAGTGGATCATTTGACGTGGATACCAACGACACGACTGACGCAGAAATGCGTTTGATTCGTAACTTTCACGTCCTGCAAACCGTACGTCATCGTTGTCATCATTAGACTTGGCTAGCAATCTTATGCTAAAAACTTACTGATATCCCCCTCAGGAAGTGTGTGACCTCGTCTTTGTGCTGCTCACCCGACGCCGATGTCCCGCTCTCAGTTTGTGCGTGATCTCGTCTTTTGAACTGCTTGACCGAGCCTGATGGTGCCACGACGATATTGCGCTCTCAGTCCGTGCGTGATATCGTCCTTTGCGCTGCTTTCCCGACGCTGATGGTACCACGGCGATGTACCGCTCTCAGCCTGTGCGTGATATCGTCCTTTGCGCTGTTGACCCGACGCTGATGGTGCTACGGCGATGTCCCGCGCTCAGTTGGTGTGTGATATCGTCGTTTGAATTGCATACTCGACGCTGATGGTGCTACGACGATGTCATGCTCTCAGTCTGTGCGTGATGTCATCTTTTGAGCTGCTTGCTTGAAGCTGATGGTGCCATGAGGATGTCCTGCTCTCAGCCTGTACGTGATGTCGTCTTTTGAGTTTCTTGCCCAACCCTGATGGTGCTTCGGCAATGTCGCGCTCTCAGTCTGTGCGTGATCTCGTCCTTTGCGCTACTTACCTGACGCTGATGGTGCCGCGGTGATGTATCGCTCTCAGAAAGTGCGTGATGTCGTCTTTTGCGCTGTGTATTCGACACTGATGGTGCCACGGCGATATCGCTTTCTCAGTCTGTGCGTGATGTCGTCTTTTGAGTTGCTTGCCTGAAGTCGAAGTAACCAATGAAGAATTTTACTTCTCGAGCTCTATTTTTCCGTAAGCCGCTAACAGGAAATTCAACCACATAAACAACAAGGCAGTCACATTGTGACGTCCTCACATCTATGTAAATAACCTGGGTCACTCATGTTCAACGTTCAGCGTTCAAGAGAAACCAACTTTTCAGATTCTTTGTTCTGTCACGCTTATAGTTTGCAACCTCGTATTGACTTTGTTGGATTGCACATCAATATGACCGCTATCGAAATACAACCAGTTCCAATTTCCTCTCCCATTCACAGTATTGCAAAGTCCATAAACTCTCAGAACTCTCAGCTAGTCCCGAGGCTCGCTCTCTAATCGTTCGATCTCTCGCCTCTCTCAGTACTGCAACGATGGTTTGGCAAGTTTGAGTTGCATGCTAACTACCCTTTCGTGTAGGAGTCGTTCACTGGTCTTCTCGACGACGATATTGCAACGTCCCTGTTGTTCCTGGACCCTCCAGAAACTCGGAGAAAAGTAGATATGGTCGCGGACATGAGTTATGACGTCGAGGTTCATCGCTCCACTAGGTATTGAAATTGCTCTGACGCCTAACCCCTAGCTCAAAGATGTTGCAGACCTTGCCCCCCGCTTCAGGGACGGAGAATTTAAGGTACAATTATGTTCATTATGTCGGCGACCGTCAGAGGTGCTCGTGGTTCTTGTAGGAGGTGATGGTCATTTCGCCGAAACTAAGACCCCCGTATTCCTCCAGGCAAGGCGTGAAGGCTGGTGATGTGATCTCAGCTTCAAGTTGAGGTTGATGCAAACCAGAATACCAGGGAAAACCCTGAGATAGACTTTCGCGCCTTTGACGGCCTTTATCTTGCGTTTGATGACTTCCTCAGCAGTAGTGAGCTGTTTCGCGCTGAAGCGGATGCCCATGCCCTTGATGTGGATGCCCCATTCTCCATAAGCAAGGTATGGGAATTGGGACGCAACCTGGGTGTCATTTGACGTGTTGAACTTGACGAGACGCGAGTTGTGACCGGAAACCGTCGCCGTGAGGGAAGGGCGATCTTAGCGTTGTCTGGAGAAGCGATTCATCATAAAGAACACAAGTCAATCCATTGTCCCTGACATTCGACCCCCCTTGAAGGGGTCGGCACAATAATTATACGTATGTACGCAAGGAAATAGTCCTCGAAGTACATAGCCAAATCTGCGATGGTCCAGGGAGGGTAGTAATATTCAAAACCAACCATAATCACGATCTGGTGCTCATCATTCTCCCCATCCTCGGTTCCAAATAGGCATCGTGTGAGTCTTCTTCTACTCATCCCTATACACCTCATCACCATCTTCATCAGCAAAACACTTTTTTTCCCACCATCAAAACATGGCTCGCCACAGCTTGGTCCCCTCTGTACAGGATATTGTAGTTTGTTGATGTTCCTCGATCTCGATCCCGCTGTACGTACAATGCCACATGTAATCAGTAGATTCAGTACAAAGATAAGCTATGCAGGTGGAAACATAAGATCAGAACCCACGTTGCTTCGAACAACAGCGCTGACACTCGGCGAGAGTCAAGTGATCAAGATGCTCGGACACTGGTGGCAGCTAGTGTGCATGCAAGTCAGTCATATGGCTGGTCTACTACATGCACAAGTCATCTCAGGTAAACATAAGTCTTACAACATTCTTACATTTAAAGCCAAGACTGGTGAAACAGTGCAAGACTCGTGCCAGTCTGGCGCCCCATTGCACGTCGGCCACCCTGACCAAAACAGCCTTAGTAAGGTCGTACCTGGCCATATAAGGTTCGTGCTGTTTTGTTGATATAGCAGTCTGCTTCCTGATTGTTTGGTCACTCTGATCCTTGCGCATCTCCATCATGCTCAGCTGTTCTTCCATGCACAGCTAAGACATGATGAAGTTCTGCAATTGGTCTATTGTTAGATTGATGATTACATAGTCGCGTTTCAACATCCTACAATTTACAAAGGAATTTTGATTGACCGAGGACACCTGAAACCGCATCTCCCATTTTACTTGGTTTCATATGACAATACTTGCTGCTGCGATCAAGCAAGATCTGATTCAAGCACAGGATGACCCACCTGATCACTATAAAAAGCGCCGAATGGTGGTATATCTCTACCCTCATTACCTGTGACAAAGAGTCCCGTCTGGTAAGTACTGATATATGAGGGGCTTGATCCAACTGGTATTGCAAAGTGGCTCATCGAGCTCCGTGAGTCTAACTGTCACATCTGCTACGTTGGCAAGAGATTAAAGATGATGACCGAGACTGGTCAGTAATTTGCAATGTTATATCACCACAATATAGCGGACCTACTTCACACAAAGATAAAGGGACAATGAACCCTTCTTTCAATTCTTTGATTCGTGCCTTGTCTGCCTCGAATGTTCGAGTCAGCTCGATAGTTACAGAATCCGACATCCTTGTTACCAACGAGTCCACACTCACTTTACGCTGTTTTACAGGCTACTGGAAGTTACACAAGACCTATTTTGCGCAGTCTACGAAGGCCCGTGGGTAGGTTTGGAAAGCGTATTCATTCCGGAAGTCGGCTCAGAGGTTGAAAGATTGGATTTACTTTTATCGAACGCGGGAAACGAAAATCGAGGGACAGCATGACAACGTCACAGGTGGTATGACTTCCTGCAGGATAGGCTCTGCGTGATATACAAATGACTAAAATAAAACTCACATCTGCCCCACAAGCCAATAGAAGTTCACCGCCAACCAAGCCAAATTGTACATCTTCCAAGCGTGATGGCCTTTGTCAACTCCCGCCCGAGCTCAGCATTGGCCTTCTGCAATGCAGATAATTGGTCCTTGTGCCCAATCGGCACAGTCGACAAAGTTGCTGAACGATGACTCATTCTCGCCATCGAAGCAAGATGCTGAGCATGACACAGGGAACGAGAGATTTGGTTCGCGAAGTTATCGTCTTTCTGCAGATTATTCAAACGGGTCGAGGTCCCGAACTTCGTTGGTGATGCCAGGGTACTGGAAGCCAATGCTACTGAAGGGCTGCGACAGTGCATGAAAATGCGGTTGCACAGAAGGCGGTGAACCGATCGAGGGAGGGGAGAAGAGGCCTAAGAACATGCTTGAGGATTCGATGGCACGCGTGTTCTGCCGGATGCGCTGGGACTGGAAGGAAAAAACGACACCACTGTTGAACGACATTCAGTTCAACAAGTGTATGAAAGAATTGCGCACCGAATTGCTGAGAGCAAAATGATATCTGCCATCAATTCTTTACGTCTGCTGACAGGTGTTGGATACTTGAGATCACAGATCGAGAAAAGTCGTGTATCCAAAGGGGTTGTTCGCTGTCATGCAATGTGTCAAGGGCAGGGCCAGTTGCCGTGGTTAGCGCGCTTTTGGTAGTCCAGAGGGTGGCCAACTGGAGACGCATGAAGTTCTTGCCGAACTTTTCCTATGACCGTAAGTGGTTGGTGTTGCGAGAAAATGAACTTTGCTACAATCAACAGGTAGCTTTACATCCTCTCCCACAAAGGAGTCGTCTGGGCTGTCTCGCGGGGTGTGCCGGGTCCTCTCTGCGACGAACTGGAGCAAGATCTGAGATGTAACTTCAATTCTGGGATTGCTTGGGAGTTGCTTGAGCAAGGCCATCTACTCAGTGTTGAGCATGTCGATGCCATTATGTGTCAGATGATGTACTGAGTACTGACTGAGTACATCTGCCGGCGCATATGAGGGCCTGTTGCGCCCGCAAGTGAACTACACGCAGGTTTCTAAGTCGGAAGTGCACTCCATCGAGTAGAACTACGTACCATGGCAGATATGAGATAAAGAATAATATCGAGTAATACAATAGACTTTCTTCCACTACTTCAATGCAATTCCTCGATTACTTTGACTGCCATAGAAACCGAACATGATCGTGCACTGCTGCAGGAGCAGAGAACGGTAGGGTACACCTAAGGATGGAGGAACAATTGAAGCACTGAGAAGTGGATGTGGAATCGGTTCAGGAGGCAGTACAAAACCTGAACGAGTTGATGTACGGTCTAATGAAGGACGGGAAACTAGTTGGATGACTGACGTAGGGAAGGGTGTGTGTACAAAATTTACAGGGTTTAGGAGGAGGGGCCCCGGGGGACTGCCTAGGTTCACGTGTACAATCGAATGATGAACGCGGAGTGGAAGGCCTGGGTAGAGCGTATGAGCTAAGTAATGGGACAGATCATCATGATGCTGGGCGCGGATGCGGGCTGCTGCAATGAACCGGGATTCGATGCGGTGAGAAGGTGCGCCAAGTATCATCAGCGCAAGTCCCCCAAGTTGATGATGGAACATATGGAACACTGAATTGCCCTCAAGTGTGGCAGAATAAACAAACCACGAGAGCGATACGGGACTCAATTCCGATCTTCTGTTTCTACTTCCTGGGACTTGCGAACAATTAAACGAGATCGTTTACTGAATCCAGTTGCCCGGTGAACGATCATGTTTGATTGCTGAAGTGTTACATATGGATGCTGAAGTAACGTGGGCAGCAGCGTAGCGACCGTGCGGTTCTTCCCGCAATTGGCGGGTTGTTTCCCTGCACGCCCACCACTACCGCCAGCACCAGAGTCACTTTGAGCATCATCTTCCTCGCCCTCGTGATCGATAACAACGTCCTCCCCACCACGCGGATGCGCAGCCGCGGTCCAAGCGATACGTCTGCCAGCGCCTTCAATGTGTACCATGCTGAAAGCTAGGTTGCAGATGCAGACGCACGTCGAGTGGAGCTGTTCGGCGTTTTTGCGGACTTTGATCCGATGGGATGAGTCTGTGAGCGTTTTCCCCCTGTTGCAGAAGATCAGTTCAGTACAGTTGCGCAATAATGATGTGAGATGGGGAATGGAGAGACGCACTTGAAAACAGCCCCCACGATACCATTCTCCTCCTCCTCTGATTTGTTATTCTTCTTCTTATCTCGGCGTTGTTCGTCAGTGAATTACCGTTCCGCGTTCATATTTGCGTGAGTGCTTTCTCATTGCGACTTCTTTGCGGACGCGAGCTTCGATGTGGGTGGGGTCTTGGACTGCGTCTGATGTTAGTGCTTTCATGAGATTCGATAGACGGACTGTGTGACGAGAAAAGTGAGTAAGGTTAAGGTCAAGGATGTTAGGGAGGAGAGGGATGAGACCCATACGAATACGATCGCGTTTATCTTCACGGTCAGCTTGACGGCGCTGTTTCCGCATCTGCTTTTGCTCCTGTAGTGGTATATTATAGTCATCATCGTATACCTGGGTAAGGATATTGAGATGCGAGAATCCGAGGAAGAGATCATTGTAAATCTTGCTAGGCAGTAGAGCTGCGTCCCACCAGTCCACTGCTGGAGGAGGTTCACGCTAAGGCCGTCGTCAGTTATGAACCGAACAATACTTTCTGAACGCACTTTGAGGTTCTTCTCCAAAGTCTCAAATTCAGAATCCAGACCAGCTTTATGCGCGCCTTCGGCAATACATTATTTGAGAGCCTCAAGCGAGGCTTCCTGACGAATTTGTTCGGCTAGCTGTTCATACTTGCCTTTCTGGATGAAGTGAAAAACCGCGACCGTGACGTTCCTTCGGTGCGCCTTCGAAACCGCTGTCTTTAGCTGCGCTTGAGATGGGGGACTGGGGTTGGTGCTGAGGGAGGGGTTGGGGCGTTTCGGATGTTTGCCTTTGGATGGCGTTGGTGTCAATGATATGTGGAGAGAGTGGGTGCACCTTGATAGAAGCAAACTTGGGCTGCATTGGTTTATATCGATCTTTCTTGGACTGCGGTGCGACAGGAGGAGGCGATCAGTGATCATTTTCGAGGCACTGACTGGAGCCGATTCAGAGGTAAGGAGACGTGCGAGAGCAAAGAGACGCACCGTATAATAGCTGTCTTTGACTGCAATTGCGAGAGAGGTCATCAATGTTCTGGAGCGGTGTGCCTGGCGCTGAGAAGGGACTGACAGTCTTGACTTGTGGAGTGACCTTTTAGCTGTTAAATGAATTAATGAGTAAACGAATACAAATGAGCAGGGGAAAGGAAAGGTGGACTCACAAAATCACTGTAAATAAGACTTGAGTAGGTTGAATAAGAGAACTAATAGGATCTATTGACCTTCTTGGTTTCTTTGTTAGTAGCTATTCCCATTCAATGCTTGTTTCTTGTCGCTCGTCGTTGGTTGAGCAATGCCAACAAGCGGTGCGAGTATTAGTTAACCCCTTCAACGGGGGTCGAGTCACCGTATCACTGCACAATGTTGCTTGGAATCGTCTTCACCGGGAACTAAACGTTTGCCATGGTTCCAGAACTCGATGTACTACATATAATAAGTACATCATACACGAGGTTTACAGTACTGCAGGAGTCCATGATTGGGGGGACAGCAACCAGTTAAATACCGCCCTCAAGCTTAATCTCTTTCGCTCCGCCACGTCTTGTTTTCCCTCGCGGCCTTACCATCTAACCTTGCCATCTGATCAACATACCCTTTCCGTGGCTCAAGTATTCGGGAAAAGCCATCCCAGTTCGTTTGAGGCGCCCTACAAAGAACAAACGCTTGACAGCTACCGACCATGAGGGTCATTGGATTCCTCCAGGCAAGGCGTGAAGGCCGGTGATGTGAGTTTTAGAAATCTCGACGCCCAGTTCTACACTCAAGCAAAGTTATGCAGTTCCGACTTCTCTACACACTGTTCAAAGATTCCATCTCGTCGAAATATCTATGCCGAAAACGCGACGACTTCAAGCTTTATGCTATGCGAATTTCGAACAAGGAGCGCCTTCGAATTCGCACTCCTCATGATTACATCCAATATCAAATGGAAATTTGCCAGGAAATTTGTGAATTGTGGACTTCTTTTCTCTCACCGTTCATTTGGACTTACGAGGATGGCTTTGAAATTCATTCTATCGCGGTACGCTTTGCTTCGCTCCGTCGCTCCAGGCGCCAACACTTTGAACCAGGAGTTTTATCCTAATGACAGTCTTCAAGATCCACTCGACCGCGACACGAGCCTTAGCAAAAACCATACCCTGCAACTAGCTTGCGAAACGGTGAGCTGGGCAAAACGAAGCTTTCAATTGTATTTAGCTGCACTAGGTAGAAGCGCTCTCCACGCTCCACACTGCTGGCATAATCCACTGCGACCTCACTGTGTAATATCATGTTCGATGTGTCGGGACACGTCGTCATTACGGGATTTGGCCAAGCCGATAGGTTTTTGCTGATCGTCGTCGCAGATTTTGACGTTTGTGGGTAGTCTGATGAGCATGTCGAGCAGTGATCTTTACTTCCTGCTTCCTGTTGCTTATGATCATTCCGTGTTCTTTACATGATGGTCATCCAACGGTGTATACATAGCACTTTCTTCTAACGATGTTGCTTCTCCGTGTCTGTGCCTGTTTAGTAATCTGAAGCTCCACAAAGTCAAGTGAATCAATTATACCGTATCAGTGACATTTAACTACCACCACCAAGCCCACCCTCGTACAAGACATGTCCTCGACCGCCGACTCCGGTAAAGTCTATCACCGCTCATGCACCGGACCAGCTCTCCAAACCGTCCAACAACACATCCATGACCAAGATATCACCCTCTTCGCAAGCTGTTTCTGCCCATTTGTACAACGCGTATGGGCTGCGCTCGAGTACCTTCAGATTCCTTACAAGGTGAGCTCATCGAGTATATGATGTGACTTGGATGAAGTTCGAGTTCAAACGTGGTGATGTAGTATTGTAAGTGATCTACCACCGATGCATATGACTATGATTGATGCTGGTGCCAGACGAAGTCGATCCCTATCAAAAACCCCAAGAACTGCTCAATGTCTCGCCAAAAGGTCTAGTTCCAGCGCTCATGCTCAATGCCTTTGATCCTCCTCGTGCGCTCAATGAGAGCACCGTCATCCTCGACTTCCTCGAAGAGTGAGTCCGTTCAGATGAAAATGTCGCTAATTAACAAGTTCAATGATGATGACGACATTGGCATGTAGTATCGCTACAAAATCTACGCATCGCAGCCTTCTTCCGCCCTCTTCAGATCCATGTCTGTGACCAAAACAAGTTCCTCGAAAGCGCTCACAAATGACAATTATGATTCCTTGCAGATGCGAAAGCACTCGTCCGACTCCAATCAGACCACATCAACCGAACGCTTGTGCCTGCGTTCTACAGGTACCTCCAAGCTCAAGACCCAGACGCACAAATTGCAGGAGGAAAGGAGTTTCACGCAGCTATTCAGTCCTTAGTGGAGCTTTTCGAACGCGCGGAGAGGGAGGTAGGGGGGACGGGGCTTTGGGTTGAAGGTGGCGATTTGGGTTGGGCGGATGTTGTTGTCGGACCGTGTACGTCGTTTTCTTGATGGAACGCACTCAATATTAATGATGGAGCAGGGATCTTCAGAGCGACTAATGTGCTGAAACATTACCGCGGGTTTGAAACGCCGCGAGGGGGAAAGTTCGAAGCGTGGTTGGGGAGGCTTTTTGAGGATCCTGCGTTTAAGAGGACTTGTAGTAGTGAGGAGCTGTATTTGGACAGTTATGAGCGGTGAGTCTGTATTTTCAATCTGCGAGGAAGGGACTTAGATGATTTGTAGTTATGCTTTCAATCGCCCGAATACGAGTCAGGTGGCCAATGCGATTAATAGTGGTAGGGGATTACCTTGAGCAAATGGGAAGGACACGCTGAAATCTAATAGCTGTACAAAAAGCCGAGTCTGTGATGGTACAGGTGGTAGTAATAGTAGCAGAAATATGACCTATTCAAAGCCAACCATGGTTATGATCTGGTGCTCATCATTCTCCTCATCCTCGGTTCCAAATACGCATCGTGTAAGTCTTCTTCCACACATTACTCCTCTGAGTCGTCGCTATACTCCTCATCACTATACTCCATATCCTCCCCACCCTCGATCTCAATGCCGCTGTACTCTACATGCAATCAGCACGAAGGTGAGCTATGCTAGAGATTCAGGTGGAAACACACCATCTGACAGTGAGATGAAAGGGTCAGTGTGCGCTCGTCACTACAAAAGACAACATCACACACGATACGAGGGCAGGACATGACTTGGTAGGGGGGACATGGCCTGGACATGGTCGGCGCTACGCAGTAAGTCACCCTGGCCATGTCAGGGTTAACAAGTGATAAGAGTTTGAAAAACCGCCACACGCACTTCCTGGGAGAGGAAAATTGCCACGACACCATCAGTATCGGAGTAAACAACTCAAGAGATGAGATAACGCACATCCTGAGACCGGGACATTGCCGTGCCACCATCAGTGTTCGGGAAAGCAGGGCGAGAGGCGGGACCAGGCACTGTCTGATAGTGGGACATCGCCGTGGCACAATCAGCGTTGGGCAACCAGCGCAGAGGGCAAGATTACGCACTTTCTGAGAGTGGGATATCGCCGGGGCATCATCAGCGTCGGGTAAGCAGCTCAAAAGACGACGTAACGCACGGTCTAAGAGCAGGTCATCCCCATGGTACCATCAGCATTGAATAAGCAGCTCCAAAATACAAGATCATGCACCATCTGAGAGCGGGACATCGCCATGGCACAATGAGCGTCAGGTAAGCATTGCAAAGGACAAGATCACGCACCATCTGAGAGCGGGACATCATCGTGGCGCCATCAGCGTCTGGTAAGCAGCTCAAAGACGAAATGACATACCTCCTGAGAGCGGGACGTCGCCGTGGTACCATCAGCATCGGGTAAGCAGCTCGAAAATATAAGATCACACACCATCTGAGAGCAGTACATCGCCATGGCACAATCAACATCGGACAAGCAACTCAAAAGATGGTATCACTCACCCACTGAGAACCAAACATCGCCGTGGAACCATCAGCGTAGAGTACGCAGCTCAAAAGATGACATCACGAACATACTGAGAGCGGGACATCGTCATGGCACCATCAGTGTCGGGCAAGCAACTTAACAAATATCACGCACATTCTGAGAGCGGGACATTGCCGTGGCACCATCAGCATTGGGGAAGCAGCTGAAAAGACGAGATGCCGTACCTCCTGAGAGCGGGACATCGTCGTGGAACCATCAGCGTCGGGCAAGCATGGCAAAAGACGAGATCACTCACTCTCTGAGAGCGGGACGTCGGCGTGGCACCATCAACACTGGGTAAGCAGATAAAAAGAGATGACATACCTTCTGAGAGGGGGAAATCACCGTGTCACCGTCACCGTCAGGTAAGCAGTTCAAAAAACGACATCACGCACTCTCTAAGAGCGGGACATCAGTGAGGCACCATCAGCGGCGGGAAAGCAGCTCAAAAGATGACATGACATACCTCCTGAGAGCAGGAAATCACCGTGGTGCTATCAGCGTCAGGGAAGTAGGTCAAAAAACGACATAACGCACTCTCTGAGAACGGGACAATGTCGTAGCACCATCAACATCGGGTAAGTAGCTCAAAAAACGAGATGACCTACCTCCTGAGGGCAAGACGTCATCGTGGCACCATCAGCGTTGGCTAAGCAACTCAAAGCACAAGACCACGCACAGACTGGGAGCCAGAAATCACCGTAGCACCATCAAAATCGGGCAAGCACCTCAAAAGATGAGATGACGTACCTCCTGAGAGCGGGACATAATCGTGATACCATCACCGTTGGCCAAGCAACTGAAAAGACGAGATCATCCACGCACCGACTAAGGGGTATACATGACGGAGGCACCATCAGCATCGAGTATTCAGCGCAAAAGACGACGTACCTCCTGAGAGTAGGACATCGCCGTGGCACCATCAGTAGTGGGTAAACACTGCAAACGACGAGATCACGCACATACTGAGAGTGGGACATCACCGTGGCACCATCAGCATTGAGACAACAGCTTAAACAACGAGATCACGCACCAACTGAGAGAGACATCGCAGTGACACCATCAGTGTCGAGCAAGCACCTCAAAAAACAAGATCACGAACTTTCTGAGAATGGTACATCGCCGCGGCACCATCAGTGTCGGCTAAGCATCTCAAAAGAGGACAACACGCACCCACTGAGAGCGGGACATCGGCGTGGCACCATCAGCGTTGTGTAAGCACCTCAAAATACGACACGACGCACATCCTGAGAGCAGAACATCGTTGTAGCACGATCAGCGTCCGGGTAAGCAACTCAAAAAAACGAGATCACGCACATCCTGAGAGCGGGACATCGATCAGTGTCGGGTAAGCAACTCAAAAAAATGATATCACGCACTCTCTGAGAGCGGGACATCGCCGTGGCACCATCAGTCTTCCGGTAAGCAGCGCGTGACAAATCATGAGCTGTCTGAGAGCGGGACATCGCCGTGACGCCATCAGCGTCGGGTAAGCAGTTCAAAACACGAGATCACGTACGACCTAGAAGCCGTAAGTACATTAAGTTTTTAGTTTAAGAATGTTTTCGAAGTTTCACAATGACAAACAGTTTGCTGGACATGAAAGTTGCGAATAACGAGCATTTCGGGGTCAGCCGTGTGATTGGAGTCAATGTTAGAACATTGAGTGCTCTCCATCGCACTCAAATATTTCCGGGAGATCTGAAACCGTCGTTTGCATTCTCGACTTCCGATTGTTAGACACAGTCAGTGCTCAGCAGAGAAGCGTACTAACCAATCGATCGAACAACCAGCCCGTCGTCGAAGCGAATACATAATAGACCCGAGACCAAGGTGATTCTCAGCGCCACAAAAATGACACTTGTAGGACACTCCCAAGGATGATGTCATCTGCTGTTCAATGATTACCCTCATGACGATCTTCGTGCCTGCTTCAATCGTTGACCATTCATCGCTTGTAAGTCGGGTTACTTCAGTGCCCTCGTCGATGCACAAATAGTAATGTCCTTCCTCGATATACCGTCTCTGAATTCGGGCTTCAATCGACTCGCGTTTAAACAGAACTTGGAGCATGTCATTGAGTTGCTAAAGAGAATTCGATGAGTGAGCTTCCCTAAGATGGATTTTTACGCTGGTGAGACAGACCTGAAATGAGGTGCAGAAATTCACTAATACTGGATGTTCGTGGCCTGTTGCGTCTACCAGTGTGACGCAGCTAAGCGCAAAAGTTCCGATTGACTGCATTGGAGACGGTCCCACAGAGAACTGTGTGCGGATGATTAAGTCCTTCATTTCGCGTATGTCATTTTGACTTTGCATTTGGGACGTCCACTAATAAAACGGAGTAGTGAGTGAATGCAAGCGATCTTTAGAGATAGGACACAACCAGACACTCCAAGAGATAACGGTCGATAGCAGTGGAACATCTGGCGATAACTTGTGTGACGGATGCGTATACGAGACGACGACATTTATGTAACTTTGTCAGTTGGGCTGAGGTCTCTTCTAGGACCCTAAGTGCCACTCAATTGAGGTAAATTCAAGCACACATCAACAAGGCACAGACCTAACTATGGAATCCCTCCGGGATTGTTCAAGAGGATCACGGGGAGGTGGGGCATTGCACAAATGGTGGCCTAGTTGATGGAGTCGTAACTTCAGGCTATCTAGGTCCGCCTTGTTCTGATCGCGTCTCTGTGATGGCCTTTAATACCACGAATTATCCTCGCACTCACACAAGCTCTTACATCTATAGCTTGAAGGACTTCCAATAATCCACCAATAGCTGCCTTTGTCGGAGCGCCGACGAGTGGGATTACATCTGCAAAGGCCTGTACGAAGGGCAAAGCGAACTGAGCCATGTCGGAAGCTTCGCGGGCAAGGGATACTGAGTATTTTGAGGAAGAAATATTGGCAGATACTTCGAGACATGGGTCTCTGGGCGCAGAAACAGAAATAGGGTCTGAGGACGATGGATTTGAAGGTAGGGTTGGTGAAGGAGAGGGAGGGGCAATGGGGATGCCTGCAGGAATGGAACCATCGCCCTCATGGTCGGTGTCTGTCAAGCCACGTTTGCGTCTGTTCTTAGTGGGACGCCTCAAACGAATTGCGATGACCTTGCACAAATCCTTAAGCCACGGAAACTCAAAGTGCATTTTGATCAGATGGAAAGGTTACAGGATAGGTCGGAGGGAGTATATAAGACGTGGGGGAGCTAAGGAAGGAAGGCGGCTGAGGTACTTGTAACTTAACCAGGCAGCTGTGCACAACACAGCCTGCCAGTGATTGTGCTGTACTCAACTTCAGTAGTAAGGTACTTAGTAATAGAAGCATGCAAAACCGACGAACCTCACGTGAGGTGACAAGAGTGTGACGCTGTGCAGAACAGTTGATGCCGATTCCCGAAGTCTGCCGAACGTGCCAGCGAGATGCGAGAGCTAAGTATGTAGTGTATGTGAAAAGTAGGACTATACTATGATAGAAATAGTGTATATGAAGTTGAGAAAATAAATGGTGGACTCAGGCTCGGGCTGTCGAGTGAGCATCATCAAATTCTTGCATATGGCGCTGGATCTGTTCAACTATTACACACACAATTGAAACGCCACGACCAACGATGAGCGACAAGAAATGAGGAGGCGACCCGCCGATTCGACGGGAATGACAAATCTCCACTAACAAGAGAAACCAAGAAGGTCAGTAAATCTACATATGTTATTCAACTACCTCATGACCTATCTCCAGTGATTTTGTGAGTCCTTTTCGCGTTGTATAGTTTGTGATAGTTCGAGCATGGCCCATGTTCCCAGTCGCCACTAGCTCTCCTGTGAGATCTCCCTGCATCTTCATAACTCGGGCGCTATGTGTGTTGACGTTCAGGTTTATCGTGTTCGGGAACTTGTTTGTTTGCTGCAACATCGACATTGCATCGCTGTGGGCTGAAGGTCTTGCTTCACAGAGCAGTCCAGCTTGTCCCATTGTGATCTCGCAAAATACACCTACAAAACATGTGCCTTGCCACGCGATAAAAGCTGGCCGACTCCACGTATCCATTGTGAATCAACACTTTTGGCGGGTTCTTCCTATCTAGCATTATTTTCATCTTTTCTCTTTCAAGTCCATCGCATGTTACGAAATTTCACGCATCCTATTATCCCCGCAAAAGACCAGAACATTCTTCCGCACTTCTTCGGATCTTTTGTGTATGGTATAAGAATCCGATTCAATCAGACAGTACCACAGCTCTCATTGCTCTCAACAAATAAGATTGACTCGCCATCATGTTTGCTCGCCTCTCCACTGCTTTCCTCTATGTTTTGCTTGCTTTGACAACCTTGGCGGCTGCGAAGCCCAGCCCTGTGGCTAATGTGAGACTTCGTGTCATAAAATAGCATCATCATTTGACCCCACCATACACATCAGGCAGTCCCCCCTCCCACGTCAACTTAGGTGGCAGTGATGTAGTTCGTTGGAGGGAAATGGACGTAAGTAGCCCGGACACAATGTCTAGAATCAAGCGAAGTGCTGATTGATCGATTCTACATGACTAGTACGGGCATTTATATCACTTCGGATCCTAGCACACAACGTTTTGGTTTGATTAATCAACGAGAATTGTATTGCGTGTACTGTACAGCGTAACAATTTACAAAGGGATGCAGTCAATGAAGACATAACATAAGGACTTGTCAAACCTTGTAGCACTTATCCTAGGAACCATCCACGTCATCCAATGACTCTGAACCATGATCCAAGTCCTGGTCACCCAGCGATTTCGCATCATAGTCACCATTTTCGTCCACAGAATCATATGGCTCATCATCCAACAAATACTGGCACTCGAATACCATACTTAACGCGGTGCTTGGGCTAAATAGCGTAAATTTCGAGTTCCCAGATGGACCTTGACCACCGAAAACATGTATCCTTTCGGTGGCGAATCGCTTCGTTCACGAATCTCGTCGGCGATCTCTGGCCATATGGGCTCCTCACCAGGGAACTGCTCAAGCTTGTGCGGGGGGAGCACGTGGATCTCCGGCGGAAACATAGTCATGTCGAGCATAAACACGAGTTTGTTATTGAATGCAGGGAACTGGTGCCGTACTTCACAAATGTGCGTTTCCACGTCTTTGGCCATTCGAGATCTCCGTGTTTTCAAAGCCTCCAATGGCTTAAAGGCTCTTGCGGATATCGCGTGAGCCCCATGGCCCTGATGAAAATTCGATCACGAAGTATGAGATGAAGACGGAGAGACTCACCGACGGTGCACCTCAGAACTTGGCACCACTTATTGTGTCCACTGCGCCAACAGCTCTTTGGCATTTCTCTGAACAATAAAGGTGAACCAAGCAGCCTGAGCACCAACACTTTTTGCTGACAAACTCGGATGCGCGCATCCGACACTAGCCAGCATGCACACGATGAAACCACTAGAGATGATGTGTGCACTCCTGGACCATTGCACCTGTATTTGTGGAAGTTTATAGGCTCTATAGTGCCATCATCTATAGCATCGCAACTAGCTGTCAGGACAAGTTGGAGAGCAATCCCCAAACCTTCGTCGCGTATCTCTCGTTTGTCCACTGGCATCGGAGAATTTGTATGCAATACCAGTGTCGACAAATAGAATCAACAACTCTGCGGTATATGAAAAAGGCGGGAAGAAGAGAGAGCAACTCTAGGTCACCCAGGCTGTCACGGAGCGGTTGATCGCGACGGTCGGAGTGAGGCGGGCAGGTAGCCCCCTTCCTCGTGGTTTCAAAAAGGCCAGCATCGATTGCCTGACATACACCTGTTATCCCGTGGTCTGCATCGCGAATCACAGATGCAATGTACGAGCACCCCGTCCATATGATGTTCTGTCTGGCCGCTAGTCCCATGTCTGGGTGAAAATCCATTTCCTCGTTTGCTTGCACCAAGGTCCTTGGCAAGATCTGAGCAATTGCGTTCAGCACTACACGAATCGAACCTTGACGGGTAAGTTGTGCGCGGCATGAAGCATCTTGGCGACTGATGGTCTGGATGAACTGGAAGGAATACCTGAGGCTGGTAATGAAGAAAAATATTTGTGTACGCTCCGATCTTGTCGTGTCCATGATCGAGGTGCTTCTACAGCAGAAGTATCTCTGGTGACCCGACGGATGTATCTAAGAAGGGTGGTGGCAACGGGCTTCACCCCTCCGGCAGCATGTCTATAATTGGGTAACGGAAGGATGATTTTGGTTAGATCTTCAGAATCAGATATGCAAACATAGTTTGTTAGCACAAAAGCCGCCCGAAGCACCGGAACACGGCCATCCTTTGTATCTCTAGGGTCACCGGCGAGTACATCTCCCTTGAGATTTCCTGCCAATATCCATAACTGTGCGACAAAGTGCTGAACAGAAATGGAAGATCGGAGCATCCTCCTGAGTCCTCCGATCTGTAGCAGATGGCTGTAAGGGGATGGAGGCACAATGTTGCAAAGATCTGGGGGCGGAGGAGCAAGTGAGACATCATAAGGAGGGAGGCAATTTCGAGCGAAGAGCCGCATCCATGGATATATCTGTTCCTACCTCTTCACGATATATTTGTCAGAGCGTCGTCCCCACCATCAGAAGGTCAGCCGTGCAAATCGACACCAGGCCCAGAAGAGCCCTCTTCGCGCGCATGATGACAGAAGTAGTGTTGGAATTGACGTAGTTTGGTACTTGAACTGAATCAAGCGCCGCATTGAAGATGGGCACTAAGGGAGCAAAACGGGAAGCATCCTTGGTCGTGATAAAGTCGTACAGCCTTGCGAGATCAGTGATAGATCCCTGCAGAGCCTTCTTTGCTGCGATATTGAGTGTGTGTTAGTGATGGTGTCAATTTTGTATGATAAGGTATCCAACCGCGCCGCGGCTGGCAGAGACTTCAGTGGTTGTGATTCATCTGGACTGAGCTGCAAGCTTGATCCCACCGCAGTGAACGGTATGAGGGGTAGCTATGGGATCTGTGTATAGCGTGGTGGGCTTCAGCGGGGGATGTGTGGAAAATGGTCGACAATTAGTATTTTGAGCTTTGGTATTACATTATGATGCCCTGGTCAACACCCCAATTCGTGTCTGAGTTTCGATATAAGCGCGTAAGCCCAGTCAAAGGCCGCAAAAGTGAGAGCGAGGACCTCAGAAACGAACCAAGAGTAAGCGATATGTAACCGCGGCGAGAAAATGGCTAAACGACTCAGCACGAGGAACGTGAAGATTTGAAGCAGATCGAAGCAGTTGATTGAACCTATTATGTTGCATTACAGCTATTTTTAATTTTGTCTTACCGTAATATTACGTATGGCCCACACTTATATTTGTGACTGTCTACGCTCATGCGGAGGTACTCTGCAAGAGGTATGTCGTTTGGCTATCATGCATATGCCAAATTCCGTGCACTGGTCCTAAGACTCCTAACACACGGACGGCGGCCCACGGGCACGAATGTCGGTCCAGGAGCTCCAACGAAACGCGGATGCTATCAAACGGACCCACTGGTGAAGCAGTTGCCCTCGCATGGGACTCGTCAGGAGACTCCTGTTGTTCCAGTCGATATCAAACAGCCAGAAGGAAATGATGAAGGAAGACGTTCTGTACGATTTCGGGTTTTCTATTACCATCTAACGGGGCTGGTTCAGACAGTGACGCGTTAAATTTGGAACGCCGGGATGGACGCTTAGACCGGGTTTGGCGTCGACTCTTGGAGCAGAATCAACGGCGTTAGGCTCATTTTCAGCGCTCCCTGTTGGAGGACAACCATTCCTCGTCGAAGGAGGTTCATCACTTGTTCCATCTACAATAGAACTAGAGCCAGCGGTCTGAGAGGCACCAGGCGGTCTACGGGGTTTGGGCCTCCCTGCTTGCAATCACCAGATCTGCTCTGATTTACGTTTCGGCGAGGCAGCCACACCATCTGAACTGGCTGCGTGTGCTGGATGCACGCGAGTTCTGGGACGATTGCAAATTGCGGCGATAGTGTCTGGACTCTGCCTGGGATTGACCTTGGATTGATTGAGTCACAAGGTTCCTTTCATCGCCTCTAGTAGCAAAAACATATTCGCAGGACCTGCGGGTCCGTACCTCGGCGAAGCACTATGCGAGGGTATAGGCTTTTTCCGTAGTGGGGCATGAAATCTTTCGGTTGTTGATGAACCAGGATGAACCCAGCGCTGCCGCCACGTCACTACATTCGAACGTCGTATTCCCACCTGTTCCCATCATCTAGTTCGCCGCGACTCCAAGCCATTGGTGCCTGCAAGAATGACTTATGATTGGCCCTTGACGTCCCTTGACAGGGACAATTCCGGCGGGAAGCTCGGAAGAAATATTCATGAACTATTGGTCCTACACGGCCCGTGACGGGGTATGCGTAACAATCCTCAAGATCTGCCGATAATAACAACTGAGCGTACCAGTGTATTGGTTTGATGCGTGTCTTTTCGCGTTTTGTCTTCTTCTATAATCAGTTGGGTTCCTGATAGATCATGCTGTCAATCGCCACTAGCTCTGTTGCGTGAGATCTCCATGCGTCTTCATAGCGCGAGTGTTGATATTTAACTTGACAGCGTTCGGGAAAGTCTTTGTTTGCTGCGACTTCGACGGTAGGTCATTGCATCACAGTGGGTTGAAGGGTCTCGCCGCCGTGATCTCGCAAAATACATTTGCAGAAGATGCGCCTTACCACTTAGTGGAAGCTGGTGTATTCCACGTATGTGTTATGATTCAATACTCTTGACGGGTTCTTCCTGTTCGGCATCCTTTCCAACTTCATCACATGTTCGAAATTTCCACGCGTCCTATCATCCCCGCAAGAAGACCAGATTCTTTTGCACCCCTTCGGAGTTTTTGTGTGCGGTATAAGAATCCAATTAGATCAGACAACACTAACAACTCTCATTAGTGTCAACAAATAAGATCGACACACCATCATGTTCGCTCGCCTCTCCACTGCTTCCATCTATGTTTTGCTTGCTTTGACGACCTTTGCGGCTGCGACGCCCAACCCTCTGGCTGAAATTCCTTCAGTAAGACTTCATCTCAAAAAAGTGGCATCGTCATTTGACCTCACCATACAATGTACGCAGCGTGGACTCGAAAATGCTGACTGGTGACTTGCACGGTCATCACTGCTATCGGCACTGGCTCTAAGTGCGCGATGCAATCCCAAGCCTGTTTTCTGCAAAATATAACTTCGTATGCTTGAAATACTTGTAACGGACTGGTGAAGCTGATTCTTTATCAGGATGGTCTCGTTTTCCTTGACTACACTCCATATTGAATAGGGAGGGATGTTCTTGGTGGAACTTCTGGTTGGTGACTCGCAGAGTTTGTAGCGCACTGGTCATGGCGTTGTAAATCAGTCTCTTGAACCTTGAACTCTTTCAATATTCTTACTCTGAGGAATTGATCTTCTCGCGTCACAATTACGCCTCTGGACCCACAAGGTGCAGACTCTGCAAGGGAGATCGTGACTGGTGGTGATCTCCACCAATCAGGATCTCCAGCCAGGGTCATGTAAATGATCAGATTGCCACGGGCCACGGAAAATTTGACCGGGCAGATAGCAGGGATTATGATCCGCTCCCACCTCTGACCATGACACACTGAATATGATAAGAATGTGGGAGTGCGTGGCGGTGGAACGACAGGGCAGTGGATATGGAAAACAGCATGAGTGCAAGTATAATAATAAAATTGGTAACCCATCGTACTGTGGGGAGAAGTTAGCACTGCCCATCGACCCTATAATACGTGTTGGTTCAAGTCCTCCGAAATTCGGGTGACTTCACATACATTTGTTTGGATCTATTGAATTCAGAAGGTACTGATAAACAGTAACAAATAGACTCTGCTTATTTACTTACTCCGTATCAAGTCACGGATCATCGATCATCATCTGCATCATGTCATTCGCAAGTCTCAAATCTCAAAGGCAATCCAAGGCATCAAGATCGTATGTAACTTCCACGGATAATGCTCAAGAGCCCCACTCTACAACCATTCCAAAAGTGATCCATTCTAACGATCCAGAGACACCAACTCCCAGCAATGAATGCACCGTGTACCACGGCATACCAGAGAATGTGGAGATGCGGGTATCTGCAACATCAGGCAGGGGACTTTGGGCTAAAAAATTAATCAAAGCTGGTCAGCGAATTCGCTGCAGTTTTTGAGAGCCATATACCGCTTACACAAAATAGGTTCTATTATCATTTCACTAAGACCGCATTCATTTGCACTTGGTAGCCAGTATCTGGATTCACATTGTTCTACTTGTGCTGCCGTGCCAAACTCAGGTTTGTTGAGGTGTACTGGATGTCGCACAGTTTGGTATTGTAACGCGGTCAGTTACACTGATACCGTAAACTGCCTTATCATCAGTCTAATTTCTCTGTGTTAGACATGTCAGACAAATGATTGGCTACTTCATCGACTCGAATGCTCTGCATTGAGGAACTGGGCCAAGTCAGCACCATCGAAAAACCTATCTGTCCCAAGTGATGCTGTCAGGTGCCTGGGACGAATTTTGTGGCAGAAAAGGCAGGAAGGGTTTGATAGTAGTTGGGTGAGTAAGAGTTGCGTGTTATATGTATCACCACTGAAAGCACCGACAGTCGAAGGAAATCGATGCATTGCAGTCTCGTGAGTTCTCCGCTACATTCAAGCGCCCGTTATAATCGAGGTGGGATTAGATCGACATTATTTGCAGCCTCGTGTCGTTGAAAATAATACTCACCTTGCCCACTCTTTGGTTCGATATCTTGGCTTGTCTTCTCCTAGAGAACTGTCGAAGTTTGGCATCTTATCTGCGGGCGACCTTACTGATTTAATTTCAAGAGTAAGCACTCATCACGAAATCATTCCACTATCACATGATTAGCATCTGGCAGTTTGTTACGAATACCTTCGCGTTAACTTCGCCCTCGTTGACACCAGTGGGGGTATCAGTCTCGCCGCTTGTTGCGCTTTTCAACCATTCTTGTGATCCCGGCGCGGTCATCGTTTTTCCTCGATCTTCTCGAAAACCCACGGAGGAACCGCAGATGCAAGTCATTGCTCTCAGAGACATTTTCAACACCAATGAGGGAGGCGAGTAAAACCCACTTGCTCGAAATGCTCTCCCTGACCAACGATTACTGGCAGATTTGACCTCATATGTAGACACGACCCTACCTCGTTCTCTAAGGCAGGCTGCATTGAAGGAGACCTATGACTTCACGTGCCAGTGTGAGGTATGTCATCACGACAATAAAAATCGACTCTCGCGAGTCCATATGGTTGTCCAAAGTCATGCGAAGGAATGTGCCCTGCTCCTAGTGATGGTAAGTGCAGCCGAGCTCTACTTGAAATATTGATCGTTCATATGGTGCATTTCTCTCAGAAAAGCGAGATATATCAATGCGTGAAATGCCGTGCAGTTGTGACTGCAACCGAATCTATCATGGACTCGCTACGCGTTGGACAGGAAGCATTGGAGAAGGCAACTTCAATTCAAGATACGGGTCAGTCCTCCATGTTGAACACGAAAACATATCCATGTGATTTTGGTATACGTCCTTACAGATCTTAACAGGCCCTGCAACTGACGACTAACATTATTCCGATACTTGTGTCTGCTGGCTTGACACCATCATGTCACCCGTTGTTGGCCTTGATAGGGCTCCATAAATCACTCCTCCTTTTTTCGTTTTCAGCAGACATGTCACAAGACCTGCTTGACGAGGCCAATCCGTACTTCAGCTAAGCATTATATGGGGCTATCCGCCCTTCTTCGTGACGGTCACCCTGTGCGCGCTGTTGCCCTAGCGGAACTCGGGAAGCTTTTGGCCGTCGACGAACCCCGCCCTGCCACGTCGCCACTCGCAAACGTTTCCTTCCCACCATCTGGTCCTCCGCGACTCAAAGCTGCATACAAAACACTGGTACATGCAAGACACGAATTGATGATCGGCTTTGGCAGGGATAATGACGGCGGCGAGCTCGGAAGAAATATTCGCGAAACATTGGTGTCCCTGGAGAAAGAGCTTGGGGTGTGGACTCAAGGCATACATAACACTGTTCAAGATGCGCTAAACTCCTCACGAAGTGAGTGTGCTCATCCTTGTGGATGTCACATGTGGTGCGTGTCATCGGGGCACTATCTTAGGTCCATGTCTCACTATGTCTGAACTAAGTGTTCAATAACAATGTGCAAGGCGTCACATCGAGTATGACACACATTTCAACTCTGTTGTATGAGATCTTTATCTTCCCAATGCTGGCGTTTGCAAGCAGAACGTTACAGCGTACGGGCAAGTCCTGTTTGCTGCTGTCGTAGACAGGTGAGCCGAAGAATCGCATCCCGCACAAGTATATAGCGGTCCAGCTAGTTCCGCATCACAATATCATTTGTTGTAGAAGCGCCTTATGACCGCGGATGCCAAAGCTGAAATTCCTCGTCCATTTCACTATGTGTATCTCCATCGACAACCAACTCCTTTGTTTAGCGGGTACGTTTGAAATCTTTCCTCGTCGATCTGTCGATGCTATCATATGTCGGGATTCATATCAGATCTCCAAGACTACAACCTAATTTCTTTTTCACCCATTTTGGATCTCATGTGCGGTATAAGAACCCGAATCGAGCGTCACTAGTGACCACGGATTAGACAGCGCCAACAGCTCTAATTAGTTGCAAAAAATAAGATCGAACCGGATCGACTCGCCATCATATTTGCTCGCCCCGCCATGTCACTACCTGCAAACGTTTCCTTCCCACCATGTGGTCCTCCGCGACTCAAGAGTCAAAGCGAAACACTAGTACGTGCAAGAACACGAACTGATGATCGACTTTGGCAGGGACAATGACGATGGGAGCTCGGAATGAATCTTCGCGAAGATGTTGCTGGAGAAACAGCTTGGGGTTTGGACGACCAAGGCATACATAACACCCATTCTTGTTGATTTCATACCGTGTTATTGGTGCGCTATCTCGGGTCAATGTCCTCCCCTGGGTCCACGATAGCAACGCCATCATGAAATCGCTGCAAGGCGTCACCGTGATCGAGTATGGACCACGTGTCAACTCTGTTGTGTGAGATCTGGTTCATATTCACAATGCGGACGTTACGATCGTTTTATTTCCAACGTTACAGCGTACGGGCAAGTCGTGTTTGCTGCAACTCGCAGATGGCGTGATCCGAAGAATCTCGTCTAACAAGGTCCAACACAAGCCATAGTGATCCAACTACATAGTCCCGCAGCGATCTCGATATATCATCTGCTGTGTGCCTCACGACGCGGTACGGTATCAAAACTGAAATTCGCTGTCGATATTCACCGGCCTGTCCATTTATCCATTAACAACCAACTCCTCTATTTGGTAGGTTACCTTTGAAATCTTTCGTCGTAGATTTGTCGACGCTGGCATATATTTAATTTCATGTTTACATCAGGCCCCCATGGGAGACACTAATAGCTAATTTATTTTACTCTCATTTGGGAGCGACACGTATGCGGTATAAGAAGCATCGTCGCAGATCAGACAGCGCCAACAGTTTCTCATTAGTTAAGATCGACTCGCCATCATGTTCGCCTCGCCTCTCTTCCACTTTCCTCTATGTTTTGCTAGCCTTGATAGCCTTTGCTGCCAAAACCAAGCGCTGATCCTCAAGTGAGGTTTACTTTGCCCGAAATATCGTCTTGTTGACTGACGATACATTGATGTGCCGAGTAGACTCTGATTGCAAGGAGTCATGTGGTGGGGCTTTGCTTTGTCCTCAAACCTCATCATAGTATTGACCTCACGATACCATGTACCCAGAACACGCCGGTTGGGTCTCATAATCTACCTACTATGGTAAGGCTTGTATCAAGCTGTCATCATATTGCGCTAATGATACAATGTTCCCTAGACGAGTTACACCATCAATGTAAGGCCTGCTTTTGTATTAAACCTCATCATGTTGACCTCACGATACAATGTATCCAGACGTATCTGAAGCAACACCCGTTCGTCGTGTAAGGCTTGCTTCGCATCAAATCCATCGCATTGGCTCACGATAATGTACACAGGCAGATATCCCTACCATGATCTAGTGTTTCCATGAAGTGCACTAGATCGAACCGAATTCCTAGTTCGATTCTCGAGGTCAAACGAACCTCTGCAGTATAGCGAAGTCGGACTATAAAAACCCAACCAATTAGTGGATATGACAGGCAGAGACATTTTCTCTCATGTAACATCGTGCAGTTGGCAAAGGCAATCGATTTGCATAGGTGGAAATTCTACTACGAAACGAGGTGCGAGCGTAGGGTTGGAATGAGGACTTGGGTAGTGGCTGGCCGCCACAGTGCAGCACGCAGCTTCTCTTCTCTGCCCACCGCACAACGCTTGGCCAAGCTACACTCCAGTAAGCTCTTGCCTGTCGCCTTCAGTTTTTTCTTTCCCCACCTACCTTTCCTTTGCTGCCTCTCAGGTCATCTCAGCCTACTATATTGAAATTTTCTACCATACTCATACTCGAGGTACTTAGCCATTGACTGCTACTGGGGCTCGGGTGGTTGGCACCCCGCGAACCTGCTGTGTTTGAGGCTGCCCGCCCTCCCTTGAAGCTTACCTCGGCTCACTCTTGCACAGGTTGGGGCCGCCATCAGGGCCGGGTCTCCCCTTCGGGGGCGTCCGCCTGAAAAACTATCTGCTTACAATCCATCAAGCATGCGGTTTCCCCTCTCTCCTCGTTACTTACACGACTGCACGATAGCGCACACTAAGTTAGACTTGCAAAATATCAATAAACAACATAACAGCAAGAGGATTTACAAAGTAAGTACATTGAAGCTGCTTGTAGTTGAGACTTGTGCTAGTGCTTGCCCTCGATGCGCTGCAGGTATTACGTATTATAAAACATGTAGCTTCGTAATTCAAGCGCTCGTATGATAAGAAACGACTCGTGACTCGTAAGCGGCAGCCTCTCGCAGTGCGCACCCGAACTCGACTTCTTCCTGCAAGGTCTGACGAAGGGTTTCGCTTCTGGAATTGGTTGAACTCGAGAAGTGATACCGCCAGGCCAGCCTATCCACGTCTATATCTACAACGAGGCCCGACGTGAAGTTGCTTCCTATTTGCCAGTGCCATTAATATTGGCAGCACCAGTTGATAGAATTGCATAACACGTAATTCAATCTCATGCCTATTTCATGATCATGCGAGCATGATAAGAAGCAGAGGCTCGTGAGCGACCTCGCGGCAGTCCTCTCACACTTCTGACTTCCCCCTTCAACTGACGGGGTCTCTCAAAGGTTCCGCCCGGGTTCAACACAATGTTGTTCTCTTACTTGTCACACCGGTCGCGCCTGGTGAGCCTTCTATCATCATCGTCTGTTTCCTTACTAGTTCGATTCTGATGAAGACTTAATCACACTAGTCGCGATAAGCAACAGGAGCGAGCAGAACGGATCGCATCCCTCAAACCCATCTACCATGAGCCTCTAACATCACAGGACAAAGAGATTCTGTCTC